GGGGGGGGGGCATCGGCAGGGCTGCGCGCCGGACGACGTAGACGCGAGGGGTCTGTGGGGGGGTGTGTGCCTTTGTCCTTGCGCCTGGGGAGAGGAGGTGTGCGGGGTGGAGGCTGAAGGCAGTGTGCATGCGCGTGCAGACTGGATCGGGCTCTGGTGAGAGGGGGGGAATCTCGTCACAGTACTGGGGAGGGAACGGGAGAGAATTCGTGAGGGCTAATACGGCTGCTTGGCGCAAACAGGACGTTGTTGACGGGCTCGACGGGATTGGCGCACGCGAAGGACCTGGTGTCGGCGTACAAGCAGGGGAAGATCGCGGACATGACGCCGGATCTGTGGAAGGCGAAGAAGATAATCGACTCGACGCTTCACCCCGGTGAGTGTGCACATATAGCCTCGAGAGCACGGAGGGGGGCTCGAAAGTGCGGAGTGTGTTCGAAGCTGACTGCGCGCGGCAGATACGGGCGAACCGGTCTTCCTTCCTTTCCGCATGTCTTGCTACGTAATGTCCAATTTGGTGGTGACGGTGGGCATGCTGACGCCTGGCTTGGGGGTATGTATACTGGGAGTGCTCGAAATGGCTTGGAACTGACGGTGTTGAATCCTGTAGACGGCGGGAACCCTGGGATGGCAAATCGCCAACCAGTCCCTGAACGTTGCCGTGAACAACGCCAACGCCAACAAGTCGACGCCTCTCTCCGTCAGCCAGATCGCGAAGTCGTATTTCATGGCCGTCGGCGCCTCCTGCGGTGTGGCGTACGGCCTCAACTCCATCGTCCCCCGTCTCAAGCGCGTCTCGCCGACCACGCGCACCGTGCTCGGGCGCCTGGTCCCGTTCGCGGCGGTGGTGTCGGCCGGCGTGGTCAACGTCTTCCTCATGCGCGGCGAGGAGATCCGGCGCGGCATCGACGTCTACCCCGTGCTCAGCGAGGAGCAGAAGAAGAAGGCGGAGGAGGCGGGCGACGAGGAGGCGCAAAAGAGCCTGGGCAAGAGCAAGACGGCGGCGAAGCTCGCGGTGGGCGAGACGGCGCTCAGCCGCGTCATCAACGCGACGCCCATCATGGTGTTGCCGCCCCTCATCCTGGTCAGGATGCAGCGCACCGACTGGCTGAAGCAGAGGCCGCGGATGGTGCTGCCTATCAACCTCGGCCTGATTCTGACCACATCGCTGGTCGCTCTGCCCTTCGCGCTCGCCGTGTTCCCGCAGCGACAGGCGATCAGCGCAAAGAAGCTCGAGCCTGAATTTTGGGAGCAGGGCGGCAAGGACGGCATGGTCGAATTCAACCGTGGCATGTAGATTTTGGTGAAAAGCGCGGCATCTTAGAAGAAGAAGATCAAAGAGAAAGAGAGAAAGAGAGAAAACGGTTCCGAATTAGGGACATAGATTGGAACACGATTCTCACGGAAAACGGTAAATCAGGATTCATTTGTTAGCCAAGTCGAATCAGATCCGACGTATGACACAGAGAAACTAGGCGTTGGAGGAGTAGAAGCCAGATGTCACGACCGCTCGGGTTTTCGAAAGCGGTAGAAGCATGATGATACGCGCCCAAGCTTCTGAGCAGGCAACGCCATTATCATTGGCGGTGAGCGGCGCCGGTGGTGCCGTTTCGGGCAGGCGGTCAGCAGCCAGATGTCCAGGTGTCCTCGAATTGACAATGTGGCCCTTGGTTCTGCCGCCTAGGTTAACCATAGAAACACCCGCCGTGTCCTCACCGTCGCTGACCATTCCCTTGTGCATCCAATTCCCCGGCGGAGCTCGTGTCTTTTACTTCTGTTTGTCCTCTACTCCATGCCCGCACTTTTAATTTAGAGACAACTCCCCGCCCGCCAGCTTTTGCTTATCGAGCATATCCCACCCCGTCTGGAGCTTCCGAACAGCTTCGAAGCCAGCTCCCTCTCATTGCTCTCCAGCACAACATGGCGCCACCAGGCCGCCGGCGCTTCGGTGCCCTCACCGTCGTCCTTGCGCTCTTCTGCGTCTTCGCCAGCACCGCCCACGCCGCCTCAGCCGTCCTGGGCGTCGACCTCGGAACCTCGTATCTCAAGGGCGTCCTCGTCAAGCCCGGCATTCCTCTCGAGGTCGTCCTCTCCAAGGACTCGAAGCGCAAAGAGGCGGCCGCCGTCGCTCTCAAGACCCCCCGCACGCCTCTGCAAGCCGCAGGCGCAACCTTCCCGGAGCGCGCCTATGGCGGCGACGCTCTCGCCCTCTCCGCCCGCTTCCCCGCCGACGTCTACCCGAACCTGAAGCCCCTGTTGGGCGAGCGCATCGCCGCCGAGGGCGGCAGCCCCGCCGCGCAAGAATACCAGCGGCTGCACCCGGCCGTGGACATGGTGGGCGTCGAGGGCCGCGGCGGCACCGTGGGCTTCCGCAGCCCGAGCTTCGAGGCGGACGCGGCGCCGTTCGGGGTCGAGGAGCTGCTGGCCATGCAGCTGCAGAACCTGCGCGAGAACGCCGAGGAGATGGCGGGCGCCGGCGCGCGCATCACCGACGCCGTCATCACCGTGCCCGCCTTCTACACGGCCGCCGAGAAGCGCGCGGTTGAGCTGGCGGCCGAGCTGGCGGGCCTGAAGGTCTTGGCCCTCGTCAGCGACGGCGTCGCCGTCGGCCTCAACTACGCCACCAGCAGGACTTTCCCCAGCATCAGCGAGGGCGGGAAGCCGGAGTACCACATGGTCTTCGACATGGGCGCCGGCTCGACTACCGCGACTGTGCTGCGCTTCCAGGGCCGCACGGTCAAGGACGTGGGTCGGTACAACAAGACGGTTCAGGAGGTCCAGGTTCTGAGCTCTGGTTGGGATAAGAACCTCGGAGGTGACTCGCTCAACGAGCTGATCGTCGAGGACATCATCGAGCAATTCGTTGAGAAGCCCGAGGCAAAGGCGGCCGGCGTGAAGGCCGAGGATGTCAAGAAGCACGGCCGTACCATGGCGAAGCTGACCAAGGACGTCGAGAAGGTCCGTCAGGTCCTCAGCGCCAACCAGGAGTCCAGCGCCAGCTGGGAGGGCCTGTACCAGGATGTGGACTTCAAGTACAAGATCAGCCGTACGCGTTTCGAGGAGCTGGCCGCCCAGCATGCCGTTCGCGTCCAGGCCCCCGTCCAGCAAGCCCTTGACGCGGCCAACCTGACCTTCGCCGACCTGGACTCTGTCATCCTCCACGGCGGTGTTGTGCGCACCCCGTTCGTTCAGAAGACCCTGGAAGGACTTGCGGGCGATGCGTCCAAGCTTCGCAGCAACGTCAACGCCGACGAGGCTGCCGTTTTCGGCGCTGCCTTCAAGGGTGCCGGTCTTTCTCCCAGCTTCCGCGTCAAGGAGATCCGCGACAGCGACACTGCCAACTTTGCCGTCAACATGAAGTACATGTGGAACTTGAAGGAGCGCAACCAGAAGCTCTTCTCTCCCTCTTCTCGCACGGGCACCGTCAAGGAGATGCCTTTCAAGATGCTTGGGGACTTCGAATTCACCTTGAGCCAGGAGACCCGCAAAGACCACCAGGAACCCGTCTTGAGCGTTCGCACTGGAAACCTCACGGCTGTTGTTACCGACTTGATTGACAAGGAGGGCTGCAACCGGGATGACATCAACACTAAGTTTTCTATCAAGCTCGACCCCGCCACTGGCCTTCCGGAGATTGTCAAGGCCGAGGCCAGCTGCGAAGTTGATGAGGCTGAGAAGAAGGGGAGTGTTGTCGATGGCGTCAAGGGTCTCTTCGGTTTCGGCTCCAAGGACGGAAAGCAGGAACCTCTCAAGGAAGGTGAGGAGGATGAGACCACCGAGACTGTTGAGCCTGAGACTTCGTCTTCGTCGGCTTCCAGCTCGTCCACTTCAGAGAGTGCCAAGGCGAGCGAATCTGCCGAAGTCAAGACCCCCAAGAAGAAGGTTGTTACCAGCAGCATCCGCTTCAGCACCTCTCGCGAGGGCTTCGAGAAGGTCACGAAGGAGGAGATGAAGCGCATGAAGAATCGGTAAGTTTATCAAACTCTGGGTAGTGATTGAATAATTTTCTGACGAGATGATAGCCTCGTCTCTTTCGACGCTTCTGACAGGGCTCGTATTGCCCGCGAGACCGCACTCAACGAGCTCGAGGCTTTCACCTACCGTTCTCGAGACCTCCTCGAGGAGGAGGGTTTCCTTGCCGCCTCCACCGACGCCCAGCGTACGGAGATCCAGGCCAAGCTTTCCGAAGTCAGCGATTGGCTGTACGGCGACGGCTCCGACGCCGACGAGAAGACACTCAAGGACAAGCACGCCGAGCTGAAGGGCCTCATCAACCCCGTCGTCACCCGCAGAGACGAGGCGCGCAAGCGGCCCGACGCAGTCGAGAACGTCAAGAAGGCCCTCGACCAGACCCAGAGCATGATCAAGTTGATCAAGGAGACGGTCGACAAGGCAGCTGAGGCCAGCTCCTCGGCCGCCGCCGCCGCTTCAGCCGCCTCCGCCTCCGCCTCGTCCTCTTCGCCCACCCCCGCCGCCGAATCTTCCGGCGAAGCCGACCCGCTCGCCGACCTCGAAGAAGAGGAGAACGCTTCGCCGTCCAGCGCCGCCGAGGATGCTCAGGCGACGGAGCAGCCCGCGTTCCTGTCGCCGTACACGCAGGCGGACCTGGACGAGCTGACCAGGGCCTTCGAGGACGCGAGCGGGTGGCTGGACGAGAAGCTGGCGGCGCAGGACGGGCTCGCGGCCACGGAAGACGCCGTCGTGTCGACGGCGGAGCTCGAGCGCAGGGCCGACGAGCTGAACAGGGTGTCGGTGGAGCTGCTGCAGCGGAAGCTGAGGATGCCTGCTGGTGGCGGCAAGAAGTCGTCGTCGGGGAGCAAGAAGAGCGGGAGCGATAAGAAAAAGAATAACAGCAAGGCGAAGGGGAAGAAGGATAAGAAGGCGGAAAAGGCCGAGAAGGCTGCCGCTGAGGAGGAGGTGAAGGAGGGTGGTGGCACCACGCCTGAGCATGAGGAGTTGTAAGTAGGTATAGGGAACGATGGCATGGCCGTGAGAAGAAGAAGAAGGACGGTTGATGGCTTTGGACAGAAGAGGGGATTCAGTCGGGGCGGAGTCGTTCGGTCCCCGTGTGGTTGGGGCTGGACTTGATGATGCATACAGGCCTCGGAGTTTTTACTCGCTGCTATGGTTTTTTTTTACTATCGTTTTGAATTTTTTTCGATAAAAAAAGAATTGGCTATTTCTCTTTTTGTCTGACAGGACTTGTTCGTGTGTTCATGCCTGTGATGAAAGTAGGGATGTGGTGGTGGTTTCGAAACAAGTGATGTGCCTGCGCCAATTGGCTGGTGATATTAAGTCAAGAGGTCACCTGAATCGCCCTACCGGATTATCCTCACTTATAGTAAGCATGTGGTCTTTTCCAATTCTCCATTCATGGTGATTCCTAGTACTCTCTGGAATACGTTCTCTCGAGCTGGAATCCAGAGTCAACGTAAACCACTTCCGCCTTGTTGACATACTACGTACCAGGCGGTCTCCAACACAAAAAGGAAAGAAACAATCGGCAATCGTGTTGCGATTCGGCATCAAACGTCAATGGTGGCGGCTCTTGAGCATTAAACACAAACGTTGCCGGTCCTTCCGCATCGTGGGAGAAATGCTGGGGGGTCTGCTGACGTCCGGCAAGGTATCAGGTCTTGAGCGGGAGGGAACAGTAAATGCATTCATGGTTTTATGCAGGGAAAAAGAACCAAGTCGTTGTGAATCATCAACGCAAGTGTTGGGTACGCTCTGGTCCGCGTCCATGAGTAAGGTGTATTACTTGCATGAGGTGGGGAGGGGCCGGTTTTATACTACGTCGACGCGCTCTCATTGAAGAAGCGGTGGATACGTGCGGCGTAAGCGGCGCGTGGAAGGCGGGAGGACGGTGCGTACTTGCTCTCGTGATCACCCCATACGCGCGGTGATGGGCTCGTGAGGAAAGCGCCTGAGCGGTCCATTCAGTTGGTCTTCTGCTCGAGTCATCTGTATAGTTGCGTGCTTTGACCTTTTTCTTGAAAGATGGAATAAAAAGGGCTGCAGTACCTGAGAAGGATAGCACAGATCTACTGGCATCATGCATTTGTACTAGTGGATGGTTTCCCCATACTTTCTTCGTCTCCGTCCTCTTCGATTACCTTCACTACTCGCAGCTGAGCTCCACCTGCACGAATAATCAGTATGACCGCAACCGCCACCATAATTATATAATGCTCGGCCTCAGCATTTGGGAGACCATCGTCACAGGCCTCTTCATGAGACAATGATAAGCAACCTTTCTTCGAGTCGTCTTGTACCCTGGTGAATCTTCGAGTATATGCAGAACAGAGTCTCGAAAGTGACTCGATAATCTATCTACACAAAGGAGTATTCTTGCGTTGGGATGAATCCGATTTCTTGATGTTAGACTTTGCTGAACAGGTGCTGTAATTCTGGAACTTGAGGGAGCGCCAGCAGGCGCAGTCTGTCGATGCAGGTGTCCACGCGGCCCACACGTACGAATGCCGTGGTCATTTGCCTAGTATGATTCAGTGGTGGCGTTATCATAGGAGAGATTGCCAGGTCCAGCTAAGTATCTTGTTTGACGATTTCGCTGCACGAAAGCGTCTATCATTTGACTTGTGTCAAATGAAAATAAATTGATGTTATTGTATTTTGACAAATTGCAAACCATGGGAAGAAACAAAGACAGCCGTTGCATTTTAATGTGCTGGCAAGGCGTTGAGCTTGGTTCATCTAGTGTCAGACGGAAGAGCGGAGGACGCGTCGAGACGCGACGGAAGGAAAGCGCGACGGGGCAGGCGGGGCAGCCGCGGAAGGTGGGGCTCGCTCGCGTCAACATGCCAGGGTCGCTTACGTATCGATAACGGTAGCGCGAAAAATTACCCTTCGCCTGGACGATCCAGGACTCGGCGCGTCACCTTCGCTCGTAAGGCGCCGCCATTCTCTCTTTTGCACTCTGCACGATCTTTCCAAGCAGCAACCATGGCCGACCACGAGCAAGATGAAGCCGACCGCCCCGTCAAGCGCGTAAAGCTCTCCGGAGACGAGGGCGCCACGCCCGACGCCGCAATGACCGATGCGCCTGCGCCTGCGCCTGCCGCAAAGACCACCGCCAGCTCCGCCGACAGCGAACAAGCCGAGAAATCAGCACTGGAGGAGCAGACTGACAAGGAGGAGCGCTTTGGTATCACCGCCTTTGCCAACACTAGCATCCCTGGATTCTCGGGCATTCTGAAGCAGCGCTATGTCGACTTCATGGTCCATGAGATTCTCCCCAACGGCCAAGTGTGTCACCTCGAGGACGATATCGGTATGACTGCTGTGAGCGCGAAGAAGGAGAGTGGAGACGATGCGGAGCCGGAAAAGCTGTCTGGGGAGCAAGCTGAGGAAGCTGCGAAGCTCTCTGACGAGAATCTCGACACTCTGCACAACATCTTCGGCGAAGAAAAGACGCGGGGCATAACGGGCCTGAACAAAGCCGCTCTCATGAACCCAAGCCGCAAAGCTGCGCAGTTCAAGCCCATCTACTCCGACCCTGTCACCGACAAGATGGCACGTCAACGCGCCCACGAATGCATCCGCGAAATCTTCGCTGGCCGCCTCGTTACCTCGACCCAGGACAACAACGTCATCAAAGTCAGTGCAAGAGGAAGGGCCGGGCAGAATGGTGGCGATAACAGGAGCAACGGTCCTCGTCGCAAGACCTTTGACGAAATGGGCGGGGACAACCTACACTTCACCTTGTACAAGGAGAACAAGGACACCATGGAGGTGATCAATCATCTGGCTGCGCAGTTCAAGACTATCCCTAAGAAGTTCAGCTTCGCTGGAACCAAGGATCGCCGCGCAGTCACTGTTCAGCGGATCAGTGTCAAGAGGGTTCGTCCAGAGCACGTGGCGCACATTGCACGCGGACTGTTCAATGCCCGCATCGGCGCGCTTTCATACCAGCCCAAGGACATCTCTCTCGGAGACCACAGCGGCAATCAGTTTACCATTACGCTTCGTGACTGCCACTTCCAGGGTGAGGACGGCATGGACTTTACCCAACGCCTGGAGCTCGCCAAGGATATCGTGGCGAAATCCACTGCCGCATTCCAAACGGAGGGCTTCATCAACTACTTTGGACTTCAACGCTTCGGTACCTACGACGTGAGCACAGACAGTATCGGAAAATACATGCTGTCCGGAGACCTCGAGAAGTCTGTCGATTTGATTCTCGCGTACAGTGATGAAGCCTTGGCCGCGGCACAGGATCCCGAGACCAAGGCCCGCATCTCCGAGGATGACAAGAAGCGTGCTCTCGGGCTTCACAAGTGGAAGACGGAGAGGAACGGCAAGGCGGCGCTCGACCTGATACCGTTCCGTTTCTCTGGCGAGCGCGGCATCATCAAGCACCTCAACACGGTCAGAAAAAACGGCGAGTCTTACGAGAATGACTTTCAGGGCGCTCTCGGAACGCTGCCCAAGAACCTCCGTGGTATGTACGTTCACGCTTACCAGAGCATCGTCTGGAACGTGGCAGCAAGCGAGCGCCTGTCTCGCCACGGTGCGAAGGTCATTCCCGGTGATCTCGTTCTCGTATCGGAGCACAAAGACAAGGAAGCCAAGAAGGAAACGGAAGTCCTCGACGAAGTCGACGAGTACGGAGAGGTCGTGATCAACCCACAGGGAGACAACGCCGCTTCTGCATCGGGCGACTTCGAGCGGGCTCGTGCACTGACGGTCGAGGAGGCCAGCAGCGGCCTGTACTCCATCTTCGACGTCGTCCTGCCGCAACCCGGCTGGGACATTGAATACCCGAAGAACGACATCGGACAGTTTTACTCGGAGTACATGCTCGACCCCAAGCGCGGCGGCGGCGTCGATCCCCACAACATGCGGCGCAAGTGGCGCGACATCAGCTTGCCGGGCGGCTACAGGAAGCTCATGGCCAAGTCGCTCGGGGCGGTCGGCTTCGAAATCAAGACGTACAGGTCGGACGAGGAGGAGCTGGTCGAGACGGATCTCTCCAAGCTGGTCAAGGAGGGAAAGTCGGTCACGCTGGAAGACACGAAGAAGAAGATGATGCGCGCATACAGCGAGAGGCCTGCCGCGGCCCCGGCGGACGCGGACGCAGAGGAGAAGATTGCTGCCGTCTTGACGTTCCAGCTGGGTAGCAGCACCTACGCTACCATGGCGTTGAGGGAGCTGATGAAGGGAGGCACGGAGGCTTACAAGCCTGACTTTACTCGCTGAGCGACGGTGGCTCGCACGCACGCCGATATTTTTTTCTTGCAAATCATGGCACATAGGGATGATCATAGTATAGGGATATAGCACTAAAAGGTTGCTGTGGATCGTCATGGCACAAGGAAGGATATAGCACGGAAATATCTACTACGGATTAGCATTCTCAATCGAGATGATATAATGTTCACCTCCGACTACTTGATTGATGCATATGAATAGACGCTAGCTTCCTGACGTTCCAAAAAAGGAGCTCCCAACATTCCCGGCTGCCCATGATGTCGTGCCACCTTGCGCTTTGCTTCCAAACCGTCCTTTAACCACCTGTCCACAACCACCAACACGTCAACCTCCAAAAAAGGCAGCCTTTCCATCAGCCTCCCGCCCTCCTCCCCGGTCCGTCCAGAAGCCCCCCCAAAGGGCAAAAAGACAAAAGAATGAACTCGCCAGTGGTTAAGCTGCCTCCACTGGGAGTTGAACCCAGGATCTTCGCATTGCATATTGTTGGGAAATACAAGTGCGACGCGTTACCACTGCGCCATAGAGGCCCGAGGAGCGTCGAGAGATTTCCCGGCTCCCAGGATCAAGGCGAGCTGGCATTCGAGACCGGCTGCTGTGCTTATGTACTTTGGGGTACGTTTGTCTAGCAGGCCTGGCTCGCGGGGGGGGCGAGTGGCGGCGGATGATGATGCGCGAGGCGGGTTGGAGAGAGGAAACGCAGCGGGGAGAGGGGGGTGTGTGCGACGGGGGAGTTACGGTGTGGAGGAATGCAAGGGGGGTGGTGGTGAGGGCTGCTGGGCAGCAGCAAGCAACATGTCGGACGAGGGGAACGGAAAGAAAAAAAAAAGAGGGAAAAAGCGAATGGGGGCGCGCTTTCTCTCGCTCGCTTGCCCGTTTTTTTTCCTTTTCGTTCGTGTCCGCTGGAGAACTCGACAGCTCGACACGCTCGTGCTCGGCTCGCTGCGCACCTCGCCACGACGGCGTTTGTCGAGGAGGAGGAGTGAGGAGGGCGTCGCTCGACTTTGTCTGCTGCGGAAACGGGTGATTGATCAGGACCTGCGTCGCCGCAGATTGATTGCCACCACGGGGGTGTCACGGGCTTCCTTTGTCCGTGGGCTGATTGCGCCTCGCCGTTTGACAGGGACATCGAAGCGCAAGGACTCATGATCAAGCGCTTGATGGTGCGCGCGGATAGAGGAATTTTTTCCCCCCATGAGGAGTTGCCCTAGCTAGCCAAGCCGTGGCGTTCTAGCTTTAGAGGCGGGGTGTGCCCGCCGGATTCATACATGGACCTGCTGCCGTCATGATGTCACTTCCAATCGTCCAGCATTGGAGCATGTGAGCGTTGATTTGCTCTTTCGGAAGTCGGCAGGTCTGGATGCTGGGGTCTCAGTGCTCTTCGGATGTCGAGTCGGGAGATGGTTGAGTACGTACCTCCTTCACCTTTCTCAGATCCGCCGCCTGTATTGCACACCTGCTCATCACCGCTTCCTCTATCTCTTATTGAGTCCCGACTGCCAGTGTCGGTCTACGTGAGCTTTGGTCTTCTTGCGTGGATGTGGAGTGCGAATCCGAGCCAACATTCGGTGACTCGAACGACGGAATGCAAAGGCGGATAACGCGCAACTGACGTACACAGTCCGCAATTCTGCGTGGAAAAAAGAACATCTCGGGTTAGAATATTGCTCTACTTAGGAACAGCTTGTAGCTCTTTCCCAACCCCGATGTTGCTTCAGCGCATGGACGGGGAGAGGTTGATAAGGCGGGCAGAGCATACGCAGCTGACTGCGATGCTCAGCACGTGTCTAAAGGTAGAGAAGTGCATGCTTGTGCCCTATCACCCAGCTACTCCCTCTATTTATAACAGCAACTTCAACCACTTGCTTCTTTAAGGCCGCCAACATGCGACGTAGCATTATGAGGAATTCCTTGCCTCAATTGAATCCTCGAGTTAATTATTGTCGACTTTGCGTGGATATCTGCTGGGTTGCAAAGCTTGGTCCAGGATCCAATCTTCCCGTAATATGAGCTGATGATTGTCTTCATCAACGAGTGGTCCTTGTCACTACCATTTTGTTGACATGGTGATGTGTATTATGGGGCCAATACTACGCATTGCAAAGGACACTTCATGTTGCAGGCGAGTTCCACGCTGATAGCGAGCTGGAGGTCAAGAAACCAAGGGCACCGCAAAGTCAGTAGCTGTGCCCGGCTAGTGTCTGTCCTCTCGATAAAAGCCTTGGTACTTTTCTCGACGTGTACTACTACCTGCGCTTGCTGCGGTTCGAATCGTCCACGCACAGCAAAGCAGTCGTATTCGAAACACGTCACCGCAGCTGCCGATTCCCGCGTCTGATGCTCGCTTATCCGGTCGTCTTTCGCCAAATTTCAACACGTCGCCGCTGCCGATTCCCGCGTCTGCTCGCTTATCCGCGATCCGCCGCCCCCGCCCCCAAAAAGTCCCCCAGACCTCATTCGGACCGCATCCCCCACAACAACCAAAAAGATATCATCAAAACAAAAGAGAAAAGGTCGTGCTGGGGCTCGAACCCAGGTCGCCGGAAGGCTCAATGCATGCATCAAAATCCGGAGTGATAACCACTACACTACACAACCGTGGAGGCTGCGGGTCCTTGAGGACTTATTTGCAACAGTCAGCACAGCGGAAAATATGTAGATAGAGTGTGGCAGCCGAGGTTTAGCCGATTGGGCGGTGTGCACTCCGCGTGCGAGCGACCGCTTGGGCGCGTCCTGGGTGTTTGGCGATGTGAGAATGGAGAGGATTAGGAACTACAGGCGACCAGGCGAAGAGACCACGAGGGCCACGCACGATGACTCAGCATCCGCCCTGAGTTCCGCGAAGCTTAGACCAAAACACAACGCCTCCATTCGCTGGGCGGGGGTTTGGACGCAATGTCACGACGAGACTTCCTTCGGAGTGATCAAGGTGGGGATAGGAAGGATCATCAAGGTCTCTTGTTAGGAATGCGAGCTTGAGGTCCTGGAATGCCGCTCCCAGATATTACCGGCGTTCTTCATCGTCTCTGGACGAACGACTGGCCTTTGGAGCTCAGCAAAGCAGTGGCATGCTTCCACTCTTCGACGGCCCATTCCCTCCGACGGCCTGTGCCCACAGTCGGCATGGGTCTCTCTCCAGACTGACTTCACAAAAATGGTTTGAAGATTGTGTTCTAGAGACAATCCTCAACCTTTTCAAAAAAAAAAAAAAAATCTCTGGTACCGCAGAATATAAAAGATGAGACCATAACCAAGCCCGAAGCAGCTCCTGACACCGAGCCAAAATCCAGGGGAGTCTTCGTCATCAAGGAAAGCCGTGCCGTCATGATCAAGGAAAAAAAAAAAAAGGAACCATCATCAATCCCAAGAATGCATCATCCATCCAAAGAAGATCGCATCCAAATCCCCCACAAACCTTTCCCCAACCGTGTTCAGCTTACCCCAAAAAAACACATCATCGGCACGAACACCCCAAAGCCAAAAAGAAAAACCCCAAATCACCCACAACCCCCATCAACCGCACTCAGAAAAACCCCCCTCCCTTCTCACTCCACATCATCATAATCCCCCTCCTCAATCTCCTCCGCCGCACTCGCATAATCCGTCTCACCCCCCTCCCCCTCCCCATCCCCAGCTCCAGCCCCACCCTCACCACCCCCACCATCCTTCGCCGGCGCCGCAACCGCCTTCATCTTCCCCGGCCTCAAATGGTTATACAACGCCCCGACGACGGGCCGCGTGCCCACCGCCGCCTCGCCCAGCGCCTTCAGCCAGCACAGCTCCCAGCCCGCGACGTGGAACACGAACGTGGCCCAGCGGTTGTGGGGGTCGCCGTCGCCATAGTTGTACCTGTTGCGCGCGCGCTCCGCCGTGCAGAGGTACAGCGCGCTCGCCCGGAGGAGGTCCCACTCGGACGGCGGCGGCGGCGGGGGGAGCGTCTTGTCCGTGGCCGAGGCCCAGGCCTTCGCCGATGCCTCCGCCGACCCCCCCGGCTGATGAGGGGGGAAATGGTGGTGGTGGGGGGCCCCCGGCCACCGCCGCCGCTCCCACCGGCTGATGGTGGGGCTCTTGGCGGCGAAGCGGGGGCGGTAGGCGCGGAAGCGGGCGTGGCACTTGGCCACGGCGTTGTTGTACGACGCCGGGTCGTTGCGGGCGTCGTCGGCGGCGAGGGCGGCGGCGGCTTGCGGGTCGGCGGGGACGCCCGTGCCGGTGCGGCGGAGGAAGCTGCCGGAGCGGGAGCTGCCGGAGCGGGTGCGGGTGCCGTTGCCGTCGTCGCCGACGCCGGCGTCGCTGGGCTGGTTGAGGAGCTTGGTCCAGAGGCGGTTGAGCTGTTGGCACTCGCCCGTCAGCGCGGCGAGCTCGTCGCGGATGATGGCGTTGTCGTCTAGGGTCGGGGCCGGGGCCGGGTCGTCGTCGTCGTCGTTGGTTGCGGCGGCGTCGTGTTTCTCGCAGAGAAAGGGGGCTGTGAGGGTGGGGTCGTCGTCGTCGGTGGCGGCGGTGGCAAAGTGTTGTTCGAGGGCGTCGAGGGTTTGGCGGGTGTGCGGCACGATGGTGTCGAAGTAGAGGGTGTCGAGGATGTTGGGGTACGACGGCGGCGGCCGCGGCGGCTTTCTCTTGGCCTTCCTGTTGGTGTCGCCCTTGGTCTCGTCGCGGTCCTGCTCCCGAGCCTTCTCGTGCTCCGGCTTCGGCAGGTCCTTCGGGATGTTGAACTTGGCCCTGAACGCGCGGAATTCGGCCTCGCCGAACTTGTATCCGTTCTTCGTAGCGTCGATGAGCAGGTCGTGCAGATCGGCCAGCGCTTCCGCCTTTTTCGACACGAGACTGTTTTCCTGGTAGGTCACCTTCTCGTACAGCTTGGTCGCCGGGCCGACGAGGCTGGGCAGGAAGTGGAACTTGAAGCTTTCGCGCAGGAAGGAGTTCCGGATCGACCGACCCTCCAGCATATCGCCCAGCGTCCTCCTGTCGACCTTGATCCCGTAGTCCTCCGGGACGGGGTCGTTCAGGGGCGGCGGCGCGTTCTTGAACGGCGTCACGAGGTCCGGCTCCCAGCACACCCAGAACGTGTCGCCGTCGTAGTCGCCGCCCTGCAACTTTCCCGCGAGGGGGAAGCTGCCTCGAGTCGGGAAGACGACGACGTCCTTGAGGTGCGCAAGCTCCAGTTTGAAGCACGTACGCACTTTCTGGATGTCGGACCGTCTCAGGGCGGGATTGCGGGCCACGAGGACGTCTCGGTTGTCCAAAAAGCTCAAGCACTCGCCGGAAGCCTCGTCGATGAAGCTTTTGGTAAAGTGCACGTGGATCTCACCGGGGGCGAGGATGCCTTCGGGGTCTGCTACTCCTTTGATGTATGTGCACCGGGGAAGTGGGACGCGGACGTTTTGTCGCAACAGCCGCAGGCTTCTGGCTACCAGCCTTTGCATGACGTTGGCCAGGTACTCGCAGGAACTGTCGAAGCCGGATTCGACCAGCAGGATCACCTTCTCATGCGGCTGCTTCGGCAGGCCGCCTTGCCACGCGATTTCGTCCTCTCGGGCCCGTTCTTCGGCAAACATGTTTTGTTGATTGACCCACGTCCTGAGGTTGCCCGGATCTCCAATGGCGTCCAGCAGCCTCTTCCGTTCCCTGTCTAGATTATCCACAAAGACCTTTTGCAGAGAGGCGGTCGGCACACCGCGGTCGTGTAGAATGGGAAAGAATGACAGATAGACGCTCGACGGTTCCGCCGTGGTCGACGTGGAATGCAAGTCGAAAGTGAACCTGACGGGGTCCGAATCGTTGTCATGCGGCTGGAATTTGCATTGGCTGTCAGAGACCTCGATCCAGACGCTGCAATGGCTCGGGTCTTGCGTGTCGGGCGAGGCGCTGAGCATCCACATGCCTTTAGCGCCGCCGATGCGGCCCTGGAAAGTACTTGGAATAGGCCCGTCCTTGTTGATGTTCTTCCACAGCTGCCGCGCCGCCCCGACGGAGATGCGAGAACAGCCGTCGTTCATGACGCGCTTCCTTTTGTCATCTTCCGGCCAAGAAAGCGTCTCGTCGTTGAATTCGCTGCTTTCACGCTCGTTGTTCGCTTTGATGTCCTGCACGAACCGGACTTGCTTCGGTTCAAATGTCAGGCCCGGGCGCGTTGTCGTCAGACCTAGACTTATCCTTGCGAACGCCTTGAGGTACGGCTGCTCGGCGTTTTTCCTCAAGGGCATGAACCAGTTCAACAAGTCGTACGCAGACATTTCGTGCCGGGTACCGGATCTGATCTCTTTCTCTTTCTTTGACTCTATATCCGCCCCCTTGGTGGCGAAAAGGATGACTCTGTATCCGCGCCCTTCATCCTGCGGACGGGACTTGGTTTTATTCTTCTTTTCGAGCTTCTCGAAATGGATCGCGACCCACTCTCTGCCCAGGAATTCCTTGTTTTTGAGAAGCAGCCATTCTACAAATCTTTTCTCAATCGTGTCCAGCTGTCCACTCAGATGGGGCGGTAACTTGTCCCTGCGAAATTCCGGCGTTTCGAGGTATAGAAAACGATCACCTCCAAAAGCTCGCTGGAACCGGCAAGAGGCGTCTTGAAGCTCAAGTGGTTGTAGCCGGATATTAAACATCTGGTCGGATTTGGTGCTGCTGAAGGCCAATTGTGCCTTGAGAGTGATGTTCTCAAAGGCCTTCAAGGTGCCATTTTCGCGCTTTACTTCGGCAGCATCCCAAGCCCTTTTCGAGCCCCGCCTGAGCTTCTTGAAGGTGTCTTTGAGGGCATCGTGATGCTGGAAATAATCCCACAAGCACTGATAAGTTTTCCATTCCTCATCATGGCCTTGGGGTAGGAGTTGGTTTGTGTCGATACCTGCCTCGAGCGCAACGCGTAAGAACTCCCAACGATATTTGAAGTCCATCTTCATCAACTCTGCACCAATTTGAGGGACGAATAGCCCTTGTTCAGGCAAACGCTTCGTTAGATAGTGCTCCTGTGGTTGGGGTGAGCTGACAAGATTCGCCGAGGATGCCACAGAGTCATGTGTAGATAATTCAATGAGCCTTTCAAGAGGTTCCCCAGGCCGAAAACGGGCACTCTCTGTCGACTCATGCGCCACCTCGGCTGTCGTCTGATCTGCAACATCCTTTGATTCGTCTTTTGGTCGCGGCGACCAATACCAGGGTATGTCTGTATCATGAGAATAATTCCCTGAGCTGGAAATCTCCTGCTGAGCTGGTTCTACCTGGAAAGAGCGTTCATCCTCTGGCTGGGGAATGTCGTGTTCCGCCGGTTGGGAAAGTTGCTGTTTCCCTGGCTGAGAAGGGTAGAAGGACGTGGCAAACGACGTGTCCCTCGTCTTACTGGCCTCTCCATTGCGCGAGAAGGTTGAATCCGCCCTGGAAAATTTTGACGCCGTCGATGCGAATGAAGTGGTCGAATCCTTCCGCGACGGCTCCTCTGTTTGCCTCTCTCTCGCGAGCGGGGAATTTGGAACTGCAAACGAAGCCTCGGGTTCGTGGTTACCTCGGGTAGTAGTTCGTGCTTTCTTTGGTGACTGATCGCCTTTTGACGAGGGCGAAAGCCTTTTGGCCGGGCGCATATGCCTTGAGTCATGTTCACCGGGCCCAGAGAGCTCTTTTTTCCGTACACTCGCCTGTAGCGAAGGTGATGGCGGCGCATCGCCTGGCTCCTCGTCCTCTTCGGCAGGTGGGGTGTCCGGTTGCGTTGGTTCGAACAAGGCATCTACTTCACTTGCGGCATCGGAAGACACTTGAGGCTCAGTACGGGAATCTGTCGCCGCGGATGAGACGTTAGCCTACGGCTGGGGTAGCATTCCCGTGAACGTCTCTGCTCATTGAACACTTCCAGCACAGATAGGGATGGAAGAAATGAGAGGTTAACATACGACCAGGATTGAAAATGGAGGAGGGTTCCGGGCGAGAGGTTGGAGATGCCAGGCGAAGAGGTGAAGGCACCGGGGGATGCGGCGAAGTCAGCTGCTCCCGTCTGGATCTGAGAGGGGTAGGGTTTGCCTTTGCTCGCTTCCAGCCTTCATCCACAAGGTGAAGTAAATAGGACAGGAGATGTCTGTGAGGCTTTGATGCTGCATTGGTTTTGAATTCGTGGAGTTGTTTGTATAGGATAGCGCGATCTTTCCAGTACAGCAATTTGATGACTTCGTAGCACCTGTGCTGAGGCCTCGGTTCCTGGCTTGTGGACGGCGAGTACGAGGAACTGCGTGTTTGAAGGCCGAGCTCCCACTCCTCCTCGAGTTTCTCAACGATGGAATTGATTTCCCCATGGTGGCCCCCCCGGGTAGGCGTATGGGGCGTATGGGATGAGTTGCGCACACCAGTGGGCGAAGACGGGCGCGGCTGCATCGTCTCGCGAGAGTCGGCGCGTGCGATCGAAGAAGGGTGGGGCGCAATATCGAGCAGCAGATGACGCGAAAACCGAAGCACATAGCAATTGACGAGCGACGAGGACCGGAACCGGCGCGAGGGAAAGAGAGGCCACGGTCAGACGAGGCCCAGGGCGGGCGCCGGCAGCTGGAGGATGATAAGGCAACGAGGCAAGGCGACAAGGCAAGGCGGCGGGTCTGCCCGTGTGCCCTCCGCCGGCTCGGCTCGCGAAACGCCAAGTCACGTGCGCCCCGGCTGGACCCCTACACCTACGTAGACGTATGTGGTACCCGCCGCTGCCGTGACAACGCCCGCACTCGTGCAGCTGCTTCCCCGTCTCCTCGGCTGGCCGCATTCCGCTGTGCATGTGCCTGTGCCTCCCCTCTTATCCCAGCAAAGTCACGATTGGCAAGGATACTGGCAGCCGGGCCATGCAAGGATCCATCTTTGCTTTTTCGCATGCAGCCCCCGTCACATTGGCAGTCGGATCCCGAGCTTGTTTACATGATTCGATTTTTGGGCAAATGCGCCGCGCGGGATATTCATCATGCATTTGACTCGTGAAAACCAATAAGAAATCCAGCTGCTCTCTACCTGGCCAAAGGTGCCATGTCTTTTACACCTTCATCTCGGTGAGACCGTGCTTCCAGATGGTGACGTACGGGGTAACACCGTCTTCGCGGTAGTTGAGGAGAACGACCCTGATCCAACAACGTTAGCATGCGCGCCGCACCCAGTCCGAGGAAACTGCCACTCACATTCCGTCGGGGTCCATCGACTCGCCAATGAGGAACTCGTAGTCCTTGAAGTTGGCAATGACCTTCTTGGCGAAGGTTGACGCCTTGGTCTCGAAGTCCTTGACCTCCTCGTCGCTGGCGCCCTTGTTCTTGAGCGCCTCCTTGACCTTCTTCATGTAGCCTGGGGCACCAGTCAGATACGTGCCTGCGCACCGCGGAAAAAAAAAACATACCCTTGAGGTAGGTGAGGTACGACTTCTTGTCGAACGACGTCTCGTTGAGACGGAAAGAGTGGACGACGTCGAGCACCGTCTGGGACGCGTCGTCGACATCATCGCCACCCTCCTCGGCAGAGGGGTTGGCACCGATATCTGTCCAGGCGGTCAGCAGTCGTCGGGCGAGCGGCGAGCCCGTCTGTACTGACCGATGTTGTCAGAGCCGATGGTGATCTTCTTGCAGTCGGCCTCGTAGACGGTGCCGTCCACCTCCTTCAGGTCGTAGGAGTCGGAGATGAGCTCGTCATCGGTGAGGATGTCCTGGCTGGGGCGTCAGCTGGCGTTGATCTGAGCATCTCGCGGTTGTCTTGTCGGGTCATTCGAGGCGGCGCATCGCTCGCGGTACATGGGGCCACGATCGCGATACCCCGCACACGGCCCTCTCGGGCGGGCAGCCAACGAGGCCGAGGGCGCGTACCTTGTAGATGATCATTTTGGCGGTTGGGGGTGAGGTTGGAGTTGAGGGGAGGGCGAGAAGAGGCGGCGGCGAGGGTTTTGTGGCGGTCTAATTCGCGATGATTGACGGGCGGAGAAGATTTGGCTGGATGGTGGGGTTTGGTTTTTCCTTCACAGCAGCACCGACGCCGCTAGCACCGAACCGACTAGGCTAGGGCTCGGCGTCGCGCAATCTCCGTTTTCGCCACAGGGCAGGAGCGATGCGCCGCCAGCTCGCCGCCGAGCCGTAGTGGCCTGCAGAACGGGTGACAGCGTACGACGAGACCTCCTGTCTGCTCACCCTCTCTCCTGCACCCGACCTTCCTTTCGCCTTATTGCCGCGAGCTCCGCGCAGCTCCCCAGGCCTCTGCCTCTCGCCGTCGTCCGCATTCCGCAAGCCCGCGACCACAGACGCCGGGGCCCCTAGACACCGCCGCCGCCGCGCCGAGTAGCTTTCTCGCCGCGCTCTTCCGCTCTCCGCCTCCGCCTCCTCACCACCTCCGTCGCCCTCGCCGCTCCCCGACGCCATGGAGAACGCAACCATAGCCAGCGGGCTGCCCCCGCTGCCCGACTACACCCTCTATCCGCTCCCGCCCCTCGTTCCCGGCATTCCCGACAAGTACCTTACGCTTGCCCTGCCCATCATTGCCTACTGGAGCGTCTCCATGATCTTCCACTTGATTGATCTCTGGGATCTCTTTCCGCACCACCGCCTGCATACTCCGGTCGAGCTCACCCAGCGGAACCATGTCTCGCGCTACGAGGTCTTCCGCGACGTTGTCCTCCAGCACTTTATCCAGACCGTGGCCGGCGTGGCGCTCGCATGGTACGATCCGGAGCCGACTTTCGGACGGGAGGACTACGATGTTGCTGTGTGGGCACAGAGGATCAGATATGCCGAGAGGGCTGTTCCCTTTGTCCTCGGTGCAATTGGGTTTGACGCACCCGCCTTCGCCAAGGACCTCTCCGAGTCTTTCCCCATGCTTGCCGGCGTCCTTGCCGGCGGAAGGTACCCATGGTTGACTCAAGAGATCGTGTCTGGCGACCGCCTCCTTAGCGCACCCGCATTCGCCTCTTGGGAGCTCAGTCTCGCCAAGTTTGTCTACTGGGCCGCCATTCCGGCCGTGCAGTTCGCCGTAGCTGTTTTGATTGTGGATACCTGGCAGTACTTCTGGCACCGCGCGATGCACTTGAACAAGTGGCTGTACAGTAAGTTTCGTCCCGATAATCGCTGCACGCTGGCAACTGACCCTGGAAACCCAGCGACCTTCCACTCCCGCCACCACCGTCTATACGTCCCCTATGCATACGGCGCTCTCTACAACCACCCGGTTGAGGGCTTTCTCTTGGACACTCTCGGCGCTGGAATCGCCTATCTTGTGACGGGCATGAGCATCCGCCAATCCATGTGGTTCTTCACCGGCTCCACCATCAAGACTGTCGATGATCACTGCGGCTACGCCTTCCCCATGGATCCCCTCCAGTTCATCACGTCCAACAATGCGGAATACCACGATATCCACCACCAAAGCTGGGGCATCAAGACGAACTTCTCGCAGCCTTTCTTCACCTTCTGGGATAGGCTTTTGGGTACCATGTTCACCGGTGACGTTACGCGCAAGTACGAGCGCGCTCGCAAGGCTGCCGAAAAGAAGGCAGACGTGGACGTGCTGAAGCCACACTTCCTGCCCCCTGCGCTGCAGCCCGACGGCGTGTCTACCTCGGAGTCGACTTCGGACAAGGAGCAGCCGCAGCCTGCGCTTAGGAGGAGCCCACGGAAGAAGGACCCCAGCGCCTCGCAACAAACGGCAAACTTGAAGGGTCTCAGGGACCGGGTCAACAGCAACCTTCAAGGCAAGAGTCCCAATGTTCTCGGCGTCGAAAGTAGCCATTAGGTTGGATTTAAAGGTCGCCGAGCCTAGAGCGACACGACTTGGCTGCATAATGTCTATTTGATCGGCTGTCCCCTTTGGTTGGCTGGGCAATGTCTTCGCTCCCCTTCTTTAAACTGTATAATTGTAGCCTTTCTCATGTCCGGAACGGCTTGCTGTTTCTGCAGCGATGGGGGCGTATAGCTGGATGTTTCTTGGAGTTTGTTTTTGCGAGTTTCTTTTAATTCCCCTCTGGTAGCTTGGGCTCCTTTCGTGTTGTTTAGAAATTCCCTAAATGTAAAACTCACGTTCGCTTTTAGGTTTGGTCTGGTTGTCCGCTGGGACATTTGGACGTGTGATGGATTCACGGAAGGGGCGAAATTGGATGCAGACGCACAAGTATGGAACCCATGACATGCTCAAATGTTCAAAAAGCGTTGGACTTGGAACCGTGCAACCAGGCTGAATCAGGCTGGTCCGAGCCATCGGACACGATGGTGGCAACTAGACCATGTGCACCTCCGGTACCGGCTCCCCGCATTTCCAACTGATGGCGATCAAGGTGGCACCAGCCACAGTGGGTCACAAAAGAGATTGACCGACAGCGATGATCCTTTTATGCTGACGGTCGAAGCAAGTATTCCGACATGAAATAGATGCAGGTAGGTCAGTCTCTTTAGTAAGCTGCCGTGCAGCCAGAAATTGCAGGTGGGTGGCTGCCGGATGCATTGCAGATGCGCCCGTCTATACGGTTACACTGCGGGCTGCACCAATGCCATGCAAGTGGACACAGGGGAGTATACTCCAGGACAGACGATTTTGCAGGCGCCAAGGACACCAAGAGCTCGTTCTTCTGCACTGATAAGTTGGTGACGTCAATTTCCACGTCACAAAATCTATTTCCTTTTTTTCTTCCTTTATCGGAACTATTTATCTTTGTCTCAAGCTGATGGCAAGAATTGCATTAAGCTTGCTGGCAGCGACGACGGGAGTGGTATTTCCATCTGTTGCTCCACCTGGGCTTTGGATGTGGTAGGGACTGGAGACAATATCCTTCCTGATTCTCCAGACATAGGTACAGCCGAGACTTGGCTAAATCCGCCGCTACATCGAGCAGTACTTTGCCCGTCTTGATGATCCTGGTACTCTGCGGCTTCATCCCATCGCCGCATACGCTGGCACCTCGGTTCTGGTAGTGTTGTCTCGTACTTGGCGAGCACACGTCCCGAATACTCAGTCGCGAAGAATCAAGGACAGCAACGTTAAAGATAAGAGCCCTACTTTTGTACACCCGCACACTCTCGCTTCCGCATCTTGGCGTACTCTTGGCTACGGCTACCGGGACAACAACGTGAACGTTGCACCAGGTATCGGAATCTCGGCACCGTGAGAGCCCCCCATGCGACCCGCCAAGCCCAACCAAGTGGCTGGGCGCATCCTTGTCCATACCCATGGGGCTTCCCTCCAGACTCTTAAGGCCGGGCCTCTCCTCTGTGCTTCCATCAATCAAGCTCTTTTCCTCCCTGCTTTTCTGCTCTCTCCATTCCATCATGGCAAAGAGTGAATCCGAAGCCGCCTTCGCCGGGCACGTGTCCGGCCAGGCAAACAAACCCTTGTCTCGTCCAGCCCACGCCTTGGCTCACACGGCCGTCACTGCCGAAATTGGTGCTGATGCCAACGACGGCCTCAGCGCCGCCGAAGCCCAGAAGCGCGTCGAGGAGCACGGCCGCAACGAGCTTGGTGACGCCGAAGGCGTTGCGCCGGGGAAGATACTCCTGCGGCAGATTGCAAACGCAATGACTCTAGTTATGCGCACCGCTTCCTGAAGACCCGACAAGAAGAGACGGCTGATCCAACCCCCCAAGGTGCTCATCCTCGCCATGGCTGTCAGCTTCGCCATCCAGTCCTGGATCGAGGGCGGCGTGATCGCCGCCATCATCATCCTCAACATCGTCGTAGGCTTCCTGCAGGAGTTCCAGGCCGAGAAGACCATGGACTCGCTCCGCTCGCTCAGCTCGCCCACGGCCAGCGCCGTGCGCGACGGTAAGAACCTTACTGTCCCGACTGCTGAGATCGTGCCCGGTGACATGGTCGAGATGAAGACCGGCGACACTGTGCCCGCCGATGTCCGGTGAGTCCCCCGTCGTTCTTCAGGCTCGCCCCCGAGCGGTTTGCTGACACACGCGTAGACTTGTCGAGGCTGTCAATTTCGAAACGGATGAAGCTCTCCTGACGGGCGAGTCTTTGCCCGTCCGCAAGGATGCCGACGCCGTCTTTGGTGACGACACCGGACCGGGCGACCGCCTGAACGTGGCGTTCGGCTCTTCTACCGTCACCAAAGGCAGAGCCAGAGGCATCGTCTTCGCCACCGGCATGTATACGGAAATCGGATCCATCGCTGCTGCGTTGAGGGCCAAGGGCTCCAAGCGCCGCCCCGTCAAGCGGAACGCCAGGGGAAAGGCCGGGCCTCATCGGTATGCTCAAGCTTACGCCATGACCGGTTTCGATGCGCTGGGAAGGTTCCTCGGCGTCAACGTTGGCACCCCGCTGCAGAAGAAGCTCTCCTGGCTTGCCGTCCTTCTCTTCGGCATTGCCGTCGTCTGCGCCATCATCGTCCTTGCCGCGAATGAGTTTAGCAACGAGAAGGAGGTCATCATTTACGCGGTGGCTACCGGTCTTAGTATGATCCCTGCCTCCCTCATCGTCGTCCTGACCATCACCATGGCCGCTGGCACCAAAAGAATGGTGGAGAGAAACGTGATTGTCCGGAACCTCAAGTCGCTCGAGGCCCTCGGAGCTGTGACAGGTGCGTGAGCATTCGGCGCTCGTCCATGGCTATGAACTGACACATCGTAGACATCTGTTCGGACAAGACAGGTACACTGACACAGGGAAAAATGGTTGCAAAAAAGGCCTGGATTCCTTCCAGGGGCACCTACTCGGTTGGCGACTCAAACGAGCCGTACAATCCGACTCTTGGCCATCTATTCTTTGATGCTGACCAGCCTCGGAACATAAAGTTCGGAGGTAATAACCAGGGTAACGGAAAGGCTGCTGAACCTGCAGAATTCCTCGAAAACAACCAGCCCCTACAAGACTATCTGATGGTCGCGTCATTGGCCAATCTCGCAACTGTCCACGAAAGCCACCCAGGCGAGTGGAATGCCCGAGGAGATCCGACCGAGATTGCCATCCAAGTCTTCGCCTCCCGTTTCGGCTGGAACCGGCAGCGCTTCACCGACGGCGACGCTCCCACGTGGAAACAGCTCGCCGAGTTCCCCTTCGACTCCACCGTCAAGAAGATGTCGGTCATTTTCGAAGAGGTCAACGAAGGGAAAAAGCACGTTTTCACAAAGGGGGCTGTGGAACGCATCATCGACAGCTGCACATCTGTCTGCTTGGATGGACCTGAGGCCGTCCCACTCGTGCCCGAGTTCCGCGACGACATCCTGGCGAACATGGAAGCACTCGCCTCCCTTGGGCTTCGCGTTCTGGCTCTCGCTTCCAGGGACTTCACGTCGGATGTCAAGAAGGGCCAAGAGCTCAACCGCAACGAAATCGAGACGGACCTGACTTTCCGTGGTCTGGTTGGTATGTGGGAAGCGGAGCCCAGTGTGCGTTGCGAGACATGCTGACCGTTGACAGGTATCTACGACCCACCGCGTCCCGAGTCGGCGCCCTCGGTGAGAGAATGTCAGCAAGCCGGCATCGAAGTCCACATGTTGACCGGCGACCATCCCGGGACCGCGTCGGCGATCGCCTCCGAGGTTGGCATATTGCCACCGCGCATGCATGAATTCAGCAAGGAAATGACAGACGCCATGGTCATGACGGCCGGTCGGTTCGACAAGCTTTCCGACGCCGAGATTGACGAACTCCCGATCCTCCCTCTGGTCATCGCACGCTGTTCTCCCACCACCAAAGTCCGGATGATCGAGGCGCTTCACCGCCGCAAGAGATTCGCCGCCATGGTAAGCAGCAAGAGAACGAACCCCATCACCCCCACACGACCGCAAGCGTCGCTAACGCATTCATTCACCCCTCCAGACCGGCGACGGCGTCAACGACTCCCCGAGCCTCAAGCGCGCCGACGTGGGCATCGCCATGGGCCAAGCGGGCTCGGACGTCGCCAAAGACGCGTCCGACATCGTCCTCACCGACGACAACTTCGCGTCCATCCTCAACGCCATCGAAGAAGGGCGCCGCATGTTCGACAACATCCAAAAGTTCATCCTGCACCTGCTCGCCGAAAACATCGCGCAAGCCACCGTCCTCCTCGTCGGCCTCGCCTTCAAGGACCGCCACGGCCTCTCCATCTTCCCCCTCTCCCCCGTCGAGATCATGTGGGTCATCATGATCACCTCGGGCCTGCCCGACATGGGGCTCGGCTTCGAGGTCGCCGCGCCGGACATCATGCGGCGCCCGCCGCAGAGCCTCGCGCGCGGCGTCTTCAGCGTCGAGGTCATGGTCGACATGGTCGCGTACGGCGTGTGGATCGCCGCCCTCTGCCTCGGCGCCTTCGCGCTCGTGCTCTTCGGCTTCGGCGACGGCGACCTCGGCCGCGACTGCAACGAGTCGTACCGCGACGCCGCGACGGGCGAGGCGGTTTGCGACACCGTCTTCCGCGCGCGCGCGACCGCCTTCGCGTGCCTCACGTGGTTCGCGCTGTTCCTCGCGTGGGAGATGGTCGACACGCGCCGCAGCTTCTTCCGCATGCAGCCGGGCAGCGACCGGTACTTGACGCAGTGGGCGCGCGACGTGTGGCGCAACAAGTTCTTGTTCTGGGCCGTCATGGCGGGCTTCGTCACGATTTTCCCCACGCTGTACATCCCCGTCATCAACCACGACGTGTTTCGCCACGAGGGCATCTCGTGGGAGTGGGTCGTCGTCTTCGTCGCCGCCGCCCTCTTCTTCGCCGGCGTCGAGGCGTGGAAGTGGGCGAAGCGCGTCTTCTTCAGGCGGCGCGGGGCCGCGTCGTTGTCGTCGTCGCCGCCCGGAGACGAGGACGAGCGAGCGGACGGCGTCTTTGGGAACTCCAGGGCTTTCCTGGAGAAGGCCGGGACGGGGACGGGTTCTGGCGAGAAGGTTTGATAGACCATCGCTGGCCGCCGGCCCAAAGCGGCGGCCGAGCACTCTTGCTGATCGTGAGCTTGAGGTGGCTTCGTGGCACTGGTGAGGGATGCCAGAGCGTGAGATGGTGGAGATGGTGTGGTGTGGCTTGGTCTCGGACTGTCAGAGGCGCGGGGGACAACCATAGATAGTGTTTTAGTATACGGTTTAGGGTTTAGTTAGCTAGTATTTAGCGTAGTTGAGAGGGTGTATGAGAGTTCCTCATGCCTCACTGGGCCACACGAAATGCAACGCGTATCTAAGGACATGATTGACTCGTTCGTAACTCCATATATTAACTTGAAAGATCTTAGAATTGGTTACCACGTTATTGATTTTTTTGAGGAAGCGGACAAGATGTCCTGTATTCTGCGGCCTATGGTCGTACGTGAAAGATGAAATATACCCTGTCAACAGTCCCTCTACTTCCTGTACCACATCCGGGTAATCTAGAATCACAGTCAGTCCCCGCCCGGCAGTACGAAGCATGCGCGCAGCTCAAGCAGGACACGCTCACCTTGGTGTGCCTCATCTTCTTTTGCAACTGAAACACGCCGTACAGCAACGCCTCGGGCGTCGGCGGGCAGCCCGGCACGTAGATGTCCACGGGCACGATCCTGTCCACGCCGCGCACCACGCTGTAGCTGTAGTGGTAGTAGCCGCCGCCGTTGGCGCAGCTGCCCATGCTGATGACCCATTTTGGGTCGGGCATCTGGTCGTAGCACTGGCGCAGCGCGGGGCCCATCTTGTTGGTGACGGTGCCGGCCACGATCATGATGTCGGCCTGGCGCGGCGACGCGCGGAAGATGATGCCGAGCCGGTCTTGGTCGTAGCGCGGCATCGAGACGTGCATCATCTCGACGGCGCAGCAGGCGAGGCCGAACGAGAGCGGCCAGAAGGAGCCTTGGCGCGCCCAGTTGGTGATGCTGTCGAGGGTGGTGCTGTTGGGGTTTTTCCGAGCGGATCAGCATTTGCGCCGGTGATGCCGGATGGGGAGATTGGTGTGCGTACAGGACGTGCTCGACGGCATTGCTTTTTCGCTGTTGTGACGGCAAGGGTATTGCGGTGGGGAGGGAGCTGCTCGACGGCGCTGCGAGTTTCTGGTTTGTTTTCTGGCTCAGGGCCCGGAACAGGCACCTGGATGGATCGAATCCAGGACGCCTGGATAGTCGAAGCGCTGGTGGTGTGAGCTTTGGGATAGTGTTATCAGCAATGAGCCTCGGACCAACCTTGCTGTAGCCGTGGTGTATAAGCAGGCTTCATTATTCCAGGCGTATGTCGGACTGATCTGAAATTGAGAACGGGAACAGGGCTGCAGTCGACGAGTTTATGCATCCGACGACTTCCAGCATACTGCCTGAATAGGAATGGTGCATCGGAGGAAACCCACTTTCGCGGGAAACCCACCTACACCTCATCATTACCAATTGCCGAATCCTTCATCCGTTTGACCAAAGTATGCACGTCGGCAATGTCGTCTTTTGGAGTCATGTCGGCCAAGTGCCGATAACTGCCCTCCTGCTGTGCTGCCAAAAGCCGCAAGACGCCTGTCGCGAACCACCAGAAGGCATCTGCATGCTGCAGGAATCCAAGCTCATCGGCAGATGCACGAGCCATGACCGAGTTCCATATCTTCTTCCAACGGGACAAGGCACCGGAGAGAGAGGCATGGCTGAACCTTAAAAGGTTGTTGGAGCGAAGGGTAAAGAGAAGGGTGTTGAGAGCTGGCGGAGGATCAGCTGGATAGCTTTGGTAAGCAGGCGGATCGGACGAACCGGCTATGGCGCCGAGCATGTGCCTGGTGGAGAGGCCCTCGACTTCGGCCTCGTCGGAAGCATCCCAATGAGCCTGCATGAGAAGTGCCACAAGTGATGCCAGAGAGGACGGCTGCTTCGTCGAGGCTGTGGCCATGCGAAGCCGGTTGAAAGCTTCGGGACTCTCTGCCTCAAATAGCGCGGCTGAACAAGGCAGCGGCGAAGTGAGCTCGGAGATGGGGATCAACGGTGTGTTGTTGAATTGGATGGTGAAGAGGGCGTCATGGAGGAAGATGGAGTAGCGGCAGCTGGCTCGTCCAATTGCATTAGCTGTCTTCTGCCGTCGAAGCAAGTCATGCCGACGCACCGCACGTGGAGCTCAGAGGCAATGAAGGCCTGCCACTCTGAGGCGGGTTCATTCGTTGTCGTTGCCGACAATGCTCTTACAGCCGTGACGATGGATGGGTGCCGCTGGGTTCTGATGCGACGGCGGGTTCGCTGGTCCAGCATGCTCATTTGGGTTGAATTGACGAGAAGAGCAGCCTGAACGTATTCGAGCAGATTGTCACCTTGCATCACCGAAGAAGCCGAGCCATCGACAACCAAGGCTTGGAACTTGGGGGCACGGAACACATACTCTTCGGCGATATGTAGAAACTGGCGGGCCAATAAGGCGTCATCGGTGGGGGCGGTAAAGACGCAACCTACCATGAACATGGCAAGCAAAAGGGGCAAGCAGGCAGTTTCAGGGTCGAAGGATGGCCAATGCAGAACAGCAATATGCTGTTGGAAGGGCAAGAACGAGGCTCCAATAAAGGTGTTCAGGTTCGCGCCGGTGAAGGCTTGTCTGGCCAAAGCTGGGTCGAAGAATGGGACGGTTTCGGGGTCGAGCTGACGCAGCCGCTGGTGGAGTGACGACAGCTCAAATATCAGCTCCTTGGCACGATGCTCGAGTCTGCGTATGCTGGGTTTCGTCGGCAGTGCCGATTGCTGGTCAACAGTAGGGTTTTGGCTACCTTGGCCACAAGTGCTAAGGAAGAAGCTGGGGAAAAGCTCGTCGTGTTCTTCTGCAACGAACAAGTCTGGGTGAGCAGGGCAAGGCGAGTGTTCACTATAGTCCCGGGTTACAAGATCTTGAGGGCCTCCACCGTGCGGGTCTGTAAAGCGGAGTAAGAAGGAGGCAGATGCTGAGCCGTTAATAACAGTCGGGCTTGGGGTTGGCGGAGGCGGGAGGCGGGTCGCGCTGTGAATGCGGATGTACGAGCAGTTCAGGTTACTCCTGCGGCAGGGAGAACAGATGGGGCTGCGGTCGCAGGCAATCTTGCTCCGGGCGCAGTTGTCACAGGCTCGACGAGTGCCACCCCGTGTCTTCTGGGGCGGCATGGGTCGGTTTCCCTTGGCCGGGCATGTCTTGATGTGGCGACGGGCAACATCGCTACAGCCATGTCAGCGGACCGAGCTGCGCGTACGCCGTGAGGACGCACCTCCTTACGAAAGAGCGACTGCAATACGGACAATGGGAGCCAAGGTTGTCGGCATCTGCCTCAGTTGAGCTCTTGATCTGCCTCTTGCTCATCGACGTCAGCTCGGGACTCACGGGTCGCCCCATGCCGGCGCAGATGCGAGCTCCTCGCATACACTTTCAGACACTTTGTGCATTTGTATTCTTGTGTTGATCGGGGCATGGTGGGTGACGTGGCTACGGGAAGGTGCGGGCTGCCCGCGACGACAAAATCGTCTCGCTAGCCGGCGTCTACTTGCCTACGTCGGGTAGCCTCATCGCGCTTGCCGCCCCCAGGCACCCGTCAGCCCACAGCTCCACCTTGACTTTCACCACCCCTTGAACCTCAAGGCTCGAACACAGTTTCCGGCATGGGCTTCTTCACAGAAGTCCAAAAAGAGGCACTCAAGGCTGCCGGAGAAGGCGGCTTTGAGCGAGTCAAAGACATGCTCGCCGGAACCGACCTCGTCAAGGGCCGTGACAAATCCAAATCCATCGAGTTTCTCTACCTCAATGCTGCCCGCGGAGGCCCTATATATGTCACCCTACCCCCCAACGCCGCCCGTGGGGGCCACGTGGAAATTCTCCGGTACCTGTTTGAGCGCTATCCCTACCCGCGAAATTCCCTCCTCGACGCCATTGGCGATGCCATTCTCTACGGTTCCCTCGACACTGTGCGTCTCTTTCTCGACCGCTGGCCGGACACGGTCGACGTGAACTCCTGCGGCTCCCACAGCAGCACTCCCTTGACCCTCGCGCTTCGAGTCGAGCACCGCGCAGCCGCCTACTCCATGACCGAACTCCTGCTCCGATACGGCGCCGACCCGAACAAACCCTCCTACCAAGGCCTACCCATCGAGTACGCCCTCACGTCTTCCTGGCCCGAGCTCGTCCCACTGCTCATCAAGTAAGCTCTCCTCGTCGTCTCGCTTATCTCAGCTGATCTCGGTGCACAGATACGGCGCTGAGCCGTTTCCGCTGGAGAAGGAGCTGCAGTTGCTGCCGCGGGCAGCCAGCAACGGAAGGCTCGAAGCCGTCAGCCGGCTTGTTGAAAAGGGAGCTGACCTGGACGCCGATGCTCTCAAGGCTCCGTACGACGGCTCGGCGTTGTGGAACGCAGTTCTGCGTGGTCACGTCAAGGTCGCCGAGTACCTGATCTGCGCGGGCGCCGACCCAAACCAGCGAAACCACGCCGGAGAATCCATGTTGCAGGTGGCCGAAAGGCTTTCGGTAAACAAAAAGGAGATGGTGGCAGCCTTGCAGGCGTTTGGTGCCCGCTGATGGCTCGATATGACTGCACACTGCTGCGTATTCGCTAACTATCTCCGACGGCGTCTATGCAAGTTCATATACCAGTGCAACCACTTGGATCACATCCGGCTGGCCTCCTACGTTTTTGTCATTTTGGTAAAGTCTAGACTCCAAATATCCATTCTATTGCTGATTTCCATCCTTGTTCTCTGTTCCCCAGCCGCAGAACCTGGTGACAGAGAAGATGAAAGTAGGAAGGGTGGCTGATCGGTCGAGAGGCCGTCCCAAAAATCCGCAGAGGGGTGCGGTTCTTCATATGAATTGAGCACCTGACGCCCGATATTTGGGGTCGGTTCTGGGATCAGAGTACCGAGACACTGCGTCGGAACTGCGTATGCAGCCTGGAGTTGAGAATGCAGGGAGTGAGTTGAGCAAGGGCTCGGAGCGTCGGGCTGCAATGCATGCAGTTATACTTGCCAAGCTGGAGCCAAGCAGACATTGTATGTAGATAGGTGGAGTAGGGCCGACAAAATGAGGCGCGTCCCCTGTCCTGCTGCCATTTTAGGCGAGTCATGGGAGCGAATCACAGGAAGAGGTATGATGACCGGCGGCATGTGGCAGCCTTTGTCGGAGTCTCGGCCAATCGTTCCATCTGCTTGCGCGAGGGCCGTTGTATAGGAAATAAATGGTGCGCCGACAGCGGTGCGGGCCGGGGGCGCCGTTTTTCAGCCGATGCACCTGCACGGAAAAGGAAGCCAATGTTTGAAAGCAGGAGCCAGCAGGTGGCCATAAATCAGCCCCCAAAAGCTGCTTCGCCAGATGTTCACCCTAATCAGAACACCAATCTCGATTGAGGCGGGGTGGAATCCCTGCACAATTCATTCCTGTCCCTGCATGGCCCATGCACCCCATCATGCACCACAGAGGCTTTGGGCAAGATGCAATTTCCACTCCACGAGCAACTGACACTTTATCAAGGGGGCGATTGCTTACACACAACCACATCAAGCCTGGTCTGCCCGAATCGTGCAGTTCGATAGAAGGCGGTGTGGTGCCAGCGGCCACCTTCCGGAGATGGACAGACAATCTGGGCGGGGACGTCGATCATGGCGGCGCAGAATGGAAAAAGAGAAAAGGACACCGGTGTGACGACTCGCTTTCAGCCATTTATACATCGGCGCCGCCATCTTGCATTCGCCATCGCTTCTGCTAGTCAGACGCCAAGTATTATCGTCCTTCATCCCCTGTCAACCGCTGCTCCCCTGCCATACTTGGCCGTATAGCACTCAGTGTATCGAGATGCTGCAAGCGCGAGGCCTGAGGAGCCTGTTCCTGCTCGGATCCGCACTGCTGGCAGCTGCTGTGTACGGCGTCACTCGCTATAGTCTGGCATCTCTATATTCCGAACTTGCTGACACCCCATCCAGACAACACACTTCCCGCCAGGATGCCAACATCACGCTTCTGGACGACTACGAATACGTCGTCATCGGCTCTGGGCCCGGCGGTGGTCCGCTAGCAGCGCGGCTGGCCATGGCCGGCTACAAGACGCTGCTGATCGAGGCGGGTGACGACCAGGGAGAGGACCTGAAGGAACGCGTGCCGGCCTTCCACGCTCAGTCGAGCGAGTACGAGCCGATGCGATGGGACTTCTGGGTGCGCCACTACGACGACGACGCGAGACAGGCCCGCGACAGCAAGTGCACGTACGACACGCCCGACGGCGGCCTGTACGCCGGCCTGGATCCGCCCGAGGGCTCGACCATGAAGGGCATCCTGTACCCTCGCGCGGGCACTCTGGGCGGCTGCGGCTCGCACAACGCCATGGTCACCATCTACCCCCACGAGCAGGACTGGGAGTATCTGGTCAACCTCACGGGCGACGACTCGTGGAGCGCGGCCAACATGCGCAAGTACTTCGAGCGCCTGGAGAACGCCGAGTACCTCCTCGGCAACAACCTGGTCGGCCACGGCGTCGGCGGCTGGCTCACGACGGGCACGACCGACCTGACGCTGGTGCTCGAGGACGCGAAGCTGCTGCAGATGGTCGTCGCCGCCGCCACGGCGCTGGGCCGCAACGTCATCGAAAGCCTGCTCACCACCGTCACCGGCCTGGCCAGCCTCCTGCTGCTCGACATCAACCTCCCGGGCAAGGCGCGCGACCAAAACACTGACCTGTACCAGATCCCGCTCGCCATCAAGGACTACGCCCGCAACGGGCCGCGCGACTTCGTCCTGTCGGTCGCCAACTCGGGCCAGTACCCCCTGGACATCCGCACCCACTGCTTCGCCACCAAGATCCGCTTCTCCAACGACACCACCACCACCGGCCAGCCCCGCGCCGTCGGCGTCGACTTCCTCGACGGCAAGTCCCTCTACCGCGCCGACCCGCGCGCCTCCCCCTCGGGCCAGCAACCCGCCAACGCCGTCCCCGGCCGCGTCAACGCCACGCGCGAAGTCATCGTCTCGGGCGGCGTCTTCAACACGCCCCAGCTCCTCAAGCTCAGCGGCGTCGGCCCATCCGCCGAGCTCGCCGCGCACGCCATCCCGCTCGTCGCCGACCTCCCCGGCGTCGGCACCAACCTGCAAGACCGCTACGAGATCGGCACCACCGCCACCTTCTCAAGCAACTTCACCGTCCTCGAGGACTGCACCTGGGGCCAGCCCGGCGACCCCTGCCTCGCGCGCTGGCAAGACAACCTCGCCTTCAAAGGCCTCTACGGCTCCTCCGGCCTCGCCCTCTCCGCGGTCCTCAAATCATCCAGCGCCGCGAGCTCCTCCGACCCAGCGGACCTGATCCTGCTCGGCGTCCCCGTCAACTTCAAGGGCTACTTCCGCGCCTACTCCAACTACACCGTCGCCGACGCCCACCACTGGACCTGGCTGACGCTCAAGGCGCACACGCGCAACCGCGGCGGCACCGTCCTGCTGCGCTCCGCCGACCCGCTCGACACGCCCCTCGTCTCCTTCCACTCCTTCGACGAAGGCGGGGACGCCGCGGGGGCGGAGTTGGACCTGCAAGCCGCGTACGAAGGCGTCGAGTTCTCGCGCAAGATCTACGACGCCCTCACGCCGCTGGCCGGCGAATGGGAGCCCGTGAGGCCGCCGCCGGGGGAGGAGGCGACGAAGCAGTTCATCATGGATGAGGCGTGGGGACACCATGCGAGTTGTACGGCGCCGATTGGCGCCGACGACGACCCGATGGCGGTGCTGGATGGCGATTTTAGGGTTAGGGGCGTGGAGGGGTTGAGGGTCGTGGATGCGAGCGCGATGCCGAGGATTCATGGGTTTTTTATTGCGAGCTCCGTGTATATGTTTAGCGAGAAGGCGGCGGATGTTGTTATTGCGGATGCGGAGAAGATGAAGGCGTGAGGGGGGCGGACTGGGTGGGGTGGATGGTGGGTGGTGGATGATGGATGATGGATGATGGATGACTTTTCATGCCGCGTATATGTGTGTAATGTTGTATCGATCTCGGTTTTTTTATGACTGTTGCGTGGTTGGTCGACAGAGAAGTATAGGGGACATGCACTCTGTTCGTCGTGCAACCGCGAAACTGTTTGGAGATTCCTTGGTAGTTGGATCGTTCAAGCCTTGACACCATGAGCTTTTTACCTTCCAGTCATTGAAGCTTGCTTCCCCTCCGGAAAGATCGTCCTCAATCCCCTAAACGTGAACAACGTCCGTAGCTGCACATTCGCGGAATCTCGTATCAAAGGACCAGCCCAACGCCAAGTATCTAGAAAATAAATCTATACGCAAAGAGTCTCCACATCTCCAATCAAAGCAACGCGACCCGCATCTCCCCCACACTCCCCACCCCAGTACTACCCCCCTCCTCTCCCTGATACCACCTACGACCACCCATCCTCCGCCGTCCTCCCCGTCCCATACATGGCCTCCCTCACCGCCGCGACCGCCTCCCTCATCGCCGCCTTCCTCCCGGCGCCCCAACTGACCGCGGCCTTCAGCCGCGCCACGCCCTCGGCCAACGTCTGGCTCTCGAGGTCGTCCTCGGCGCTGCCCGGCGCCGCCGGCGCCCGCTCGTGCGCCTCCTCGGCCTCGCGCAGGACGGCGCGCGCGCGCGCGACGCCCTCCCAGAAATCCCACGCCTCGGCCGGCCCCGCGCCGTCGGCGTCCGGGTCGGGCCGGGTGTAGTTGTTGGCGGCCGCCGCCGCGCGTGCGGTGACGAGGGCCGTGGGGACGGCGGCGACGTCGAGCGTATCGTCGATGTCGTCAGCACCACCTTCACCACCACGAGTAGAACCAGAACCAGACCCAGAAGAAGAAAAGAAAACCCCACCACCCCCCCACCTCCCCATCAACCTCCCCCACACACCACCCTGCCCACCACGACCACCCCCACCACGCACCACCACCTCGACCTTCGCATCCTCCGCCACACCAAACGGATACGCCCGGTCCATCCGCCCGCGCTCCACGTCCGCCACCGCGTCCGCCATCCCCTTCCACCGGCGCCCCCCCAGCGCCGGCGGGAAGTGCTCCGCCGCGCGCAGCCACCACCCGTCCGCTTCTTCTTCCTTGGCGGCGGCCGACGCCGCGGACGACGACGACCACGCGTACCATCGCGCCGGCTGCAGCACGATGTGCGCGAAGCCGGCGGGGTCGTATGGTGGGGTTGCGTCCGCGTCCGCGTCCTGCGCCGCGCTGCTGCTGCCCAGTACGCCGTAGGTGCTCGCGTCGGCGAGGGTCTTTGCGAGGGCGAAGGATTCGTCGACAACGACGGGGAGGTTGGGGTCGGCGGAGAGCAAGGGCGCGGCGAGGAGGTGCTGGAGGAAGGCGGCGGACCAGGGGTGGACGCGGAGGAAGAAGGCGTGGGGCGAGACGGCGGGGAAGTCCGGGTTGGCGGTGGCGGGCGGGGCGGGGTCGTAGGCGCCGAGGAAGTGGACGTCGTTGAGGGCGACGGGGCGGGGCTGGGCGCCGGGCGTGCGGGAGGAGGTGAGGTTGGTGGTGAGGGTCGTGGGCGGGAGGAAGAGGGAGAGCGGGATGGTCGGGTCGGAGAGGATCGAGGTCGGGGCGAGGAACCTGTTGGGGGGGAGGGGGGTTGGTTAAGGTTCTTTTTTTTTTTTGGAGACTGAGACTGGGGGGAAGAGAGAGGGAGAGCGATTCGCCGACTTACATTATCCACTCGGCCGCGTCTTTGGCGTCCTTGTTCAACTCCATCGTCACCAGCGCCTGCAGCCACCCCCACTTCCCCCACCACCCATCCACCAGCCGCTTCCTCAGCACCGCCGTCCCGTACCCCCACCGCTCCGCGTGCTTCTCGTGCGTCAGCAGCGCGCGCTCCAGCAGCTCATTCGATCCCGGCTCGTCGTCGTACAGCACGCTCGCCAGGAGGATCTTGGTCGGGTCTTTCCGGCCGGCCCACGGGTCCGTCAGCTCGCGCCAGCGGCGCCTCGACGCCGTGCTGTGCCATTGAGAAGAAGAAGAAGCGCTTTGTTGTTGTGCCAGGTAATCCCGGGGCGAATGGGCGTCGTGCGAGGGACCGAGGGCGTCGGTCAGAAAGGTTGCGAATAGGATGAAGATGGCGATGGCACCGAAGAGGAGGGCGCGGGTCTTGGGGAAGAGCAAAGGCATGGTTTTTAGTGTCAGTCTACTCTATTTTGCGCCGGACTCCGTGCTTGAAAACAGTGTGGTTTCGTTCAAGGTGTTGTGAAATAGCGAAACATGAATCAAATCGCAGAAAGTGACGACGACGATGACTGTAGCTGATTTGTTGCAGCGGCGCAAAAATGTAACATCACACAGCACCACAGCTCTGTTGCAAGCTGGGGAGAAGGAGAAATGGAAAACAGCCGGTAGGACGTTGCGAGCGAGTTGGAAGGAGGGAAAGCAACGGGAGGGCGAAAAGAAGCTTCCAATGACGCGTGGCCAAGCGAGGCGACGTGAAGGAGGGTTGGGGGAAGTGTGCGTGACGCGTTGCGGGGGGCCGCGTGGGCGGAGGATTGCGAAACAGGGGATCTAAAGATATTGCCGAACGCACTTGAAACATGGATCAGCTGCCTTTGGTCTCAATTGCGCAATCCCAACTGCGATCTCTTGTGGGTGACAGGACGGGAGCAAGCGAGGAAAATCAGGGACGACTGCAGGTGCAGCTGGCAGGAGCGCAAGGGGGGACCGCACGCACGAGTGGGTTTCGGTTGCGCGATGGATGGGGCACAGGCGGGCAGGCGGACAGGCGGACAGGCGGCCGGGTTCATGCAGCCCTCCGTCCCACGCGTGGCCGCGCGCTCGATCGTCCGCTCAACCAGCGCGCTGGTCGTCTGGAGGATGCGGGGGATCGTGTGGGTGCGTGGCAGCTGCTGTGGGGGGTGGCGCGATCGGGGAGTGGAGGCCAGAAAAGGGGGAGATTCGGGGGCCAGAGAAGGCAGAGAAAATGGAAACCAACGTACCCTTGTGTAAGAGAGGCATGGTCTGGGCAGTAGCGGCAGTTGCAGTGGCGCAGCCGTCGGCTGTCTCATATGCGAGAAAAGTCTAAAGTTTAAATCGACTGTGGCCCAAGTCACCGTCGTCGTCCGGGATCTTGCCTGTGCTCGAGTGGAGAGCAGCACCGGCGCGCCCCGGGCGGGACTGCGGGCTGATAAGACCTCTGGAGCCCATGGGGCGGTGACTGACGAACCGTCTATTTCCAGCGTCGCAGCACCGCGAGACCGCGTGTTTGCTGACGGGCGCCCGTGTTCGCAAAATCGAAAGGGAGGCTGACGGTAAAGTGTACGAGCCGTCAGCGTAGCGCCCCCTCAAGGCCCCCCCTCCTCTCCCTGCCCGCCCTGCCCGCCCTGCCCGCCGAGTCGTGGCTCAGCAACACGTCTCCATCCACACCGTCAATTGCCGACCGGATGCCAGCGGATCGGGGCATGCTCCGATCTCTTCCGTCGTCTTTGCTGCCAGATCCGCGCATCTGGCCGTCAGCCCGCCAATCACCACTGACACCGCAGATCTGCAAGATCGCCCATTGGGCATCCATCGTGAATCGTTTCTCATATTTGTGCTCGTGTCAACCTGTCATAACCCATGTCGTCTAGTCATGATTACTCCTCAAAACCTCGGTCAGATCCAGGAATTTCAAAGAAAGACTTTCCAATCCACCTTGCCACCAATTCCACCTACAACACCGGTCCTGCATAGATCAAACCTTGATTGATTGCACTGATTCAGCCGGCCGCGTTTGCTGCAGGGGCAGCTTCCTCTAGCACACGGCATGGGTCTTGCCCGACTTGCCCTGCAGCGAGTGGTCCTCGTCCGTGTAGTGCGTGTTGGTCAGCGTCCAGCGGCGGGCCAGCTTGCCCGTGTGCTGCTTCACGTGCCTGCCCATGCGGTCAGTTTTCCTGCCCCAACCCATTTTTTCAAGCTGGATATGACTTACTCCTTGTGCTCCTTGAGCCTCTTCGCATCCATCTTGTCCAACGTCTGGAGAGCAAGCTTGAAGTCCTGGATCAGGGCGTCACAACGGCTGCGCGTGAAGTCCTCGCGAACCACCACACGCATCAGCTTGAGCTTCTCGCTGTGAGGCGCCATGGTGTATGCGGGAACAACCCAGCCACGCTCGCGGAGCTGATGCGCAACAGCAAACTCATCATACTCCTTGTCGAGCTCAGGATCAAGGCGGCAAGCGACCAGCGGAAGTCCCTTTCCGCCACTCTGCGACATGATGATGAAGCCCAGAGCCTTGAGGTTGGCTGCAAGGTAGTCGGAAGTGCGGGTGAGGTTCCTGATTCCCAGTTAGTGAATAGTCTTATGCACACGGAAACGGGGCAAACTCACGTCATGATGGACTTGTAGCCACGCTTGCCCAACCTGATCATCTGGTAGTATTGACCAATGATCTGAGAAGCTCCACGAGAGAAGTTGAGGGTGAAAGAAGCCTGGTCAGCACCAAGGTAGTTGATGTTGAAGATGAGCTCCTTGGGCAGGAACTCGGGGTCGCGCCAGACGACCCAGCCAACGCCGGGGTAGACGAGGCCGTACTTGTGGCCGGAAACATTGATGCTGACCACCTTGGGCAAGCGGAAATCCCAGACCAGGTCGGGGTTGACGAAGGGGGCTACGAAGCCACCACTGGCGGCATCCACGTGGATGGGCACGTCAATGTCGTTCTCCTCTAGCAGGTCGTTGATCTCCTTGATGTCCTCGTACTCGCCCGTGTAGGTGGTACCCAGAATGGCGCAGATGCCAATCGTGTTCTCGTCACAGAGGTTGACGGCCTCGGCGGGGTCGATGACGTAGCGGTCCTTGGTGCAGTACGAGTACTTTTCCTCGACGTCAAAGTAGCGGGCGGCCTTCTCCCAGCACACCTGAACGGCCGAGTTCATGACGATGTTGGGCTTGTCGAACGGCTTGCCCTCGGCCTTGCGCTTGTTGGCCCAGCGCTTCTTCATGGCGAGCACGGCGAGCATGATGGCCTCGGAGGAGCCAATGGTGCTGGTGCCCATGGCATTGGTGTTCTCATCGTGCGCAGGGATGTTGAACATGCGGGCGATCATGGAGACGCAGCGGTTCTGGATGTCAGCCGAGACCGGGTACTCCTCATAGTCGATGAAGTTTTTGGCGAAGCACTCGGTCATGAGCTTCTCGGCCTCCTCTTCCATGTACGTTGTGACGAACGAGGCAAGGTTGAGAGTGGGAGTGCCATCGAGGGAGAGATCGTCCTTGATCAGACCTGGCAGCTGTCAGCGTGGAAGGAAGAGTGAGAGCGGGGCGGCGCGACACGCACGGTAGGCAATTTCCTTGGGCATCTCCCGGTCGGGCATCTCATGCCTGGGGATGTCCTCGACGGCGAAACGGGAGCCATAGACGGAGGCAGTGAGGGTGTCGGGCTCAATGTAGTCCTCGAGCTTGATCTGCTCGAGGCCCTCGACCAGAGGCTTCGAGGTGTCGAAGTCGGTAGGAATGCGCGCGAGATGCACCATGGTGACGATCAGGGAGTGTCGAGTGGGGATTGATGGTGCAATTGAGGGGCAGAGCTTGCAGATGAGGAGGAGAGGGTGGTGTTGCGAGCAGGTGAGGGCGGGGCGCAGCTCAGCTCGGGGCGCGGGGACGGCGGGTAGATCTTAGCACGGAGCTTGGTGAGCTTGTTTCTCAGCTGGCGGCCGCGCGTTGCGTCAGCATCGCGCCAGCAACGACGACGATGGCCTCCGTCGCTCGCGAGCAGCTCCGACAGGCCAGCCGGGCGGCCACCATTATCCTGACGTGGGCAGCGGTGGGTGGTGCGGCGCGACGCCGCGTACGTACGTGTGGCCCCTCACTGGAGCTCAGTCCCTCCCTGCCGGGCAAGCGAGATGCCCAGATCCAATCGCTGCGCAGCCGCCGTCGGCTGCCGCTCGCGTTCCTGGCGCTGCCCCTCATCGCATCCAAGCACCCAAGCCTGCTGCCCGCCCAGCTCCTGCCGATCGCCATCATCTGCCAGCCTCGACGCCCTCTCGTTGTGGGCCGCCCAGACCAGTCTGCGACCGCCCTCTCAGCATCCCACCAGCCTCCCCACCGATCAGCAATGCAGTCCGCGCACGCATCACGAGAGATCAACGGTGCCACCAGAGCCCTCTCCGCCGCGCAATTCAGGCTCCCGCAAGCCCGCAATTGAGGCTGTGTGCATGCTGCAAATTGGCGGTGAGGGGTCCGCTGGTGGTCTGGCCTGGGCTACGCACGGAAGAGCGTCGTGGGAGGGCCAGATAATAAAGCTCTCGTCGCTATTTTTTGCTCGAGTTCCAGACGCGATCCATTGCCCATGGGTCGCGTAGATCGCTGTTTGCTGGCCGGGCTGGCCGCCTGTGCCCATTGGCCGCCTCGCCAATAACGCCCGCCTCTGCCGCTGCGAGCAAGCAGAGCCGACGCGAGCAAGGTATGGGAGTAGCTGCTCCGTGGCGACTCAGCGCACCCTCTACTCTCCACATGCACTCGACTCGAACCAACGTCGTCTCGTCGTCGCCGACCACTCGCCCACTCTCCACGGCCAGCTCACGACTTCTGCCAAGCACGGCGACCTCCGCTCAACCGTCATGTCTCCATTCCCACTTACACGAATCTACACCCCCGTTTCACCGAGCCTATGGCCCCAGTTTCTCCGTGCCAAGCGCGTGGAGCCCTTCAGTCTCTATGGTACATACAAACGGTCCCGTCGTCAGTCGTAGTATCCTCTTATGTGTGCACCGAGCTTCCCGACCCAAGAATTTTGAACAAGCAAAGCCATGGCGGTATGAACAGAAAGGGCGACGAGAAAAAAAATGCTGAAAGAAAGGAAGCGGAATTAAACGCAAATGTAGAGTGTAACCGAAAGAATGTCCATCCGAGTCGAAAAGGAAATTAATCCGCTTGAGCCACTTCAGCTCCACTCGCTTGCCGCTCGAAAGATGCAAAACCAGACTCAGGCAAACACAAATGCGAGTAGTTTTGTTTCTCTTTCCGACGCCTTGGAAATGCCAGATCCCTTGCCTTGTCGGCCTCAGTTTTGACGCCTGCCGATCGTTCCTACCGGTGGTGGTGCTCCTCGTCCGCTTCTCCGCAACAGCCTCGCCAAGCTCGCCTCAACGCGTGTCCTCTTGCCTGACCGAGGAATAATATGCCCTTGCCCCGAGCAACGGCCTAATCGGTCCCGGGAACCGCCCAGAAGCCCCAGAAGCCCACTCTTCTCGGTCTATACCGTCCTATGCCCCTTCTCAAATGATGTTCGCAATGCTGATTCTGTTCGTCCCGCCCGCGCTTGCCGAACTACCCGAGCTTCCTGGTGGCGGCACTGCTACACCACCGCCTCCCTCTGCCCCTGCTGCCCCTGGTGCCCCTGGTGCCCCTGGTGGAGGCCCGGGTGGCAAGCTGCCGACATCCGAGCCCAACTGAACCCTCTTGCCTGCATTGTGCGGGCTGGGCTGATAGAAGGCCGGCTGCTGCATCTGCGCGTGCACCTGCGCGTGGTGTCTAGACCGCTGCTCATCCAGGAGCGTCGCTATTTGCCGCTCAATGCGCTCCCAACCGCCCCACTCGCGCGATTCCTTATCTGTGAGCATCGAGTTCATCCGAGGCGCAGGGTACCGTTCGTCGTCCTCTTGCATTGGTTCGCCGTTCTCGCTGCTGCCGCCCGAAGCCTTGCGTGCTTGGGCCGGGTCCTTGGCGGCCGCCGCCGCCGCATTCAAAGCATTCGGCGCCTGGGTCGACGTCGGCGTGTTGAGCTTGATGCCCGTATCGCTGCCTGCCCAAACCCAACTGTTCTCCGTGGATCCTTGCAGGTCGCCGCTCACGTAGGCCAGCATCTCCTCGTCCACCTCCAGCATGCTCTGCGACCCATTGCCGCTCTGTATGCGCTCCGTGAGCCGGGCCAGGAAAAAGGTCAGGTTCCGTCCGCACGCCGTGTTGACTTTTCTCATCGATCCAATGGCTGCGCTGGCGCGCACGCATGTCAGCGCCGCAACGTAGTCGGCGCGGAAGCACAGGACCAGCGTGCAGCGCCAGAGATGGGTGCACAACATGTGCTTCGCGGTCGCCAGGATGCGTGCCTGCCAGCTGTCCCCACGGAATCCCGGCTCGCCCGGCGGCGAGAGCATGCTGCGTGAGATATATTTGGCTGTGTCCCGTGCGACGGAAAGGCAGCGGTTGAGTGCATCGATGCGCTCCGTGAGGTGGCACGCAGATGACAGATTATGCCTGGACAAATGGAAGCGCGCGAATGGCAGCACGAGGACAGACGTTAGAACACCTGGGTCCACGTAGCTTTCGGGCGCAAGCTGGTACGTCTCTGGGATGGAAGACATGATGGCGCGGAAGTATTCCTCATACGTCTGTAATGTGGCAGGCCCAATCGTCCTCGCTTTCAGTGTTTTCTTCAGCTGGCCTATGAAGCGCATGACCGGAATGGTATTGTGGAGCGTGATCGTCATTGGCTGTCCGGGCGAGGGCCGCGAGATTCCGTGTGGTTGGACGTGACTGTCGTCGACCGCTGCCGGCCAAGGAACTTCGCAGTCCTCGTCGTCGATGAGGACCGGTCTGCCGACCTCCAGCGAGAGGAGCCTAGGAACGATCAGCTACAACGAAAAACCCCCGAAAACGAACGAATCTTACCTGTCCCACGAATAAATCGACCACCACACCCGCCTACGCAATTCTCCCTCGACTACCGGCCACGGCCCAGTCTCACAGTGCAATCCTAGGTCCTGAGCAATCCTGACGGCCGAGCCAAGCCATACCCATCCAGCCGACTTGAGGTTCATTTCCGTAAGGAAAACACTGACCAGCAACGTAGTCCGAGCGTGGTCGATTGTCATCTCGTCCGACCAGGTGTTGATACTGCGCGCAGCAATCTCCATGTATTCTTTGCCTTTGTCTTCAGCTAACGGCGCCCCGCGAGACGAATCGGCTGTCTGCAGAGTTCCACACGCCAAAACCGCGTGAAAGACAGCCACCCATATTTGCGGCGCTCCTTGAAAGGACCCAACGGCGTAGATCTCCTCGACTTCGGCGATGAAGGTCGGCCAGTGAACCAATGGTGCCCAAGCGTGCGTGGATGCATAGTACTGAGCCAGTAATTGGTCGGTGGTGCGTCTATCCGGCAGCGGCAGGTTGGCCGATGGATAAGGCGGCTGAGGAGCATTGTGCCGGTATGGGGGAGGCGCCTTGAAGATGCCGCGACTGTAGATGCGAATGTTCTTTCGGACGTGGTCGAAGTTGCCCAGCGAAGGAGGACCGTGCTTTCTTTCTGAGCTAGGGACTATGTCGGGCAGATTCAAAGACGGGACGTCAACTCGTTGCTTGTCAATGTCCATTGCGCCTCCGTGCTGCAGCATGGTACGCAGTTGCGAGATTTGATGTTTCGCCTCGGCCAGCTGGCTTTGTAGGTCCTGGACTTGCTTGATCGAGGACATCCGACGGTTGGTTTCCTGCACGTTTCTGTCAGCACACTACGAAGGCATTCAGACGACGCTATGCGGAGAGGTTTGCCTTGGTGAACTGGCATCTCACGCTCCTGCTGGAGCACTCTGAACAACTCGACGTCTCGGTGGCGTCGCATTTCACTTTGCGTTCCCGACAAGCGTCGCAAGAGGGATCCTTCCGGCGTTGCCGGTACGCTCGCTTGGTCGCAGACAAGCCCCCAGAGAGATGTGTCGGTGAGATTCCCGAGGCTGACATGTTGGCGTCGGGGAGTGTCTCATGGATGCTGCCCGGAAGGCTGCCAGCGGCAGTGCTCGGCGAAGTCGACGAGTTCCCGTAAGGATAGGCATATGGAGTGGCACTGTAGCTGCCGGGAGAGCGTGCTATCGTCTGGTGGGGGAGGGTGGGTGTCTGGAGGCCATGGGGACGGGCGGAGCTCAGGCTGAAGAGGCTCGAAGCCGGGGGGATGACGGTCTGGGGGGAGGCGTTGGAGGAGATGGAGGAGAGATCGTGACTAGGGACTGCGTGAGATTGCTGGCGCGCGTAGGAGCTGTCCATGGTGGACTAGAGGAACAGCTAGGTGGCTGCTCTCGAAAAAAGATGACGGGTCCCAAGGCACTCGGGTGGTGCCGAGATCTCTGCGGGTCGCCTCGGACTTGACAAAACTCGGGCCCTTTCTGAAAGAGGGAATTAGATGGGCAAACCCTGGTCGGCACCATACAGCGGCGAGGGCTCCAGTGGTGCTCTGGTAGGACGATGGCGCACCGGTCCGGGTCAAAAATAGCGTCGGGGTGGGGGTCTGCGCGGGCTGGTCGTCTGCGTCAGGCAAGCACACAGACTGTGCGACCAGCTCGAAAGGATGCCGATTTGCTCGGAACGCAGGCGTGGATGATCCCGCGCTGAAGTATGGACGGGAAGGCCAGCTGCATGCGCGGCGTCAGCACAGGTACCATGAACAGCTGAAGCCGGGACAGGCCGACCGGGTAGGCGTTCAATTGGCACGGGAACGGGTTGGCGAGAGAGCGGGTATGGCGCTGGATGCGGTGCGCGGTCGGGACGGGCGAGTTTTTGCAGAGCTCCGCGCGTGACCAGCGCGAGTGTGTGTGTGGCGGGACAGACGAGAGGAGAGAGAGGGATCAGGCCTACCTATCACGGCTGCTGCGAGTGCATGAGACCCCCGCTAGCAGACGGAGAGGGGCAGGCGAGGATGCTTCCGCCGCCGGGGAAGGATCAACGGCAGGCTCCCAGGTCGCCCGTGGGAGTGGAGGGGGCGGCGGAGGAGCTCGCGCGGTTGACGTCTGTCGAGATTGCTGGAGCTGCTCTGCCTCGGCCTCTCTGAGTTTTCTGGCACGCCCCCTGGCGGGTGAGGCTGAAGCGCGCGGCCGGCTGGTCAACGCTGGTCGTGGAGCTGCTCTTGGTGGCGCCACGGCACGTACATGGATGCGGGCAACGGTCAGCGGTCAGCGGTCCGCATATTTGATTGAGGACCGGGAGCACAGCATGTTCGTATCGTTCTCGTGTGGTGCGGCCCGGGTGGGACTGCGCTGCTGAGGACATATAGCAGGCTCAGGCTGGGCCAGCGGGCGGCGATCAGTCAAGCGCGAGGCATCAGCGGCGGCGGCTGGCTCCATTAGGGAAGATGGTGATCTCGAGTTAGCTGGTACGGTGCAGGCGCGGGCGCGGAGACGACCCAGCGCGCAGGACAAGGTCCAGGAGGCTAATCTGGCCAGGGTCCTGTATTTGCCGCCGCTTCGACGGCGGGATCTAGGATCCTAGTGGGTAGGCAAAAATCTTCACCACTCACAATCCCTGCAGGGGCCGCCTGCCCGGATTCGCCCGGGGGCGCGCGCTGCCACGGTGTGTGCTTGTGCCTGCTTCCGCCCAAGGATGCTGATGCGCCCATCTGGCGCGGTGGTGATGAGCGCGCCGCCTGCTCGATGCGGCGCCTAGCCCTACCGCCGCCGCGACACGCTGCCCGGTCACGCAATGTGGAGCAGGCCGCGCCTGCCAGCCAACCACGAGGCCCGCCAGTCTGGAGAAGCGCGGCGGGTGGCTGGCCTGCTGCGCCTGCTGCGCTGATGCTGTGGCGCGCGCCGGCGAGAACGTGGCTCGCGGGCCCGCGCTTCTGGAAGGCCGTTGCACGCTGGCACGCTGGCTGGGCTGGGCCGGCGCGTCGCTCGTGGCCTCGGCCGGGCCCCAGGGCGCCGTGGCCTGATGAGGGCCGGCAGCTGCTGGCAATTTGGAGCCGGGCGAGCGCCTGCTCCGGGCAGGTCGGCCGCGTCGTGGACGAGCAGCCTCAGCGCGCACTCTACGCGAGGCTGTTAGCGTCGGCGCTGTCTCACCCTGTGCGCTGCGCGAGGGAGCCGCACGGTAAATTTGGCACGCACCGCGCGTGCTCGCTGCCCGGCGGGGTGGGTGGGTGGATGGCATTGGGGCACTGGGGCACTGGGGCTTGGGGCAGCCGCGGTGGCAGGCGATCTGCTGTTTCAAGGTCGACAATACAGCGCAGATCATCGCGCGGGATCTCCGTGCTTTCGGCAGTCGGATTCCTCCGCCCTTCCACCGGCGGCGAAACCGACCAAAACGACAGGCATTGGCAACTTCCGAGCGCACATCATCCTCCACGGCGCCCGGCTTTCGCACCGCTTCCCGTTAGGATTTGCCGCGCGTGCGCGCTCGGCTTAGGCGCTGCGCGCGCTGCGCTTCTCGGCCCGGCACCAGCTTTGCTTTCGGGCGACGTCGACGTCGCCAGCGATCTCGCAGCCGGCAGTCGCTGCCCTGCCACAGCCGCTCCCAGACAGAAATTGCCCCAGCAGATCGCGCCTAGCCGAAGCCGCCACGGCCCACGCTACGCGGCCTTGAGCCCGCCCGCAGATCGGCCACGGCGCTGTACCGAGATCGAGCCCGCCTGTTGCGCTGCCGCCCTCGCTGCCGCCTGCCTGCGGCCTGCCTGCGGCCTGCCTGCTGCCAGCGGCCCAGCCTGGTGCCTGCCCACCACCGTTGCCGGCTGCCCGTCTGCCCGTCCGCACGTCCGGCTGCTGCCCGCGTGGCCTGCCGCTGCCCGACTGGTGGCCCCCGGCTCAACTCCCAGCCGCCTGCAGCCCGCGCAAGGTTCGTTTTCGTGGGACGCCGCGAAGGATTGCGCGCCCTGCCCGCATCGATCGCCCCGAACCAGACGCCCACTGCCGCGTCCATGAGGCACGCGACACGTGACCGCCCCAGGGCGCGCCGTGGCGAGTGCGGCGAGCGCGGCGGCGAGATGAGGTTTGATGACAGTCGTCATCCGCCGCATGGCGCTGGTGCCGCCCGCAACAACAAGTGCCGCCGGCCCACAGCCGCCGATTGCTGCCCGGTCGGACGGCCTCCGCTATACGAGCGCTGCATCTGCGGCAAATGCCCCCTATCCGAGCCTTGGCCTGGAAGGGCCTGCTCGGCCAAGCGTTCCAGACTCCTTCCATGCCCGCTGCGCGCTGCAACCATTACGAGCCAGCCGCCGTCAGCCCGTTGGCGGCTCCTCCTCGCCAGAGCGGAGACGGCGCCGTTACCCCTTTGTTATCTTCACGTGCTGTCCCGCCGCTGTCCCAAACTTCGGATCCGGCCGCCGCCCGCGTTCCGCACGCCGCAGACCGCGCGGTCCGCTTCTTTTTTCCCCAAATCTGTGGCCGGCATCGCCCGGGCACTGCTCCGCCGGCCACGTTGAGCCCTGCCGTGTGCCGTGCTGCTCTGCCATTGGCCGTGTTCCTGTCTGGCATCCGGGGATTCTGCGGCCGCTTGAAAGATTGCCCTTCTCGCGCGTTAGGCTTCTCGCAAAATTTCCAAAACAAATCCCAGCCGGCGTCTCGCCCTCTGCATAAGACGTTAAGCTTTTCTGTCTCCTGCCCAAGCTACCCGCGCCCGGCTTCCGAAAACAACCAACCACAATGTGCAACGAGCAGACCCACGCGTTCCTGAGGGCGCTCCCCAAGTGCGAGCAGCACATGCACTTGGAGGGCGCGCTGACGCCCGCGGTGCTGTTCGCCCTCGCCAAGAGCAACAACATCGCCCTCCCGAGCGACGACCCCGCATTTGCCTCTCCGCAAGCCCTCCTTGCCCGCTACGAACGGTAGGCTGCTCTACCACTCCCCCGGTTCTGCGCCCGCCCCTGGCCACACGTGACATCGGGAATTCTGCCTCACGCCCTGCTGATCCCGCCTGTTTTAGTTTCACCTCCCTTGATGACTTTCTGCACTACTACTACATTGGCATGTCTGTCCTCATCCATGCCTCGGACTTCGAGGCGTTGGCCTGGGACTATTTCCAGCACGCGGCCGCTGGCGGCGTGGCGCATGCCGAAGTCTTTTTCGACCCGCAAGCGCACACTTCCCGCGGAATCTCGTACGATACCGTGTTGCAGGGCTTCAGCGCCGCCCGCCATCGCGCCACGCGCGAGCTCGGCATCTCAACCGAGCTGATCTGCTGCTTCCTGCGCCACCTCCCGCCGCAGGATTGTCTCGACACGTTCGAGCACGAGCAGGTGCAGGCCAGTTACGTGGGCGGCCAGATCGCGGGCATCGGCCTCGACTCCTCCGAAGCCCCCTTTCCGCCGCAGCTGTTCGAGGAGCTGTATCACCGCGCCGGCAAGCTGGGCCTGAAGCGCACCGCCCACGCCGGCGAGGAGGGGCCCCCCAGCTTCATCCGGGACTCGCTCGACCTGCTGGGCGTGCAGCGCATCGATCACGGCCGCCGCCTGACCGAGGACCCCGCGCTGATGCGGCGCGTCGCAGAAGAAAAGATTCTGCTGACCACATGCCCGCTCAGCAACGTTGTCCTCCGTGGCATCAAGGAGGTCGCAGAGATGCCGATCCGCCAGTTTATCGATGCTGGCGTTCGTTTCAGCATCAACAGCGATGACCCCGCTTACTTCGGCGGCTACATCCTTGACAATTACGTGGCGGTCCAAAAGGCTTTTAATCTGTCTGTTAAAGACTGGGACTGGATCTGTAGGGGTGCCATTGAGGGCAGCTGGTGTAAGCAGGAGCGCAAGGATGAGCTCCTGAAGGCGCTGGACGCTGTGATCAGCGAGTACGAGGCCAAGCTGAGCGCTTAAAAAAAATAAAAATAAAAAGAGGGATCTCTCAGCTGAGAAGGCGAGTCTGGTGTACAGAAAACAGGTGTTAAACGTTGTGGAAAAACTCATATAGACCTACGATACCAAATAGAGTTTATGATTGCTGTTTGCTCTTTCTACACCATCTCATCACGGGAATTTGGTTACTAGTGAAAGTAATGTTCTCCAAGCCTACTGGCATCTTCTCTTACTGATCGCAGCTTGGCCATGAAGTACTCCAATTAAACGAGCCTGCAGACCCAGCTGAAACCATTGAATAGGTAAGTAATGCCGGGTGATGAGGACAGTGGCTGAAAGCCGGTGGCTTTAGAGGTGTGTCTTATGTGGTAGTCAAAATCACAAAGGGCGATGTAAATAGATGAAATGATCACCAGCCAAAAGACTGATGGCCTTTGTCGGGTGGCTACTGATGCTAGAGAGAAGCAAGGTGTGAACGTTATGCAAGAAAAAAGTGATGTGGAAGACCTACAAATTCCCGCCGTTCAGACCTTTTGGAGGTGAATGAAGAGTTGGAGGTGAAGAGTTAGCGGTGAGGCACGGTTGGTGTGAGTTACACTCACTGCACCTTCCCGATCCACGGTCACTGCCTTAAACGGCTTGACGTGAGTACCTTTGCTCTTCGTTCCCCAGGGCAACCGCAACGCGCACCCCCCCCAAACGGGCCTAGCGTTGCCCGCCTGTCGCGTGCCGCAGCTTCCCATCAACGAGCGGCAGCTACAAAAACCTCTCGCCCGCTATCTCTTCCTCCAAGCTTCTTCAACTACCGCGGATCACTCCGCCCACCCAAGTCTTTCAGGCGCGCACGCCGTCAGCGCCGCCGACCGATATCGTCGCGCCTACCGCACCACGCTCGACTCTTCTTCGCACAAGTAAGTCCCTTCTTCACCTCGTTGTCACAGCCCACCCATGCCCCATGAATGACCGACGGACCCAAGCCGGGCCGTCAAAAGAACAGCTATCTGAGATCTACGACCGAAAGTCTCGCGCTTTCCATGTCTGCAAGCCCTTCATTGCGGTGGCGTCCGTCTTCCAATCATGGCCTCGCTAGGTTTGCCTTCGCGGGTGTAACCGCTGGTGTGGTTGTCAAGGCTGGATTAGAAGGGTGCGCGGTCATGGAGGCGAGGGATCTAGGTCCAGAGACGAAAACACAATATGAGCTAAATCTGACCCGGGGAGAGAGACATGTTTGAATTTTGCCACAAAGATTCATTCAAGAAACGCTTGCGCTGACAAGTCGTGATTATGAGCAGGTACCGATTGCACTGGCTGCCAGCCTGGGCGCATCGTCATCGTCATACGAGTGCGACTGTGGAGGACGAGGTTTGGAGGGCTTGGGTAGTGGGAAGCTTTCGGTTTTGGATAGTAGTTACTTCTTCATCAAATGCGGAGTCTTGCGTATACCATCTTTCTTTGCTGCTGAATGTGTTCACTGGAAAGCTGTAAGAGGGTACATCCACCTGCTGGTAGTGTGGAACTGCACCAATGTTGAGAATGCTGGGAATTGGTGAGCGCATGTCCAAGGTCCTGCGGCTCCACCAAATATAGTCGCATAGATACTAGCACCTTTTCTGCTTCCAACACACGTAAGAACCCACACCAATATCACTCTGCGCGTAGATCGCACACATCCAATCTCGTCTTCGGAAGCTGGGTGGCGCATTAGACGATGACACTTGAGCCACAAGCCTGTGCGGCAAGCATGTACAGATATTAACCTATAAAGTCTTTAAATACTCCCGATACTCACAGCATTGAGTAAAGTGCTTGAAACAAGATGCAGATATACAAGGTGATCCTTCTTTCGTCCTTACCCAACAAACCTCACGCTCTTCACCTGCCTTCAGTACTTCGTAAAATCCTCCTTCGGCGCATTTCCCTCTTCCTCCCCAGTGCCGTATTTCCTCACGTGCTCCTTTGCGGCAGTCCTGTCCGCCTCAAACGCCTTCACCTCCTCACTATCCATATGCTTGGCGACCTGGTCAGCTTGCCACTTCTTGAAGCTGAATCCCAAGCCCTCGTGGCTGTAGTCCTTGTCATTGGCCTGATCCTTGTGGTACTTGACTTGGATGAAGTCCGAGTCGACCGTGTCCGGGTCGAGCGACAGCGAGACGAGGCCCGTCACCCGGGCCGTCTTTGGAATGACGCGGAAAGTCCACGACTGTAGAAAGACAGACAGCCAGTAAGCGCACCGTCGACCTTTCACGATTTGTTCCGAACATCGGGAGGCGGGGGGAGGGGGAAAGACTCCCTACCTGATCGTTCTTGAACTGTATGAAATCCCTCTCGTTCTTGACGACCTGGTAGCCGTTGTTGACGCTGGCGCTGAACAGCTTCGGCAGCGCGAACCACTGGCCGGCCATCTTGAAGCGGTCGTTGGCGTAGACGAACTGGTCGTCGTACACGCAGTCGGCCGCGTAGCGCCGCACGCGCTCCACCGTCGGCGCGCAGCCGTACAGCGCGACGATGTCGTCGACCAGCGCCTGCCGCGGCCCGTCCAGCGGCAGCGACTTGGATGGGTCCGGCGTGTAGTCCTCGTCCGTCGCCGTCTGCCGCGGCTCGAAGTGCTCGCCGGGCTTGCTGCTGCTGCTGCTGCTGCTGCTGCCCGCGGTGGCGGAGGTGGACATGTTGGCTGCCTTTTGTTGCTGCTGCTGCTGCTGCTGCTGCTGCGTCGAGGTGGTTTCCCTGACGCCCTTGGGCTGCTGTTGCGGGCGGTCGACGCTCAGTCTTCGAAGCGGTGGGTTCACTCTCTGCTCGGAGGCCTTGAGCCTTGCGGTGTAGACTTGCTGCGGATGCAGTATCGATGCCTTGTTGAAGATCTTCTTCGCGCCGGACATCAAGAGGTTTGAATGCGTGGGGTAGTCGTCCTTTGCTTTCTGCTCGGACGGAGGCGGCTGTGCTGTTGCAGGCGGAGAGGAGGCAGTGGTACTGTTTGCGGCGCTCATTTTATCGATAGCTCCTATTTTGGGTCGTCTGGTACTGGTGCAATGCGGGGTCCAGTTCAATCTATGATACGGGGATGACGTGAGGGATGACTTCACGAGAGAGCGGATTAGGGTGAAGGCGCGGTGTATGTGTGTGAGACGGAGCAGACGGCGTGACGGCCTCTCGGCAGAGACACGGACGCACCATCGCCCGGCTACGCTTCCACATGCGCATCGTCTGAGGACGTCCTTGTCCGGCAGCGCTTGGCGGGGTGATGATCGCAAGCAAAAGACGCCAACGTTGGACGCCTACTACGTAGTGACGCCCATGACGTCATTGTCATGTCCGATAAGATAGGTAGGTCTTATCGATAAGCCCACACCTGCAACAGCCCTTAGGTGAAGCTCATTCGGGCTCCCGAGACGTACGTTCACTACCCATGGAGCTCTTGTTGAAATCCCGAGGCCTTTGGGCCCCTCAAAATCGGAATCAATTAGTGCAAGGCTATCTACATAACTGCCGCCCCTCGGGCAGCTATGGGAAACAGCGTGAACCCAGATGGTGAAAGCAGCCTCTCTGAATCTCGCCGATACCTCCGTTGACCCCGACGCCTGGAACAGGATAAAACGCCTCCAACATGCTATTTGTGCCTTCTCGGCTCCATAGCATCCCAATTTAGCCGTGCTGTATGCGAAAAGCAACCCACCCGTGCTGATTACTGAATTGTGTTTCAAAGCCACTGCTGAGGCATGTGTTGGTTTTTTTTTCTTTTCTTTAGGAATTTTGCGGGAGAAGAGCAATCTATCCACCGATCTGGTGAATACTTGGTTTTTTTTTTATATCTTTCGAATTAGTGCAAGGAAACGACACAAACCTGGAATCCAGTCGCAGGCCTTGATCCTGGGGTTGCTTAGCTCTCTATGGAGAGGAAACGGAGGTTCGGTGCGGGTGATCTGGCGAATGTGCAAACTGTGTGCGATCTGCTCTCATCTTTCGATCAATCAGGCATCTGCTCCACTCCACACTCTGAAGAGGCGATCAACGCTCAAACTACACCTTGGTGCTGAGCTCAGCCGGCGGGGGTTGCCACCGCCTCTCCGTTCGACGAGAGGCGACGCTTTGCGGAGTTCTGCGACAGCGTTTCCTGTACCATGTAAGCATTGCATCAGCAAAAGACCCATGTGCTCGGAGCAACCTAGCCCGAGCGATTCAATCGGGGACTCTTCTCGGCGGAAGAGTTGCGCGACTTTCACCGGCGGCGCGCCTCCAGACTCGGGTTTTCTTCCTTGACTGACCTCCATTCCGGCTTCGCGATGAGAGCGCTTCTTTGTCGTCTTAACTTTCTTGGCCTTTACCGGCTTCGCCTCGCCCGCGTCAAAGCAATCATCTGGGAGGTCGTAGCTGCCGCACATCAGTATATAAGGGGAGGTTGCCTGTTTCGAACCAATCCTTGGGGCCTACCTCCTCGTGTGCACGATGCGGATTGAATGCAGGTGTTGATCGTAGTTAGCCCACTCCTGGCACAGACGCTTGAATTCCGAGACCGCATAGGAGATGTCAAGTGACTTGGCGCCTGCAGGATTTAAGCAGCCAAACCTTGTCTGAACTCATAGGAGACTTACCTGGCTTCAGCTCAATGCCAATGTAGAAAGTAGTCGTGTAGACGGTAATGGGGCTGTCGCCGTTGGCTTCCTTGCCGTTGGCGTCGCCGTTGGACAAATCGAGCTTGTCTGCGGCGCCCCCAGCACCGATGTCCTGAAGCATGCCGTTCGACTCATCAGTGGTGTCGGTCTTGACCGAGTACTTCACGCTACCCTGCAAAATCTCTTCTTTGTCTTCCTCCGTCTTGCAGTGATGGACGCGCTTGAAGCCTTTGTTGAATGGCTGGGCCAGTTCAACGTCCTCCGCGGGCGATTGTTCAATCAAACCGACGAGCTTGCGGACCTTGGACTCGACAGAGCTGCTCCAGTTGTCCTGCGCCTCCTTGTCATGGCTTGCTGCGACAATGCTAAGATAGTACTTGAAGTCTTGGGTGAAGAAGGTGTGCTTATCGAACAAATCCCGCCAGCGTCGCTTCTCCGCCAGGATATCACTGGTGATCTGGCTCGCACGCAGTAGTTCGCGCTTGATGACCTTCTGCGTCGAGTGTGTAATGTTGTGCGTTGCACACATTGAAGGGTAAGCAGGGGTGATGATCGGCATCAGGTGGCGCTTGTCGCCGGGGTAGATTTGAGGATTCCAGACGCGGACTTGCAGCGGACCATCCTCGATCTCCTTCAGCATGATGGGACGCGGCCAGGGCCATGTGCTCATCAGGTAAAAGAAGCGGCCCAGGACAACGGCAGCACAAGCCATTGGGTACAGCTGGCATATACGCGCAACCATCATAGCCCAAGCGATACCTCCCGGGAACCCAACAATGTTCGCATAGATGGCGTGGCCTGTTCGTCCCTATATCAGCTTGGCGTGACCGAAAAACCATGGATGTCTACACGTACGCTGAGCCCATAGCTTGACAGCTCTGGTGACCTGTCTGAAGATCTTAGGTTGAGGGACCAGAGAGAGCACCTCGTCCGTAACGCGAGTGCCGTTCACACTGCGCAAATCCGTCTCATCCAGACCACGGAGCAAGCTATTGTCCTTCAAGTCGAGATCTAGGGGTACCGAGGCGATGGCAAGGCGAGCGAAGATCAAGTCGATATCGATCCCGAGGAAGTCCATCTTGATGATTGGAGTGAAGGCATCGGGAACCGGCGAGAATTTCTCGATGGCGCCAGGAGGCGCAACTTTCTCGAGGACGTTGATGAAATGCGCAAAGAAGTCGTCACGGGTGACGTGCTTGGGTGCAAGGACGAGCGTATCGATATCGGAGCCTAATCCAAGGGAAGAAAAGCATTAGAGGAGCGGTGTTCGTGCGTGCGCGGGCGCGCGCCAAACGGACAAGTACATACCGGGACCGTAGACACCCAGGCGATAGCTACCAAAGGTGCAGATCTTGCCGCCAGCGTTCTCGATAACGGAGGGCGCAAGGCCCTTCACATGGCCAACGTGACGGACAAACTCTTCGACAGCCTTTTGCAGAGTGTGCAGAGCGGCGCCCCTGCGAAGCGTCAGCACGGCGCAGACGGTGGTGGTGAGGGCGACAAACGCACCTTTTCTCCGTCTCCTCTGGGGCCTCAAAGGTGTTCTGGCTGCGCAACTCGTCCAGAAGAGCGGCATCCAGCGCCAGCTCGGCATCGGTGGGGGGCGCGCGTGAAATGGGATCCGTCACGCCCCAGCGCCTACCGGATTGGCCGGCCATCTTGCCTCAGGCGACGTGAGGGCGAGCAGATGAGTGGCGGGTGCGCAGCTGTGGAAAAGGTAGGTTGGGGCGAGCGCGCAGCTTTGGAGCGGCAGGTGGGGGTTCGGAGTGGCTGGATTTAAGCGCAAAGCTGCATGCCGGGGCGCTGAGGACGGGCGACTGGGTGGATGGACTGGGTGGCCAGGGTTCGGGTGGTGGTGGAGGTGATTAGGTTGTTGAAGCAGGGCAGCGTCGTGCGAGCGAGGAGCTTCGCGCCAAGGCCAAGGCACCATCATCCACACGGGTTGTGGCCGCGCATCGCCGACCCGCCTGTGCCTTGACCCTGGCGCTGCCTCTCAATTTCGCCGCACAGCCCGCCCGCCTGCCTGCGCGGCCAATGCCCACGCCTAGTTTCACGTCGCTTGTCATTTCGGGGCGACACAGTCTGCTACAGCATCGGTACTCATTATACTGCAGAACCAGTACGGCGCCCGGGCCCTCTATTTCCTCCTGGCGGCCCCTACCCGCTCCCAAAAAAAGCCCCCAGCTTCGCGTCGAGCCACTGCACATCGTCCTTGCTTTGGCCGGGTCCTGCAGCGCCGTCTCAGCATTCCGGTCCACACACACGGCTGTCGCGCATTGCAACTCACCTCCAGCCCAATGTCCCCAGACGGACGGGAAAGCCTCCATCGCGCCTATCCCCGGGCGCATGGTGGCGACCTCATTGGCCGAGTCCTCGGGACTGTGCATTCGGTCAGCTTTGCCTGGATGTGTGCTTGCTGATCTTACGGGAAATAGAGATCGGTCTTGCTCGGCAGCACCAGGGCTTTGGCCGTGATGCCCTGCATCGCCTTCGCAAAATCTCCGTTGTACGGCTCCTGGTCTGAACAGTCTCCTGCCTGCCATGTGTGAAGCATAACCATGAGGTTTTCCGGATCTGCCTGCGTTAGCGTCCGGATTTGTTGCACGTCATCTGCGACAAACCCTTAGAACACGCCCATGCTTCCCAAAAGTTCACCATGAAGTCCTCCAGATTCTTGAAGCCCAGGGCCGTCTCGTACAGCTTCTCTCTGTAGAATGCCTGGCTGAATCCCCAGCCGGCGTACCCACGGCCAAATGCTTTGAGACCAACGCTTTTCTCCTCAGCTGTCCAAGGACGATAGTCGCCAGCCTTTGCCAGCGCTTCGCCCTTCGCTGATCCGCCCGACGGCACGCCCTTTGCGGCCAGGAGAGCCGACTTCACGCCTTCGAGGAAGACCTGGTTGTGCAGCGACGTCTTCGCAGATCCACAGAAAGGGACAACCAGATCCATGAAGTCGGGATATTGGGTAGCCCATTGGTAAGTCTGGCCGGCGCCCATGGACCATCCCAGCACGGCTTTGGCATGCTTGATACCCAGATGCTTTGTCACTAGCTCGTACTGGGCTCGTACATTATCGTAGAATAGGACGTCGGGGAATGGCTTCAGTCCAGGGGTGTTGGAGGGCGATGAGGATTGGCCATTTCCAAACAGCGCGGTGATGACAATGAAATACTTCCGCGGATTCAATGTCTTGTCTTCTCCAATGAGCCATTCGTTGTCGGAAATCACTATGAGTCTCAGCCGAAGCGACCTTGGGAGGCGCAATGCTCAGGTGCACACCTACGTCCAGAGTACCAAGTGGGGTAGATGACAGTAGGCAGGCCGGGTTCACCGAAAGTCTTGTATGCAATGAAGGCGTCCGGGATGAGGCCGCCGGACTTGAGCTTGAAATCGCCGAGCTTGTACGTGCTGTAGTCTGCCATTTTGAGTCCAAGCAGAGGAACAGGTCAGGGCTGTTCGAGGCCAGCTCGGTCGATGCGATGCAATCTATAGGCGTTCGCGCCGCAGATAAGCGGGAGCTACCTACCCCTCTCTCGCCGGGCAGGGTGGTGCCTTCCCTATCGCTCCTTAGCGGGGTAGTAGCTAGGCCGATGACGCGCACTGACTCTGCGCGCCCGCAATCGACCGCGCGCGTGAATCAGTCCACATGGCCAAACTCCTTCCCGCCGTCGGCTGTGAGCCCTGCCGAATTCCTTACCCGCGCCTTGCTGACAAGCCGGCTAGAAGCCGCTCGCGGACGCAGATCCGCCCCACCATCCGTCGTGGCTGCATTTATAATTCTGGCCAGCACTACTTCACGACATCGCCCGCCCATAGGGAAAGACACAACAAGACTTAGAGCAAACAAACTCCGGAAACGATACATCAGCAGCCATGGCCGACAGCAGAGTCCACTTTGGCCCTCCCGACGGCCCCAGCTCGATGATGGACAACGAGAAACAGATTCAGCGGAACCCTCACCCAGACTTCAAGCAAGTCGAAAACTCCCGCCCAGACTGGCAAGACAAGCCCATTGCATGGTCCAAGACCAAGAACCCCGACTGGAAGCTCGGCGACGGGCCCAACGACGGCGGCGAGAGCCTAAACAAGAAGCACGTCGAGATTGACCCGTACGCCGACGGCCGCCCCGCCGTCTTCAACTACAAGCTCCTGATCTCGGCCATCACCCCGCGCCCCATCGGCTTCGTAGGCACCCGGTCAAAAGATGGTGAGGAAAACATGAATTAACGCCCGTACACTTTCATCATCCCCATGAAGCGCAGAACCTGCTGACGCGCACGTCGTACGTCGGCGACATGAAAAAGGCTCGTCGACCAACCTGGCCCCCTTCTCCTACTTCAACATCGTCAACCACGACCCGCCGCTCTTCATCATCGGCTTCGCCGGCGGCTGGCACCAGGCCAAGGACTCGCTGGCCAACCTGCGCGACAGCGGCGAGTGCACCCTCAACATCATCTCGGAGCACTACATCGAGGCCGCCAACGCCGCCAGCATCAACGCCCCCTTCGGCGTCTCCGAGTGGGCCCTGACCGGCCTGCACCCGGCCCCCTGCACCGTCGTCAAGGCGTCGCGCGTCAAGGAGGCCGTCTTCTCCGTCGAGGCCAAGCTCTACAAGACCGAGGAGTTTGAGAGCCGCGCCACGCCGGGCAAGAAGACGGGCGTGCTCGCCATCGTCGAGGGCGTGAGGTTCTGGGCGAGGGAGGACGCTTTGAACGAAGAGCAGAATTTGATTGACCCGCAGGTGAGTGTATTTACTTTTCTTTCCTGTGCGTCATGGTACCACGGGTTGCTGATCGGAAGCGTGTTATAGGTTTTGCGTCCCATGGCCAGGCTCGGAGGCATCTCGTACGGACGAGTTGTCGAGGCTCTGGAGCTCCCGCGACCCGACTTTGAGCAGAAGATCAAGTCTGATGATGCAGAGAATCTGAAGCAGCCCAAGGCCAAAGGAGAGTAACATAAGTGTTGCTTATAGTGTGAGATGAAGGCACTGTTTCCTTGTAGAAGCGGGATACCAATATGGTTCATGACTTATAAGAGCACCATTTGGGATGCAAAGTAGAGTATATATAAGATTCCAACAAACAATCTAAGGCAATCAGCCAGCACTGGGAAACAGTGCGGCGTCATAACTTTTTTAGTCCGACAGTTTTATATTATTATATAAAGAAAACAAAGTCTTTTGGTATTATGCTTAAGAGATAAGAGATCTCTTCGCTTGCTTTTAAGGTTCTCTTACTAAAAAAAAAAAAAGAAGAAGAAGAAAAAGAGGAAGAAAAAGAGGATCCGGGTTGGCCATTTGAACGCCCGGGTGGCCCATGAAGATATACTGGCCCATCGCTCGCTTGACCAGGTTCCGCTTTCAGGAGATGGCCGTGGGAGCCTCATCCGCCGGCGCCGACACGGGCGGCGCCTCCTGCTCCTCCTCCTCCTCCACCTCCTCAGTTTCCGGCGCCGACACGGGCGGCACCTCCTGCTCCTCCTCTCCCTCCTCTCCCTCCTCCCCCTCCTCCTCCTCCTCCTCCTCTTTCTCCTCCTCTGCCTTCCCGTTTTCGAGCCCGGCCTCCTCCCGCATGAGCCGCTGCCGCCGCTGCCGCTGCTGCTTGGCGCGCTCGGCCGGGCAGTCCCTCACCATGTGGCCGCTCCCGCTGCAGTAGTAGCACACGCCGGCCCAGAACCGCCTGCTGTACTCCTGCTCCGGCAGGGCGACGCCGTCGCGGCCGCGCGGCCGAGGGTCGTAGACGGGAGGGCGGGCCAATCGGACGGGCGGTTGGACGGGCGGTGGCAGCAGCGGCGGGAGCGGCGACAGCGGCTGATAGGGAGGCCCCGCGGGCTGCTGGGTCTGGAGCTGCCAGGGCTGCTGGGGCGGCCAGGGTTGGGGCTGGGGCTGCTGCCAGGCCGGTTGAAGCTGCCAGGGCTGGAACGGCTGCCGGGGCTGGGCCGGTTGCCAGGCAGGTTGGGGCCGCCAGGGCTGGGGCGGCGGCGACGGCTGGCCGGGGGGGAAGTACGGCCGCTGCTCCTCCAGCAACGCCAGGCGCATATACAGCTGCCTGTGCGCCCGCGCGTTGCGCTGCACCCGCAGCTTGACCTCGCGCCGCTGCTTCTCGAGGTTGTGCTCGGCCGGCGGCTGGCCACCGCCACTGCCACTGCCACTGCCACTCTCCTGTTGCTGTTGCTGCTGCTGCTGCTGCTGGTGGGTGAGCTGCTGGGTGAGCTGCTTCAGGTGTTGGCGCAGGGACTGGCCCTCGTAGACGAGGTGCTCCCGCTGCTGCTCCAGGGCCCGGTGTTCACGGGCCCACTGCTCCATGGTCCACTGCTCCATGACCCACTGCTCCCAGGCCCGCTGCTCCATGACCCACTGCTCCCGGGTCGCGGGGGGCAACGGCGGCGGGAATGGCCCGGGCTGCCAATACGGCGGGTGCCCGTACGGACGGGGGGGCTGCCAATGTTGTTGCCACTCCTGTGGCTGCGGCGGTGCTGCTGCTGAGGGGCCCGGCTGGGCGTTTGCCAATCTTTCCGTTGGCATGTTGGAGGGCTTGACGGTGTCTTGTCCGTCAAGTTGATTGGGTCGAGGTTAAGGTCGAGGTCGAGGTCGAGTTCGAGTGCGAGTTCGAGTGCGAGTTCGAGTTCGAGTCTCGAGATTCGAAGTCGATTTGAGAAGACTGGGAATCGATGATGAGAAGTTGCTGAGGGAACCTGACTGTCTTTAATAGTCGTATGATGGTCGGAAGTGTGATGGGATATTGTCGGCGCATGGTGAACTTTACCCATAGTTGACCAAGCTTTCCCCCGTACCATAGTTCAAGGGCGCAAATGCTCCGCCACACCAGCCAGCCATCTGTGTAGGACTATAGCAGTCAGAAGTGTAGCGGGTGCGGGACTTGACCCATAGTTGATGGGTCTTTCCCTGTACCATACTTTTAAGTCCAACATGCCTTTCTACATCAGCCATGCATCCCGGTCGGCGAAAAGAAGTACTTTATAGCGTTATAACGTAGAACGCATCCCATTTACATTCTAGTACCAGAGAGACTATTAGAGCAGAGATTAAAAACTCGGCCGGATGGCCATCTAGGTTTTGGCCCAGATGGGCAAGGCGTTCGAAGGGAACATTTCGAGGATCGGGGGACCGGCACGCGAGGCCCCAGAAGCCAACGCAAAAGAGGCCAACGTCCTCGTCGCCATCCTAGAGGCCCAGTATGCCTCAGACGAGGCCCTAGATGCCACCCGCGCAATCGCCAACCGATCTATTAACGCGATCGCCGATATCGAAGCCGGCTAATGGATAGCCTAGGATAACCTGTTGAAGACGGGTTCTAATATCGCCAGCGTTGCCGCACTATACGGAAAGAGGCTCTCTAAAAGCAAGGTCCGCGAGATTATAGAAGGAGGCGCGAACATGGATCGCAAAGGCCCGGTGTAGTAACCCTTAAAGGAGCCAAGGGCATGGCTGGGCCCGCTGCCCAGGAAAAACAAGAGACTTCAGCATGTCGTAGCATCGGGGTCCACGGCTCCTGTGGTACAGCGAGTTGGCTGCGCGAGAGAAGTATCGGGCTTGTGGTCGCTTACTGAGAGCCGTGATAAGCGTCCCCGTGCTAACCGCGGTAGCGTCATCGCATGTGCTTCCCGTGGGATGAAGTAGTCATGTTGAATTTGCCAACGCTGATTTAGTTTGTTGGGCATTCTTGATTTTGGCCGATGGGCGGCACGTCTCCAGATAGTCATAGGCGGGTGGGTAGCCATGATGCAAGAGAGTGGTCGAGATGTGCCCGGGCGGGTCTTAGGTCGGGGACGTTGAACAAAGACTCAGGACTCAATCGACGATGGGGAAATCATAGTGGATGATTTAAAAGGGCGATGGGCCCATCTTCCAAAGCAGGAAATGTGCAGAAACCAGCAAGAAGAGACAGGACAACCGGAGCTGGCGCGGAGCGAGGACTGTGAATATCGCAGAGAAGGCGACATTCACGTCATCATGGCGGACAACAAAGAGGCGATGAGAGAGAAGTGGTCAAAGTGCCCGAGATGTGAGTAGTGCGAGCGAGGGGAGGATGACTGCTGATGAAGTTGGCTGTAGACGTGGTTTTCAACGGCTCGGTAGCGATTCTGGAAGGAGCTGCACAAGACGCAGCCGCCGAGGAGCGAGAGACGGCGCCATTGCATGCGTCTACTCGCGAGAAAGAAGGCGGGGGGTATTATGGGGCAAGCGGATCGAAGAAGGCCGGCGGTGCCAAGTAGGGGAGATGGTAGACAGCTGAGCAATGATGATTTGGGGAAGGTGCAAGTGGTTGTTGGTGCGGCGGGCGGCGGGCGGCCACGACTTCCTCACGCGCTACTGATTAGCTGTCATTTCCGCGGTGCTGGGCCTTCTCCCTTCTCACACATCTTCCGCCAGTTCCGAGTGCCTGGCCCATTACGTACACGGTACACATTCCAGCAGCCACCACCATCGCTGTCTGTTGCCTGAAACACGGCGCTTGCTGCATGTTGCGCCAAGCGCGTCGCCTGCTCCGGATTCGGCCTCTTTTTTCCGACGCTGTTTGAGACACGATGCAGCCACGCCGCAAAGCAGTCTGCCGCGTGAAAGAGCCGGGCAAAGCTTTTCGTTTGCGTGAGCGAATCGGCCAAGAGGGAGGCGATTCCGGCCATGCTCTCTCTTGTTGTAAAACACTCAACGCCCCTCGGCCCGCCGCCGATCGTGTGCATGCCACCACATTACGAGTATTGCAAAAAGGAGAAAACACCAGCACCTGGATTCCTCCCTCCTGCCTGGCCTGTGCTCACATCTAGCTAAATGTCAAACCAAGGCAAACCCCACGGCTCACGTCGCACAGTCGTTTTGTTGAAGAGTTTCAGACAGTCGACATGCTGGTTGCCCATTCGTACGGACTGCACGGTCAATGCAGCACGCGCAGAAACCAGCAGGTCTTGGCCACCTCTGCTCAACTTTCTGCCTGGCTGGACTGTGTCTCCCGCCGCTTCTCCCTAAGCCAATGCGGAAAACGCAGCACCTCTCGCCCGCATTGTCCTTTGACCTTCCAATCGTCATACATCGCCCCTCGCAACCACACTGATCCTCGATGCTGCAGCATTATGCTTCTCGGCAATCCCACTTAGCACCAGCCCACTGCCGCTGTCCAGCTCCCGTTCCTGTGGGCTTTCAGAATGGTCTGGTGCTTCCGTTAAGCAACGATGAACTGCAATACAGCTCGGGACAGAGAGACTTACAGGTGATGTCACACTTGAAAACCCGCAAACACTTGCTGACACGACTGATCAACAGGTTCTACCAAGCTGCCATAAATGCCCTCGAGCTTCGTCTCGTTGAAGACGCCCCGGGCTGTACTGTTCCCCCGGTGGGCTTCGTCCCGCGGGCTTGCAAGGATACGGCTTTGACAGCTTTTGCCCAGCTTGGCGCCCTGCGTTTGAATGCCCACCGCGGCTTGATCTCCTTGCTGGACGGCAAGTATCAGTACATACTCGCCGAGGCGACCCGGACGCTTTCACTACTTCCAACCATCGAACCCGACCCAAACGACAATCTGTGGCTTGGAAGCGTCATCATATCCCGGAGCAAAGGCATCTGCGAACACGTCCTAAGCCTCGGAGATGTACTCCAAGGGCCTATCTACGTTGGCTCCGACATCCCGGCGGTAATAATCAACGACCTCGCTGAAGATCCGCGCTTCAAAGACAGGTCGTACGTCCTCGAGGTGCCCAAGGTTCGGTTTTATGCTGGCGTTCCCCTACGGAGCCCCTGGGGGACCATCATTGGCGCCTTCTGCGTCTTCGGACATGAGCCTCGAAATGGGTTGGCGCAGGAGGAGCTTCTTGCCCTTCAGGGCATCGCAACCACAGTCATGGCATATCTTGAAACCAGCAAAGCTAAAGAGGGTCACCGAAGATATGAACAGATGCTGCATGGCTTGACGTCTTTCGTTACGGGAGAGACATCCATAAAATCGCTTGACAATTCCAAACGCACCACTCCGGGACGACCTCTTCCAGGCCGGCAAAACTCCAGCAGTAGCGTCAACGCGGGCAGCAGCTCCGAGGACCCAGGAAAACCGACGGCAGGTGTACGCAACACGACGGCTCAGGGGATCCAGAATCCAAAAGGCAAGAAAAGACCCAGTGTCCTCAGCACATCTACTGGTACAGCTCGCAAAAAGTCGACCATAAGTCTTCAGGAAAGCATGCTCCCATCGGGCTCCAAGAACATGTTCTCAAGAGCTGCCAGCATCATGCGGGAAAGTATCGACGTTTGCGGCTGCATCATGTTCGATGCTTCTTTTGCCACTTACGGCGCAGCCATCGATTCACCCTATGGAGCGGCCTCGGTCAAATCCCAGTTGAAAGGCGCTGGTACCTTCTTTGCTGACACGTCCTCCAATCGCGGCCCCGGAGGCGACGAGTCTTCACCGCGTGGAGAGCCCTTTGGTCCCGGAATACAGACGTCGAGCTCGGAGGGGGACGGCCTGTCCGATAAAAAGATGTGCGAGGTCCTCGGTCATTCTATCAAAGAGGGTGCAAGTATGCCGGTGGACGACTCCGGGTCATTCTGTCCCAATCTTGCGGAGAAAGACCTCAAGAAGCTGCTGAAGAGATATCCCCTGGGCCATATCTTCAATGTGTCTGGGCTAGGGGATATATCTTCGTCTCAATCATCCGACAGCGTCCCGGAGATGGCCCCCAGCTCGAAAGTCATCGGTTCCAAAGACTCGAGAGCGCGGGGATCAAGAAAGGTCCTCGGGGACAGAGAGAGCAGCCTACTCCAGAAGTTGCTCGCGACCACACCAGGGGCGAGGAGCATCGCTATCCTACCTCTTTGGGACTATCAGCGAAGTCGATGGTTTTCCGGTTGCCTCTGCTGGACGACCGAGCAAAGTCGGATTCTTTATCCAGACGTCGACCTCATCTACCTTCAGGCCTTCGGCAACAGCGTTATGATGGAACTCTCCCGACTTGACGCCGTCACTTCCGACCGGGCAAAAACCACGTTCGTGGCGTCTATCTCGCATGAACTCAGATGCCCGCTACATGGAATACTCGGTGGTGTTCAATTCCTGCAAGATACTCCTCTCGGCGCCTATCAGGCCGGCATGCTAGACTCTGTGGCCATGTGTGGAAAGACCCTGCTGGACACGATTGACCATGTTCTTGATTTTTCCAAGGTCAACACTTTCACAAAGCAGCCGCTGAAAGCCGCGGGCAGCCGTCGACAGGAGCCAATAGATTTGATGGTCCGCAAAGGCAGCCAGAGTCTGAGCGAGCCAGCAAATTTGTTTGCAAACGTTGACTTGGCCCTGCTCACGGAAGAAGTTGTTGAGGCCGTGTTTGTAGGGCATAGCCACCGAGGAGCTCCCATCAGACTTGAGCAGGTGAATGACCAGGCCAAGGCGGTGAGTAGTGTATTGCGAGAGCTTGTTGGAGATATCAGTCCGAGGGTAGTGCTGACTTATCGCAGTGGCCATCACCTGGTATAGCATTGCATCAAGCTTCTTCGAGGACGATGCCGCAAGCAGACAACCTTGAAAGAAAGAGCGATTCGGTTGTCCGCCTGATCCTGGACATCCCTCACCGTCAAAACTGGACCGTGACCACTCAGCCAGGCGCGTGGAGAAGAATTGTGATGAATCTTGTCGGCAACGCTCTGAAGTACACCACATCTGGATATATCCGAGTATCCATGCGGACGAAACAAGCCGAGAATAACCCCCGCCAAGACCCCAACAAGATCAACGTCATGTTGACGGTATCGGACAGTGGAAAGGGCATATCAGCCGAGTACTTGAGAGGCGGCCTGTGGCGACCATTCTCTCAGGAGGATTCCTTCTCGCCCGGAACCGGACTTGGTCTGAGCATTGTGCGCCAAATTGTCCAGGGGTTGAGAGGAACTATCGACCTGAAGAGTGAAGTGCAAGTAGGTACTGAGGTAAAGGTTGACCTGAGCCTTCCACTCGCGGAGAACTCGCCAGGGCCGGACAACGAAGACCGTTACCTCCCCCTTGTCGCCTCCCAAGTGCGAAATCATCCGATATGCATTCTGGAAACGACGAGTTCAGATGATCTTGACGACTCCGCCCCTCTTGTGCAGAAAGCCCGCCACGATCTTGGTGTTGCCGTGTTAAGAACCTTGAAGGGATGGTTCGGCGCCGATGCGGTAGTGTCAAATCTGTTCACAGCGCTCTCGGCAGATGTGATCTTCTGTCTTGAGCCCCGGCTAGAATTCCTTTCTACATTGAAAAGCATGCTCTCGCCAGAGAAGAAGCCGCTGGTCATATTCATCGTTCTGCACGCGGCCGAGGCGGCGAAGCTGCGGTCAGACCCACGTGTCCTTTGCAGCAAACTCATTGTTGACATCATCACCCAGCCGTAAGTATAATACCAAGAGCGTACGGCATCTGCAAGAATGCACATGGCTTTATGCTAATTGAGCGGGCTTGACAACAGATGCGGGCCCCGGAAGCTTGCAAAAGCACTCACTCAGGATCTGGACCACCGGGACAGGCAAATGCCCCTGACCATTACGCCTTTGGCTTCTCCAACAGAAGGTACTCCTGGGGACGTCTCACCGACCATTGAGTGGAAGAGCCCGGCCTGGCGCCCGACGCACTTTGGAAACGCTCCATCCAACTCTCGCGCACGAACAAACTCGTATGAAGACTCGCGCCCATATATGTGATTTGCCCGCTAATGGAAAAAAATGCCTCAGCATCCTCGATCACGACACGATACCACGCACTCTCGCTGACAAGTATTCCGCCAACACATCCGTGCATGAGCCACCAACCACCAGTCATCTCCGCATACTACTTGTTGACGGTAAGATCCGAGCGGTGTTGACAGATGCGTTCACTGCAGACTAACTCGTCTCGCAGACAACCGAATCAATCTCTCAGTAGGTGCAGCCATCACCAGCACAAACATCATATCCTATCCCCTCAGATATCTTGGAGACGATTTTCTGACATGCTCACGAACAGCTCCTCACGGCCTTCATGCGACGCTACAACTTTGACTACCAAGAAGCCATGAACGGCCTCCAAGCGGTTGAGATGTACAAGCAAGCCGGCGGGCAGTTCGACTACATACTGATGGGTACGTACGCCACCAGTCCTTGAATCCACTACCCTCGCGCGCCACGGCCTCGTCCCACCTACCCGTCTCTAACCACACCAAAACCCACAGACCTCACGATGCCAGTCATGGACGGCATGGCAGCGACGCGCGAGATCCGCCGGCACGAGCAGCGCGAGGGCCTGCAGCCGACCATCGTCATCGCGCTGACGGGCCTGGCGTCGGCCGCGGCCCGCGTCGACGCGCTCAACAGCGGCATCAACTTCTTCCTGACCAAACCCGTCAAGTTCCAGGCCTTGCACCACATGCTCAAGGGCGTGACTGCCGGCGCTGTGGCGCTGGGAGGGCCGGCGTCGCCGCCGTCGTCGTCGTCACCGCCAATACCACCACTGCCGTAGTAGCAGCAGCAGCAGCCACCTGATTACCGAACCAAAGATTGATAATGGTAAGACTAGACAGAGCGGGGTATAGGGAAGCACAAGGCTCTGCGTGTGGTAGAGGGGGACCACGGGGGAAATCGAATGGATAGCTGGGGAGGTTCTTTCTTCGGCCAAGGATCGGTATGGCTCCCTGGAAAAGGCACAACGGCAGTGGGGGCGGGCGGGGGGTTGTTGTTGCGCGCGTTGCAACACAAGGTAGGAGCGCAGCATACATAGGTGGCCCGGCCCGGTTTAGCGCACGCTCGTCATACTGCGTTCATTTGTTGCACCTTTCTTTCTCTTTCTGATTTTTAGTCGGCCATTTCCAATGGGACGGGTGTAGATGTAGTCCCGTTCGGCGGCTTTCCTCTAATAATACAGTCAGATGTTTCGGCATTGCTGGTGCTGACGGATGCTTTTTTTTTGAGCTTGATTCGTCGGCTCTGGCCGGTAGTGTAGTAGTGTTCGTCCGTCCATCCACTACAGTATTGTACGTGGCACATCCTTCCCGTTGGGTAGGATGAGTTGAGGGGAAACAGATGACCGATAAGGCAAGCATACTTACTGAAAACTCTCGCCAGAGTAAAATTTCGACATCATCACTACCATGAAAATGGATGCGGATTCTCCACCCTCATGAAGTCGGACCCTATTTTCCGCGCTTTGGTTTCGTTCTTCCCACCCAAAAACCCCCCCAGGCAACAGCGGTACACTAACTCGGGCGTATGACCTCCGTCCACGAGCGAAATAGCGAATTACGCGCAAGAGCCCGTACCAAACACCAGGTACCGAACACCAAACGAACTTTCAGGTTGATGACGCCCAGCAACAAGTGCTGAGGAAGATGACGACGCTGATGCTGACGCCGACGAACGATTGGGGAGAAAGATGATGGGGACCACTATTCCCCATACCACGGTCAGGCTTCGTTGATCCGGGTCGTCGGCGCCCCATCAACTGCGTCCCCCCTCACCAACAAAAAAAAAAAAAAGAAAGGAAAGAGCTTTCGCTAGACGTGACCGAAATGGACATTGCAGAACTTTTCAGCCCTAGGCAGCAGGGGTGGCACGATTTCTGTGGTGGGTGACCAGTGAGCGTGGCGCGGGTGTGGCGTGGCGTTAGCTATTTGGGTGAGTATTTGTGGTCTATTATTCGGCCAACGGCACGACCAAGTAGCAGGCAAGCGGGCAGGCAGTCGGGCAGGCAGGCAGGCAGTCGAGACCGCGATCTCCCTTTCCGGTGGCACATAACGCGCAAGAGGGATGCGCAACACACACACACATCCTTCCTGATCACCCTTCTCCCCTTTCCTCGCGCGCCATTCCCCAGCTTCTTCCAGCATCATTTCTGACACGCACACACGCACCCACCTACAAAACGACGAAGAAGAGGCGACCTACCGACAAAAAGCACACTCAGTCCTACTCGTACCACTCACCCACTGGTGGCAGACGGTAACGCGCGCGCGCACACACACCTACAAACCACACATATCTCGCCCTCGACATACCTACGGATTATTGCCCCTCTCTCACAAACGTCACACCCGGCATGCCCATGCCCATGCCCAGCTGCACCTCACCGCCCGGGACACTCCCTTTCGGCACGAGGGGGCGATGGGCCGAGCGGCCAATGATTCAGGTGCGAAGTGGTGTGTTATACGCGTATATGTGCGTGCGACGTGACCTAGGGCTTTGCTAATTGCTCGCCTGCCTGCCTGGCTGCTTGCTTGCTTGGTTGCTTGCGTGAAATCCGCTGGTTCCCTTCCCCCTCTCTGAGTGTTTCTTAAGAAGGCTTAGGGCGGGAGGTACGAGGGGGGGTTTTCTGGAGTGGTACTGATGTTGTTTAGCATGCAGCGGGAACATATTCTGAACCTGCGCTGATGGGATGTGGGAGGAAACGGGATGGGATGGAACGGTAGGTGCGTGCGTGCGTTGTGGGGATGCGACACGAGAGCGAGAGCGAACGACGGGCTCCTCGTTTCTTTTTTCTGCTTTCGAACGACGCGCCATGTGGGTGATGGCGGGTAGGCGTGCTTAGGCCATACCCGGTGGCATGGGTCGTGCAACGTCAAAGGGATCGGTTGCGCGAAGGCTGGAAGGGAGGGCGATGAAGCTTTTGTTTTCCAACTTGTCGGATCATGGAGGAAATCATGTCGAATGAAGCGGTAGGCGACGTCTGGAGGAGTGGGAGCGAAGATGTGCTGAAATTGGAAATTATACGTTATATTATCCTACTGTTTGACGGTATTTCGTACCTTTCGCGCGACCGTTTATTCATCTGCTCCACCGCGTACGCTGTGCCTGGGCGCGCCCATGCAATTGTAGACTGCGAAAAGAAAAGAAAAAGCGGTATGGGCCTCTGTACAGAAGATATGATCAATCGAAAGAAGATCCGGCAGCAGCAGCTGGCGACAAAAGAGACGGAGAAAGATCCATCGATACCATACACCAAACGCCCCATCCCCATCCAAGCCGAGAAACACCAATGAAAATTCCGGCCCAAGAAACGTAACCGGTATGAACTCCGTCCGAGATTGCTTAGAAAAAATCACGCGCGCGTAGCGACTCATGATTTTTAGCGATAATTTCCCAACTCGATTTCCTGCCGCCGCTCTTCTCTGCTTTTTGCTCTCGGCTCGGCTCCTCCAGTCCTGTCATCGGCTCTCCCTCTCCTGCCATCATATGAATGGCCGTTGCCGTAGCTTCCACTTCTTGTCCGAGTGGCATAGTACTCGTGCAGTGTCCGCGGCGGGCTCATCAGGATGCCGCGGCTGTCCGAATGCGAGTGCTGGTGTCTCATGGAGCGGTTGCGACGGGCATTAGGGCTGTTCTCGCCATCTGATTCTTCACCATAAGGCAATTGGATGCGGAAAGTGCTCTGGCTGGCATCCGGCGAAGGCCCGGGGTCCTTGTTCATCAGGAGCATGGCCATCTGCTGGTTGACCAGATCGTCTTCAGTGGGCGGAATGTTGTGCTGGTCGGGTGGAGGGGAATAGTAAGGCGAGACGCGCTTAACACTTGGGAACATGTTTGCGATCCAGTTCTCGTAGTAGTTGCTATTGTGCTGCCACATGTTGTTGGAGCGAGAGCTCAAGATTTCGCGCAGGCGCGTGATACGGCGGTTAGTGTAGATGAGGAGGATGCCATAAACCAGCGTCATACCGCCCGACAGAGCGACGGCGATGACGGAAGCTTGGTTCCAGGCGAAATTCGTGTACACCAACCAGTTGTAGAAAACGGTTAGCAGGCCCAAGGTTGAGGACGCAAGCGCAGGCATGAATATGGACTCGGACTGGAAGATCATCGACTTGACGGCGAAGCAAAGGAGGATGGTGAACGAGTATCCGGCGACGAGAAGGGCGACGACGAAGATTGTCAGAATCCGTGGCTCGCACCGTAGCGCGTGGTCGGGTTCCTTGTGGAAGAGCGGCGGTATGATAAGGTAACTGCGACCGGGCGCGTGAGCTAGAGACCAACCATGGAGAGCTATCGTGAACAACTCACCCTCCCAGTATCATCCACGACGCGAGTAGCGCAATGAGGCGCCAGTACCACTGTCCGGTGTCAATAGAGCGAAGCAAGGCGAGCGGGAGGGGAACGCACGGCTATGGTGTAGTGCTCATTGTTCAGGTCGGTGACGGTCATGTACTGATGCTGCTCCTTGCGCGCCATGGTCGCGATCGTCGTTGGCGAGCTCAGACGCGCGTCCGCAGGTGTTCCGACAGTCGGGAGCGCAGTGCTCGCAGGTTTATGGGGCTATTCCCATGCAGCGCGAGGGTCGACAGCTAGGCGAGCGAGGGCGCAAGGTGGACAGGTACTGCTTTTAGCAGGAAGGATTCGCTAGGTCGGCGGCGGCGAGGCTGAGCTTCCGGGAGCTGGGCGCAGGTAGGGGAAGGCAGTTGCGCCGCGCGTATTACGAGGCGATGAAACGGGAGTCCGGGCTGGGATGCTGGCGGACGCGGCGGGCGGGAGGATGTTATGGTTGGGGGGGCTGGGCTCGCGGCGCACGTAACGAAGGACGGCAGTGGAGGGCGCAAGGGAAAGTCAGATGGCTGAGGGAAGCCGGTCGTGGTGAAATACGATGCAGGCAGCGGCGGGCTGAGGCTGAGAGCGATCCTCCGAAGCGAGCGGCTTAGCACATCAGCGGCCCACAGGCGCGGAGATCGATACTGCAGCGAGAGGGGCGGGAAAATTGCAGCAGGCGAGCGAGATTGCGCGGATGCGACGCTGTGCCTCTCTGGCCGGCTTCCACAACACAGGCGCCTTCTCCACGATAACCGGCGGGAGGAGCGGGTGGGCCGCAGCGGACGGGGCTGCAGTTGGCCAGGCAGTCCAGCCACAACGGCGCAGCCAGATGATCGCATCGCAGCACAGGCGGACGGGCCACCCGCTGGCGCTGCGTCGTCGGGCAGAGTCCATTGACGCCCTGGGTGCTCCGCTGCCTTGTTTCCCCGCCGGCCGCGCGCGAGGGACTGCGTGCTGAGTGCGTGCTGGGCTTGGCCGAGTCGTGGTGCCGCGTCGTCAGCCGGCCGCGCTGGACACGGGCGCTGCCACACTGCGCCCTGCTGCCTGAGGACGAGCAGGACCCAGCCGGCCCACGGCCTGCCTATGACGCCGCGACGCAGGGACAGCTTCCAAAAATGGGCGCCATGCCCCACCAGGCCCCAAGCTCTCGCAACACACAGCCTGCGCCCGCGCGAGACACCACACAGTACCTCCTGCTGTGCCCGCGCCTGTTGCTTTGTCCCCGCCTGCCCGCAGCATCCACCCATTGCCGCTGCTCGGCAGTGCTCCAATGACGGCCTCCGCCGATCCGGGTCAAGCCTAAGCTGCCATGGCGCCGTCAGGCACCCCCCCGCCAAGCTCAATCCCACCGCCGCCGAAGCTTTGCGAGACGCTGATCTGGCGCTGGTCTGCCAACGTCCATCCATCACCCCAATGCCGCCGTCGCTGCTAGCGCCCTCCGGCATTTCTCAATGTGGCCGCTCCGGCTCTCTCACATGCCTCCAGGCCCTCGACTCTGACGCACCCCGTTGCCGTCGCCTACACTTTGGGTACTAATAATGCAGTCCCATTTGAAATCCCGCCCGTTGCCCGGAGCCCATCTTTGTCAGCCCTATAGTGCCTCGAGTTTATCTCGTCGTGTCTTGCACAAAGATCCCTTTCACCGAGTGATCCACCGTGCTTTACACCCGTTTCCTGGCCCTGTTTTTCCCCGTCACCAGTAGAAGTTTGCTGCCGAGCCCAAACTCCTCGCGCGCCTTGCCGTGCCACCCCCGGGCCCGTCTCGTCCTTCCCCAAGCCAATTGACAGGCCGAAGAATCACGGCACGAGCCCGTTGTCATACCCGGGCTCTCCCTCCCCCGCGTCTCCCAAACCAGCACTGTACCGAAGCTCGATCAAGCAAACCACATCCCCACCAACCCGATATAGCGGTAAGAACGCTTCACCGAACAAAATGAGACAAAAAAAAAAAGACAGCAGAAAGCCTCATTAGCCGTACCTACAGGGCTTTCTCAATCCTTCCCCGGTAGAGGGAGAGAGGAGAGGGAAGGAGGGAAAGGAATCCACCCCTTCACTGGCCTTCAACCCCATCCCATCTCCATCACCAAAGAACGAAAGAGAAAAAAAAACCCCACCTTCCCCACTCACCCTCCCTCTCCCCTCCCTCTCCCCTCCCTTCCCTCTCCCTCTCTCCCCTCTCCCCCCAAAAAATGTCACAACACAACCTCTTCTCCTGCGCCGGCGCCGGCGCCCTCCTCCTCTCCCTCTCCCCCCGCCGCGCGCGCGCCCGCCGCCGCGCCCAGGCCGAGCGCGACCGCGACTACGCCGCCAACTTCGCCGCCCTGCAGGCCGAAAACGAGAAGCGCGTCGACCGCCTGACGAGCCTCGTTTCCTCGTCGTCGTCGGCCACGGCCACGCCCACGACGTGGGAACAGTGGCGGCGGCGGCAAGAGGAGGAACAGGAACAGCGGCAGGAGGCTGGCGCTCACCCGCGGTTGCCTGGGTATGAGGAGCTGGAGGTGGAGGTAGAGGTGATGCAGGGGAGGAGGAGGAGCTGGCGGAAGGATGGAGCGGGCGCGGACGCGGGTGCGGGCGCAGGCGTAGGCGCGGGGGATGAGGCTGAGGCGCTGCGGCGGCGGCCGTCGTATGTGGCAGGTGAGGAGCGAGTCACGGGGGGTGAGATGGGGGCGGGTGGTGGTGGTGGTGGTGGTGATGATGATGATGATGGGGAGGGGGACGGGGAGGAGCGGGCGCGGAGCCTGAGGGCTAGGAGGAGCATGGTGGATAGGAGGGATTGGGGTGCTGTTGCTGCTGTGGCGGTGTCGACGCCACCATTGGGCTCGGTAACGACGACGACGACGACGACGACGACGACGACGGCGGCGGCGGCGACGGCTACGGCTACGGCTACGGGTGCGGCCGTGGTCGCATGACCACGCGGGACGTCTCTTCAGACGAGATGGTGGGCAGTGGACCGTGTGCGAGGACAGTGTTGAATGAGGTGGTCATGGCGTGATGATGTTCGTTCGGCGAAAGCGGTGATACCAGTCCTTCTCGGCGGCAATCGCGGGAAATCGTCCGGCCTGTGACGAGAGCAAAGGGGGGATGAAAAGTCGTGGAGGAGATGGACAGGAGATTAACGCAATGCACTTGCGCGGTCGGTTCGCTTCAGGTATTGTTGCAATATATGAAACGTACTTCGTCGCGCTCAGACCGGTCGAGCCCAACTCTAGCGGTAGTTAAAGTGGTCTGTCACTGTTGCACAAGTGGTACTACTTACTCAGTTACCTGACGGCATGTGAACTATAGGCATATCCATACCGGGTGCGACGACTTCAGGCAGCCATCCCTGCTTCCCATGCAGAACCAATATGCAGCTCCGCGTCACTGCCGCCGCTCACATGCCATATAACAGCCCTCGACTATACAAGGCCAACCCTAACATTCTGATAAGCGCCAAGCGCTAACCGAGAAGAGAAATTCTGACTTTCTTCTAGGTACTACTCTCCCCTGGGACGAGATAAAAATGGAAAATCTCCCGCTCCGCCGGGCCACGTGATGACGTCGACGGACCGTCGACCGCACGCGAAAATCCCCAGGCCCTTTTTGATTTTCACAATCTCCTCTCTTATTTTTTTTGTCCGAAGGTTCCCCGTTCCCCACACAAAAACCCGCGGGCTTTCTTTCGGAACATGCCCGACGGGACAGCGGGATGGAAGGGCGCAGGGAAAAAAAAATGCCAAACCCGTTCGCTCGGTGCAAACGCGGCGTCTGATCTCCACTCAATGCAAGGAAGCGGTAGGGGAAAAATGGGGTGGGGGTCCGCAGGGGAACCTATACCGACACGCTCTTTCGTTCCTCCCCCTCCCGTCCCCCCTTGAAGGATGGCTTGATGGTGATGGCGGTGTGGTCTCTACCCACATAATCCGACGACAGCTGTTTAGGGCGTGCCATGAGTGGAAGTTGGCGGCCTGCGTGATGACGAATCCGGTCGCCGAACTTATTTCTTTCCCCTTTTGATTACGATGATCGATATGTCTCCACGCTCTTTGGCTGGACAGAATTTTGGCTTCATTATCAGTGCCTCTATCGCACTTACAGTAGTGTGCCAGAAATTAGGAGGTTGAAGTTTTGGGCGTTTCGACCGATGCACGTAGAGAGTGCATGGCCTCTGGTATTAGTATATGGAGTATATGTAGTAGTTGTTGGCGTATCGTGCGTGTTAGTAAAACAAAGGAAAAGAAAACGTCGATAAGAAGGAAAAGGCAGGGAAGCACTTTTGGCCTGCTTTCCATGGCCGTTGGTATAACAAACCGCAAAAGCTCTAAAAAAAAAAAAAAAAGGTCGCAAAATCCCACCGCTTGTTTCCTGTTTCATTTCTCTTGCCAAAAATGGATCACGCCCTGAAGCACCGCGACTCCAGCATCTCTTTTCCCAGAAAATGAGATGTTTCTCTTTTGCTCGTTTCTCTTCCAAAAGGCCGTAATTCGCGTTCAAACCAAGCTATCGTCCGAGTTGCGTCCGGTCAAGCTCCTCTCGTCTATCTTCGACGGCTTCCGCCCATGCGATCTCGAGTTCGTATTATGATGCCGGTTCTGGTGGGCGTAAGTGCCGTACGGGGTCGGACTCGGGTCGGCAGGCTCGGTGGCATGCGTCACCTGCACACTCTTGCTGATGTGGATGTCGCTGGACGAATGGGTAATGATGTGCTCGTCGCTCCCCTTGTCGCTGTCGTCGTGCCAGGTTTTGTTTGTCGCCTCGCCACCCGTGACGATTACCGTTGCCGTGCCCCCTGTGATAGTGTCCGGCCGTAGCGTGTCCATGTGGTGCGAGTAGGAGTTGGAGCGCTCGTAGCCCGCTCCCGATCGGTGGGTGCTCGGCCCGTTGCCGTAGCTGGCGTAGTTGGTTGCTTTGTCCGGTGTCGAGAGGCCGCTGCGGTGCAGTACGTGCTGGAGTAGCGGTCGCAGCGTTGCGATGCACGCGGCGATCATGCCGATGCCCGGCTCGATGGTAGACCAGATGGCGATGTCGGTCGATTCATCTGTGGAGAAGAGAGGGTCCCGGCGGTCAGTGGGAACAGACTCTAGTGGCTTTGTGGAGAATGGCGGGGAGTGGAGCTGTATGATGTAAGGTGGTGAGAGTGTACATACAGAGGAAATCGTGGGTGGCGCTGAAGCCCTTGATATATGGCATGCGGATGAGAGTCGCTGTGCTGCCGATAGCTGCAAAGGCGAGAATGCCGACGACGACCAGCTTGGTTCTCTTGTTCATCTGGAGGTCATAGACGATGAAGCCAGGAAGAACTCCTGCATGCAGAGGGGAACGTCAGTCCGGAGAAGCACGCAGTCCGCGTTGGTCTGTGAACTGACCGAAGATCCAGTCGGACAGTGAGCCGAGGGTTGCTGCACCGTAGGAGATGCCCTCAATGGCATGGATGGAGAGACAGTGCTCGTTGTTCGGCTTAATGGTCCAGAACGAGGAGACGGGATTGCATTGGAAGATGAAGACGAAGAAGTAGGCAACACTCAAGACGATGTTGGCGGCGTTCATGATGTATATGGTAAGAGTGTGGCCTCTCTTGACGGCGATGCGGAGAAGGAAGAGACCCTGCAAGTTAAGCGAAGGTGGTTAGAATCCGGCATTTTGGTGTTGTGTGTGGGCTCAGTAGTTTTGCGTGTGGGTGAGCTTACGACCGAACACTTCAACGTGCACGTGGCAGAGGAGTAGAACAGTTCACAGAACCACCAGTACCTGGCTACAGAGTTAGTAGAGGTGCGGGTGGCGGCAATGGGCAACGGACCTCAGAGCCCTCATCCGGTCGACCGGTGCGATGTCCACGTCGCGGCGGCCAGTACCATAGGCGACGCCGCCCAGCTGGCAGATCAGGTAGCCGGTGAAGAGCAGCAATGCGCCGACCATGGACCAGTCGTCCGAACCGAAGGACTTGAGCAGATAGGCGCGTGTATAGACGCGCAGCAGCATGAAAATCCATGTCAGGCTGAAGAAGGCGACGTTGACGGCCAGGACCTGCCCGCTTCGGTCCTCCATCGGTCGTGAAGGGGGCGGCCGTGGGAGCTGTTGGGCGGAGGGATGTTCGGGCGACAGCGCGGTCGACCGCCAGCTTCATCTGCAGGGTCAAGGCGGCGGAGGGTAGGTAGATATCGATCAGTCATCAGGAGGCAGGGATGGGCAAATGGGACGCGCCGCCTGGTGAAGCACAGTGGAGCGCAGGTTTACGTCCTGGTGGAGAGAGCACTTGTACAGGCCAGACCCAGAACGGCAACCCAGGCCGGCGGCGTTCGGACGCACCACGGAGGATGAAGATCGACCAGCTGTTCCATGCTGCGCCGGGCCAGCCTGCGCGGGTTGCGCCATCGCCCTGCAGCGAACGCCCCAGGCTGCGTCGTGCGGGCCCGTCTCGCTGGCTGCTGGCGTGCTGGGTTGCGGGACCGCGGCTGGAAGGTGGGAGCTCTCTGCTGCCAGCAGCGGCGGCGACAGGCGCAGGGTGCCGATTGGATGCAGATCGCCGCCGTCGAGTTTCGAAGGCGCCGCCACACCCATGCCCCAGGGGCGGCGGCCCAGGGGTCTAGGACCACTTTGGGAGCCGCGCTCGTCGCAAGAGGAAGGGCTGCTTGTCGCGCCCAACCCGTTTGCGCTCTGGCTGCCTGCAGTCGGCCCATGGCCGCCAGACGCCAGAGCACCGCCCGCCACGCCGCGGCGAGAGCCGAAGCGCCGTTACGCTAGAGCTCTCGGTACATTGCGAAGAGAAGCACAGAACCGCTGCCGGACGCCCGCGCTGCCGGCGGCCGCCGACGCGGCTCCGGCTCTTCCCTGCAGCGTCGTGCTCGCAGCCTTCTTCACGGCCGCTGCCTGTCTTGCGCAGCCGGGGGCGTGCTTCGCGGCTGCCTCGGCCCGGCGAGCTGCGATCCACTGCCACGTGGAACGGCCAGGCGGCGAGCACCACGAGCGACGAGCTTCAGCGTCGACACCGCCGTCGGCCGGAACACCGCAGAATCTGCGAGGGGCGGAGCCGCTCATGACTTCCGCGTCGACCCGCGCCAAACCCGTGCCATCCCCGGCGCCCGCAAGCCCGCAAGCCCGCAAGCCCGCCCGCCGCGTCCCTGGCCTAGAAGCAGCCCTACCGTCAGTCCCGGGTAGCGATTCGTGCATCTCCGCAATACGACTCGCCGTGCTTGATCTACGGCGCACTGCAAATCATCAGCCCGCTGTCTATTCCAACGCGCGCTCTAGAACTCTACGTAAAGGGGCATCTTTCGGATTCTTCGATGGCTGTGAATAAGCCTGTACCCCTCCGCTCTGGTTGGTTGGTGCCTGCCTACCAGCTAGCCCGGCCCCCAGCGTGAGCCAATTACCCGATTGATCCATGAGCACGTACAATAGTAGTAGCACCACTCAATTACCCGTTTTCAGCAGCCGCGGCGGTAATTTCACCGGACCTAAGGGCGCCACCTGAACTTCTTTCGACGGCGCTTCTGGCTGTGACAGTCGACGGCCAACGCGGCCACACGGGCAATGCTTTCCGACCCCGACTTGTTTCAACGACATGGCTGACGACCCCGTGGAAATAAGCAATGGCTTGTTGGCGTACGTGGCTGATGGAGGGAGCAAGGGGCAATTAGCCTATAGAGTTCGCATCGCTGTTTTCAGACGCCATGGCAATGCTGCCTCTCGGCCATTATTGCATCATCCAATGTCTGCATCAGTGGTCTACTCGTTGACGCATTTCATGCCTCGAGAACCAAATCCCCCACATAACTAAGCGTAGCATCCTTGGATTATCCTGCGACTGTGGGGCCTGTGTTTGTCACCGTGGGGGTAAGTTTCGCTCCAGCTCCTTCAGGTTTCTCCTCGGAGCTGGCCGTCGACGTTCGGGCCCCTTCGTTCATGGCCTCTGCGGACGCCTTCACAGAAGCCGGGGATATCCAGAGGCGCAGCTCTCTGATTGGTGTTTATTATTCCCCGCGTACTATGTCCGGGAAGGATTTTATCCTGCACGCTCGACAGAAGTCTCGAGCCATGCTCTACTCCTGTGGGTTTCGGCTTGCTGGAGTGCGCGCCGAGTAGATTTTTGATTCGGTCCAATCGCACAACTTGTCCAAATCCTTCTCTTCCTTCGTCCGCTCATCACAATCACCGACGTTGACGCGACGTCCACGAGAGTCAATGGCGAAGCGCTCATCCTCTCGACCCACCACGATCTGCTCGTTTTCCTCATTCGCCCGGCTAATGGGGTTAGGGCGCAGGATAGTCACCGCCATATCCTTATCTTTTCCCTTTCGCATGTGCTTCTCCTTCTGAAGATCTTCCACCAGCTCTCCTTTCTCACACTCCTGTATGATGCCCTCTCTGCCTCTCTGCTCGAGTATGGTGAGGTCGCTATCGGCGTTCCGGACCCGCGACGACGTGCTACGCTTAGAAAGGCGGCCATAATACGCGATCTCAGCAGGACCGAGGCTTTTGGGCATAGTCCATGGATCCGGGACTTCGGGTTGGAAGCTGCGCATTTCCTTCGCTGTCTCGGCGTACATGCTGCGAGTCCAGGCTGCGTTTATGGTGCGCTCGTAGGGGACCGGCGGAGGATTTGGGGGCCGAGTCATTGTGACCTTTTGCCTTGTGAAAGACGCAAGTAACCAAGAGAAGAGAGTAGTTACGGTGGATGCGAGTGAGTGCGCAACAGCAAAGTGTGAGCGTGAAAGTGAGAAGTTAACGCTACTAGAGTCCTAGTAAATTTGGTGGAAAATATCGCGGACAGCTATTGTTGTAGTTGCGAAGAATTGTGTGCTCTCGCATGCGCGGTGACAGCTGGAAGTGAAGCGGCTGCGAATTTATATTCGCAATGGTGCCAAGTTCTATTTTATGGTGCCAAGTTTGGTTATTCCAGGTTTGGCGGTGACAAGTTCGCCGGCAGTACGGGCAACGTCGATGCTGATGCCGCAGAAAACGGAAGCTGCGAAGTGCTAAGGAGTGGCGCATGCAAGAGCAGCGTAGCCAGAAGTCGAAGGCAGAGCGCCGCGCTGACTCGCGTTTGTGGCGCTACTAAGTTCTAGCAAAACAGCTCTATATGCTATGCGGCTTGGTCAGATCGCAATCTTCGTTGGCTGCCCGATAAGATTACAGCATACATCTCATGTTTCATGGGGCCGATCCAGGTTGCTCCTGAATAGTAAAAGGGTTAGGTTCGAAGAAATTGGACTTGTGTAGGACTTGCTGAGGTGGTATTGGGGTATCTAAACCACGCTCTTGACCCATGTCCAAATCACTCCCAGAACGCCATCTATCGCTATCCGCACCTGTCAGCTTTTCACACTGGCTACAAGACTCCTTACCTTCTTCCGAACGCCACCAATGCAAAGAAAGAAAAAAAGCGAAGCCAACCTGGCATACCCAGGGTCTGCCTGAGAGTCCATGGTCCGCAGGTATTCCGCCATCAATCCCGCCATGGGTAAATTGCCATCACCGCATGACAGGTGGTCTTCCTTCCTTGTTCCATTTTACCCTACTACACAGCCAGTCGACCGCCTCTTTAACACCAGACCCTGTCAATGCACTGCAAGGCAGAACACGGCTGTCCCTGATGCTCCCTCCCTTGCCGCCCTCAAAAACCTTGCGCACCAAGCCCTCCTTGATTTTTACCGTCTCCACGCAGTCCTCGCGATCCTGCTTATTTGCCAGCACCAGCAACGGGACGCCCTCCGTTTCTTCGTGCTGCAGCACATCTTCGAGCACCAAGCGACACTCCTGCAAGCGACCGTCTGTGTCGTCTTCCCTGCCATCCACCAGGTTCTCGAGATCGGCGTCGCCGATATCCGTGCTATCGATCACGAAGACAATTGCATGGCACGAGGCGTAATAGCTCTGCCAAAGGCCGCGCAGCGAGTGCTGGCCGCCGACATCCCAGATCTTGAGGTACATATCCGGCAGGGTGATGGTTGAGACATTCTGGCCTACGGTCGGCACGGTCTTGAGTTTCGGGTGGGGATTGTTCGAGTTGACGGCTTTTATCTGTTCGAGGAGAGTTGTCTTGCCGGCGTTGTCGAGGCCGAGGAGAAGGATGGAGTATTCTGTGGAGTAGAGCTGTTAGTTTGCAGATCGCGGGGCATTGCAGCCGGAGCCAGGAGCGCGAGCACCTTCTTTGCTGGTTGCGTAAAGATACAAGCCTTTCATCAGATGGAACATGTTGGGCTGGTGGTGTCGCTCGGGGAGCGCGGCGACGGCGTGGTGCAGATGTGGACGCGCGTGCTCTCCGCGGGAGCTTTGAGAGTGATGTGGTTAGATGGCGGGCCTAGGGACCCCCAGCCGCGACATGAGTCAGGTCACGCGTGGCGCTCCGCCGTCACTGAGATCCCACCTAGCCTGCCTGACACGCCTCTGCCATCACGAACATGACCGTGTTGTGACGCGCCTCTTCCAAGATCTTAGGGCGCAGACGCGCGACATTCTCCAGGCACCAAACACTCGCGCGCGCGCATACAATATCTCGCGTCGCATTCAACATCCTCGCGACTCTCACACTACGTGACTTCTAAATATATCGGCACCAGTTGCGTCATCAGTAGCGACTCCCTCCACATTGCGACCGACGCGCGCACCTACCGCCATGGCACCCGTGGAGGCGGATGTCCTCAACTCGAATCGCGAGCCTCTGTTTCAAATCACCGCTGCGGTCGTGCTCGTCGATCTCTGTTTGGTAACGGTCCTCAGGTACATCGGCCATGCTGTTCGCGCCTTGCCCCCGGCGCAGAAGACGCGTTATCGCGAGGAGCAGCGCAAGAGGACTCTCACCACTTTCGGATCCCTAGCCATCGCAAGCATTCTGGTACTCGTCTATCACTGGGCTTACGCGCTGCTGGGTTCCTACGACGCGTGGGCCGACCAGCAGGGCGAGAAGACGCCCGGTGCTCTGTGGGACGGCTGGTACGCGGGTACGGACGATCAGGACTGGCAACTTGGGAAATGGTGGCAGGATACCAATCCCCCTCATGACTTCAAGCGGGCGGCGCTCGGCACGAGCAGGGCGCTCTGGTGGACCCAGCAGCTTTTCGTTGCTCGCCTCGCCTTCAACACTTTCGTGGGAATTGAAGGTAAGTTGCCATGATGACGACTCCTTATATGCACACGAGATTCGCCGCTGACGATCAGGTTGCAGGCCGCAGACGCGACGTTCCAGGCTGGGCAGTTGTTGCTCTCTGGGGTCTGTCAGAGTTCGCAAGCCTCAGCCTGGCCCAAAGCCTGTTCTTCGCGATACTCACGCTCACTCAAGCACCGGCTACGAGGACACAGCGCGGTTCGAGATGGGCGCCGCACCTGCTCGTCTATCTTGTTCCAATCGCGGCAGCTGCTGCTTCGATCTGGCTTCTGCCTGGTCTTGCTTCCAACAATGTCAGTTGGGTCGCAGAATACGGCTTCCGCCTGAGTGCTTTCCTTTTGGCGACAGGGACCAGGGTGAGTGCCTTATCTTAAATTTTGAATACGGTTGCCCTACGAAGTTAGTGCCCAAACATCGCTAAACTCAATTTACAGTTTGTTCCAGAAAGATTCGGTCAGCAATACACAGACGCGCATGCTGCACATCATGCAGAGTCACGCGTCTTTAGCGTCATCTCCGTCGTCGCGACCGCGTATTTCCTACGCAGCACCTTTTGGGGAGCGCTGTTGAACTCGGGTGCTTCATATCAGAGACATTTCAACCCCATCTGGTCCACGCACCCCGCTTATGACAGGCCTCTGTGGTCCAAGCTTGCTTCTGCGTCTGTAAAGATCCTAGGAGCTATCAGCGAGGATCCCATTGTTGGTGTCATCGGCTGGGATGTTCTATTTTCGGGCTTTGGTCTCTGCGTTTGGGCCGCTTCTCGGGGACTTGACGTCAGGGATATGCTTAACAGCATACTCCCCTCGCTAAGAAGACAGAGCATTGAGAACAAGCCTTCTATCAAGGAAGAGACCCCTACAAGCCCGCCCGAGTCCCCCGGTTCGTCGACGGCCAGACGTCGCGGCAGACCGAAAAAAACGGAAAGTTCTGCGACACAGGAGCCTCCTTCGCCAGTGACAAGGCGTAGCTTGCGTAGGCGATCCGCTACTCATGACTCCGACGCCGACGGTGCTTCATACGCCCCGCCTCCCAATGTCGAAGCAGAATTGGCCGACCTGGAGCACGAAGAAGAGCGTGACGACACTGTAGCTGAGGACGCAGAAGCGTCAGCTTTGGCATGGGGTTTGTCCCTCATTGGAGGTCTCGGACTGATGAGTGCGGCAGTGATGGGCGCTGAGGTGACCAGTGGATAGTCGGCGGTGATTCATCGCGAATCTGGGCTCGACGGGAAGGCACCTCTGATTCGAGGTCAGCTGTGGACGGGGCTCGTGGGCACTTGGTTTGGTTTTCAGTCATCTCCTAATTGTGTTACTTTCTGCTTTCCAAGGGAGGGCTTGCTGGCGAAACCCGGTGTGGTGCAGATCTTTTTTTTTGGTCATTGATAGGGCGATTTCTGATTTCTGAGCTGTCATCTGGCCGGTGACTTTGGGAAGGTCTCGTTTCAAGGTCCGAGAACGGAAGGACGGGAGCAAGGACGGACGCGGCTGTAACGAGGCATTGGCCAGGGACTGGATGAATCTCAAGATGACGTTTCATGGTCAGGCACATGACGGTGCGAGCTGAGCAGTCGACCGGCAGACGGAGCGGGCAGCTTGTGGCATGTCATGCTGCATCAGGCGCCCTGTGGATGTGATGGAACGTGGCGGGCCGGCGGCCGCATCCGCGCGGAGGTGAGGACTGGCGGACGACAGCAGAGAGCGCATGGCGGAGCTTGCGACACACAATGGCTCGTCTGGCATTGGCCTCGATGGTTGCGAGGCGGGACGGGCACATGGGCGTGGGATTATGCTTTCACCGCTCTCACGCGCGGCAGGGATTGCGGCGCGCTGGCGCAGCGGTTCCTTGCGTTAGGGCGGGATGGAGAGGCGGAAGGGCGAGTGTGTGAGTGCGACGCGAGGCTCACGGCTCACGGCTCACGGCCGACGGGTGACGGCTGACGGCTGGCGAGGCGTGCGAGGCTCTGGCCCAGCGTCGAAGGACAGGTCGAACGGCGCTGGTCGCACGCTTGCCACGCAGCGCCTTCCTTGCGCCGGCTGGCCGTCTGATCGGCCTCCCGCGCAGCCGAAACACACCTCCCATCTCGCCATCCTCCGCTCCCGCACCCTCGACAGCCAAGCAGGCTCACAGGCTCAGGCTCAGGCTCAAGTCTCCGGCCCAGGCACGCCCACGCGAGCTCCGACGCCATCGCCGCTCCCTCCCCGATCACCCGTAGGCTCGCGCGCCCGCCTGCGCGCTATCAGCACCCCTGCCCAGCTGCCCGCTCCGCAGCCTGTGAGCTGGCCGCGACGCCTTGCTGGACAGCCTTCGCGCGCGCGACGCATCCCATCCAAGCTGTTTCGACCTTCCGCACCGCCCGCCGCGACCCGCTGCCAGCTGCCTTCGCCCGACGTCAGCGCCCGCAGTCCTGCTCCAACCACCCTGCCCCAGTCCGCGCGCCGCATCCACGGGCCGCGAGGGAGACGTCTGTGCTTTGGGCATCAGTCCGCGACCAAGCAAGCCGTGAGGCAAGAGCGCCGCTGCTCTTATACCGCCAGCCATGAAGGTGAGCACCCGCTTCCGTCTTCGCACGCCGTCCTTTTTGCATTTTTTCCTTTTTCTCCTGCTCCGCCGCACCGCCCCTTCCTTCCCCTGCTTCCCCCGCTGCTCCGCGCTCAGCCCTACCGTTGCACACCCGGCTCCTGGCGACATTCCCCGAAAAGGCCGCCCTTCCCGGATTGGTATTCTTTTGCTGCGCGCCCACCGTTGCTTCCCTCTTCCACTTCGTTGGGCGCACTTGACGCTGTGATCCTGCTGCCTCATCCACCGCGCCGGGTGCATCGTCCTGGCCGCTGCGTGGTCCACACGATCGTGTATCCACCGAGCTTGAGACATGATACCCAATCACACCCCTGCCGCCTCACTTCGCCTCTGCTCGCCGGGGCCCAGCGTACCACTGCTGTAAGATCCCACGGCCAGGACGTCCTCTTCGCTGCCAAGCGCCACCACTGGCCCTGACCTGGTCGCCCTCATGTACCCGTCTGCCTGCGCTGGAGCCACCTGAGATCCTGCAGCCTGCCGCAGCCGGCCAAACATCCGGACGGACACCACGCCTCTTGTGTTGCTATAAGACACCGCCGAGCCACCTGTGTCGGCCGCATCGCGATGAAGGGCTGAGCCTGAGCATTCAACCGACGTTCTCCCTCTCCACACCCCACAAGCACCACGGCCAAATACATCATCGCACCCACCGGTCCCCAACCACTCGGCGCCCTTTGCCGACCTCACACTTCACCTTCACTCCAACACCTGCTTCATCTAGCACTCACCTATGACGTCTTCTTACCTATCCATGCCTGCGGGTCACGGGCCACCGGGAAAGGAGATGGGAGAGAGCCACCATGCCGCGTTCGACAGGTTCAAGCCTGCAGCCAAGTTAACTTTGATGCGCTATTTCCAGGACCTTCAGAATGCTGAGATTCCGCCGAGTCCTGTCGCTCCGCGTTTCCACACCGGACGCCTTCCGAACAGCAAGGCCGGAGATGGCAAACCCAGGTTGCTGTTGATGGGTCAGAGGCGGTGAGTCACGCGCCCTGGTAATCTCTGACGTGGGATCGTGGTGGTAGTGGCTGTGGCGAGGAGGGTTGTACTGCAGGAGCAGGATATTGACTAGTGTTGCAGGAGCGGCAAGTCCTCGATATCTAGCGTCGTCTTCCATAAGCTCCCCCCGAGTGAGACGCTTTACCTCGAAACGACTACCCGTATCAAGAAGGAGTCAATGCAGTAAGTCATCCGCACCCTGCTTCGGAACTTCTTCACTCGAGGTGGAGCGGGGCTGATTCGACGTAGCTCCTTCATGGACTTCCAGGTCTGGGACTTCCCGGGCCACCTGGACTACTTCGACCCTGCTTTTGACGTAGACAACATCTTCGACGAGATTGGCGCCTTGATATGGGTTATCGATGCGCAGGACGAGTATTTGGATGCCATCACTCGCTTGAACACCACCATTCTCAATCTGCAGCATTCGTACCCGAACATCAACGTCGAGGTTTTCGTCCACAAAGTCGACGGCCTCTCAGAGGACTACAAGAGCGACACGTACCGAGACATCATCCAGAGGGTGCAGGACGAGCTGTCGGATGCCGGTTACGAAAACGCGCCTGTCAGCTTCTACCAAACCAGCATCTACGATCACTCAATCTTCGAAGCCTTCAGTAAGGTCATCCAGAAGCTGATTCCCCAACTTCCCACGCTGGAATCTCTGCTCAATAGCCTCTGTTCCACCTGCCGCATCGAGAAGGCGTACCTGTTCGACGTGCTCAGCAAGATCTACATTGCCACGGACACTAGCCCAACAGATATCGGCAGCTACGAGATCTGCTCGGATTACATTGATGTGGTTGTTGATGTGAGCGAAATCTACGGATGGGACCGTCCAGATGAGAATGGATATACCGACGGAGACATGGATGAGACAGGCAACAACGATGCAGAGAGCTTGATCACCATGGAGAGGAAGGGCAACAACTATCTCTATCTGCGAGAAATCAACAAGTGAGTGGCGGACACAGAGCTGTCTGGAAACGGCGCATCTTGAATCTAACGGCAGGACAGATATCTTGCTCTCATTTGCCTCATGGGCGAAGACAGCCCATCAGAAAAGAAGGCTCTGATCGACTACAACGTTGGAGTCTTCCAGGAAGCTCTTGCGCAGGTATTTCCCAGGTAAAGGACCGTCACGACCTGTAGTCTTCCTGTACATGTCGGCCTTTTTTTTTCTCTGGAAGCATTCGACGAATCCCACAGTTGGAGTTAGAGGAAAGGCAAAAAAAAAAAGACGGATGGGGAGCGTCTTCATTGAATCGAATATCTGGAAGTCTTTGGGATGGAAGGATGGTCGCATGGGACTGATTGGGAACGGAAGGTGCAAAGCCGCACGTGAGAAGCGGCCCGCGAGTACCTCACAATGACGAAGTGTACGATCGTTTAGCGGCAAGAATATGTCTGTGATGAGCAAGGACCATTCATGGGGGTTATGTAGACGGACGGAATCTCCTCGCGAGAACCTCACTTCCAGTTACCCGCAAGGGAAAACACGGATATGTATAACTTGAAACACCCGGCTTTTGCATTGCTTCCTTCCATGCGATGACGTCTTGGAAGGATGAGACGTCGAGGAAATAGGACATCCCCGAAACGGCCCCTGGTACGGGCCGGGCAGGCGGGAACCCGCACCCACCCCCCCGTTAGGCGATCGCCGGACGCCAGAATTCCCGTTACCATGGTTCGGTACACAGCCGTCTATCTTTTTTTCCTTTCTTTTTTTTATTTTGTGGCTTGCAGGATGGAGAAAGGCTGGGTTGTCGTGTGTTAGAACAAGGCGGTGCAGGGCCAACTAGCGAAACAGAAGAGAGCGTGCTTATCGCCCAATCGGAGACGAGCGATTATGAGGTGACGATGATGGGATGCGCGCGACGCGAGTCATCAGGGCGGGAAGAAAAGAGGGGTGGGTGACTCCGGGAATGACAAGTGCGTTTCCGGAAGCTCTCGTCTGCATCTCGATGCTCCGGATCGTCGGAGATAAAAGGTACTATGATTATTAAGGGAGATGGGCGGATCGATCAATGAAACACATGGAGGCGAGCAATGCTGAGAGTGAGAGAGAGCGGAGCGTTGGCGGGGACTCCCGAGATCTGTCCACATCTTATTCTTATTTTTCTTGTTGCTTTTAGTTTCTCGAGCCACCTTTTCTTCGTGAGCTCTTGCGTGTTCCTTGGATGATCTATTTTTGTCTTATGCTAGGCTTTCGGCGACCGGGGTGCTGCAGGATCAAGCGTCATTGGCATTATTTGGGAGCTATCGGAATCCGAAAAGCTCCATCCACGTAGCTCCCTCTCTCTCTCTTACCGGCACGCACCCGAAATCCGAGACAACGCTTGACTGCTACGGCGACAGCGGACCTCAGTTTTCGCGCCCTGTCCTCGTTTTTCTCTCCCTCCGAGATCCCGCGCAGCTTGACGACTCGGAGTGCCGGATACTCGGGACTGCTGCTGCGCGGCGCGCATACGACACAGTCTCCCGACACTCCCTCCACCACCTCATCCCGCCGCCGTCCTCGACCCACGAGACAATCAAGTCCCCCAGCTAAGCGCAGGGCTTGTCACGGCTTTTCACACCCTTCTCTACGACACGCACGCAGACACACGCGCTCGACCACCACCGATCAGAGGGCAATTGCCGCATACCGACACACACCCATCACCGCCCAAAGCAAGAAGCCCCACACGCACGCACAATTCGCACGCACACACATACACACACACCAAAAACGCACAAGAGATGGCAGACACCAGCGCCTCCCCGCCACCAGGGGCGGCGGCAGGTGACGAGAACAACAACAAGAAGAAGAAGGAGCGAAGCAGGAGCGGAAGCAGAGACAGAGGCAGAGGCAGAGGCAGAGAGCGACGCAGAGGGTCGTCCCCAGAGGCCGACGACATCGGCAAGGTGACGGTGCTGGACGTGCTGCGGGTGCTGGGCGGCGTGGTGCTGCTCAACTTTGCGCTGAGCTGGTACATCACGGGCGAGTCGTTCCTGTGGGGGTGGCGGCCGTGGTTCTCGCGGCCGGACGGGCTGAGGGCTTGGTTGGTGAGTCTTGCGATTTTCTCTTTGTTTTGTTTTTCTCTCTCTCTCTCTCTCTCTCTTCTACTTGAGCGCTTTTGGGGGCTCGTTGCGCCGGTCCATGGAGGGAGGGGAGGGAGGATGTGAGCGACAGAGAGTTGTGAGGGAGGGAAGAGAAGGAATGAGGAGAGAGAGAAAGAGAGAACAGAGCCAGCAGCGCAATCAAGACATCTAACCAACACCAACCCACACAGCGCGGCCCCGTCCTCCTCACAGACGAGCAGCTCGCCGCCTACGACGGCTCCGACCCCTCGAAGCCCATCTACCTCGGCCTGAACGGCACCATCTACGACGTCACGCCCGGCAGACACTTGTACGTTTTCTCTCCCTTCCCTCCCTCCCTTCCCCTCTCTCTCCCTCCCCCCTCCCTCACCCTCCACCTCCTAACACCCGCCCAACACAGCTACGGCCCCAACGGCGGCTACCACTTCTTCGCCGGCCGCGACGCCGCCCGCGCCTTCGTCACCGGCTGCTTCGACACGGACCTCACCCCGGACCTGCGCGGCGCCGAGGACATGTACATCCCGACCGACGTGCCCGAAGAAGCGGAATCAGAACTCTCTCTCTCCCCCGCCGACCGCGATGCCCGCGACGCCCGCGAGCGCGCCGAGGCGCGCAGAAAAGTCGACGACGTCGTCGCCGGGTGGGCGCACGTCTTCGCCGGCGGCACCGGCAAGGAGTACCTGGCGGTCGGGCGGATCGTGAGGGAGGAGGGCTGGCTGGAGCGGTTGCCGCGGAGGGAGCTGTGCGAGAAGGCGGCGGGGTTGAGGCCGAAGGGGAGGGTCAAGAAGAGGAAGAGTAAGGGTAAGGGTAAGGGTGAGGGGGGGGAGGATGCGGCGGCGGCGAAGGAGGGAGGGAAGCGGTGAGTGAGTGAGGAGGGCGGAGAGGGTTGAGGCGGGAGGAGAGGTGGTTGGTGGTGGCGAGCAGCGTGTCTAGACTCTAGTGTAGATGGACAGCTTTGTACACCTTTGTATGTTATAGTTTTTTTTTTTTGCTCTTCTGAAGGACAGTCAAAATTTACAAAACGAAGCACTTTCAGGAGGTGGGCAATGAACCTTCCAAACCACGTCCATCTTGAGGGACATGAAAGCTTTGATGCGCACCCTACATTGATACTCCCTTGCCATTGAACAGCTATCATGAGCACATTTCTTAAAGTGACGTGTAAGCGGGGAAGGCCCCTCACAGGTGCAGATCATCACGGGCATTGCAATCAAAGCACATCATGTTCGACGGCGCAGAATCTCAGTCCCATTGAAACATCGCGGCCTTATGTAGAGTACTACCGACTAAGCCCATGATACAGTCTTTGATCAAACTAAGCATGGATTCCCATCACGTTCTGGTATTTTCGTCCGTTCATCCCATCGGAACTATTTATCACAGAAAGTAGTCCGAACTTTTTGTCCCCAATTTTTCGTTTGGTTCCTTCAAAAGTGATTTCCCGAAAGATTGGTAGACGCCTTCATAATGGAAAGACCCGCTTTGGATTCTGAACCGCAAAAGGAAACCCGTTCGTCACGCCGCCGATTTCAGTCGCACCGGTACATTTACTCTTGGCCAACAGCGCGAGCTAGGAACCCGGTTAGTACAGCCGTCTCTGTGGGGTGGCCAACATGTCTCGACCCGCATTCCGCACCAGCGTCTGATTCCGAACGACGACCGGTCGGGAGGCGAGCCGAGCCGATGCAGCAGGATGGGGCGCTACTCACTGTAGACCTGGAGCTTGCTGTGGTGGACGACCTTCTTGATCTGGCCCTTCTCCTCGAGGTCGGCGAGCGCCTTCCTGGCGAGCGAGCCGTTGATCTTCAACCTATCGACGAGGATGGCGACGGTGATCAGGCGGTACGACTGGACATCCTTCTGGAGCTTGTCGTTGGTGGTCTTGTCGAGGACAACGGCGTGCTGGGCCTTGTCCTTAACTGCAGTGCGGAAAAGGTCATGTCAGCGCTGGGTTTCCTGTGACTTCTGGCCTCATCCGCCGCTCGTCTGGGGTCTGGGCCGCGGTGCGTGTGCTGGGCGCGTGTGTGCGGTGCGGGATGAAAAACGAGGTGCTTGGGGACGGACGGCTGCGCGTCTCGCGCGAGCGGAAAGGTTTTCGCGATGAATTTTGCCTTGCGGTGCGGTCGCGGGGATGGGGTGAGCGGGCGGCGGTGGTTCACGTACCCTTGCCCTTAGACCACTTCTTCTTCTGCTTCTTGCCTCCAGTAGCAGCGGGAGCCTGTGCGGGAGGTGGTCAGCATGGCGAAGGCTTCGGGATCTGGGGCTGCTTGGTGGGCGTACCATTTTGAATGATGTCGAGAACGGAGGTTGTCGAGGTCAGGTTCGGCCTGGCTGCGCGGGTTGTGCTAAAGTCGCTTGTCGAAATTCATTGTGGCTGACATAAGCGCGGAACAAGCGAGCGCCGGGCGCCCTCGCCGACACCTCGTCACCTGCTTGTGATGCACGAGACGTCGATCTGATGGCAGCCCAGCCTCGCAACACCAGACGCACCCAGCCATTGCAGCTCGCTGCTGCGCCAATGCGGCGGCAGCCCGCCCTGCGCGGCTCTGGCATTCTGTCCGGATTTTTGCAATCACGCTTTGGGTGCCCTGGCCCGCCAATCGCGGAGACGGCGGCCGCAGAATGCTCCCTGGCGAACGACAACAAAGAAAAGAGACGACTCGCTAGGTAGGCCTGCTGCAGCCGCGGCAGGAATCCGCCCGGACGCGACGCAGCCGCCCACGAGGCTCGCGCAGTGCGTCGACCCCAAGCAGCTCCCTGGCAGCCACGGGCTCTTATCGCTGCCGCATTGCACCCCATGACCCCAGAGCGACACACATGTACCCATGCTCCTGCTTGCCAAAGCCGCCACAGCGTGCGTTAGGCCGCCCGCAGTGTGCATTGCGCTGCTCGCATTGGCCTGGCACTCTACGGACGTATTGTATTGTATCTCGCACGTCGACACTACTGCCCGCCAGCGCGCCAGCGGTGACTTGGCAGCCGTCGTAAGCGCCATTGAACCCATTGTCAATCGCCCCCGGAGCATAGGTATACGGGGCGCGCGTGCGCACCCTACCGCGCCGCTGTGTTGACAAAAAGAAAAAAAAAGGGGAGCGAGTAGCGACACCACGACATCGATCAGCTGTCCGATACGTCATGCGGTATGACTCCATTCGGGTTGGAGGGGGGAAGAGGCACCTCCCAGAACGGTTTTGAGGCAACCAAGGCGGCTGTGGATTGCATGCTTCATGCCGTCCGCACACGACACAAAGCCCATCCACTCCACACACCACACCATAACCGCCCACGCCTCAGCCTTCCCCCCCTCCTCCTCCTCCCTCCATGCATTGCGCCTAAACGGACACGCCCAGTCAGCAGCCGCCAATCAAGCCACCAGTGCATTAGCGAGCAAGTCGCCGGGCAACCGCGGCAGCCACTGTGTATCAACGGGGGTGTGTGTGTGTGGAGTGGGAGGCACTTTTTAGTGTGGGCATCCAATCCACACCACCAGGCTGGTGGTACTCCTGGGCCGCCGCCCCTTTGTGATAAGCAACCCATCCTCGCTGCCCTCCTGCTGCCCGCCCACCCCTCTTCTTCTCTGGTATCTCAATATGATCCATGCGATATTGATGTCTGATCGGCGCTCGAGCAAGACGCGGCTTCCCCGGCGCCAAAGAAATGATGTTTTGCGCGGGCGCGGCCCCCCCTCTGGTCGCTTGCAAGCGCGCGTGCGCGCGTGTCGCATTGAGGGAGACGTTGAAGATAATTAGTGCGCATTCGCCGAGCCCCGGGCTAGTCCTCACTTTGGCAGGACGGGCCGGCCGTGTTAATATTTCGGACGGGGTGTGGGATCGCGAACGGGTGGCCCATTGGAGGAGAAGATCGGTAGGACCCTGATTGCGGCTCCGATCATCGGCATCTTCGAACTGCAAAAGGGACCCTGGGTTGGGGATCTGCCCCATGTACGTACGTGTGCATGTGACTAATGGCGTTGGATAACCACCAAATCAGCCGTCCGTCAGACCGTTGATCGGGTCTTGTGCCTGCCATGTATGTACCACAATATCTACGCGCGTTCTGGGCATGTGCAGTACGTACATATACATGTATGTACATGGTACTGCACGTCCCTTTCATCAGCGTTGCTAACGGGCGTGAGTTTCTCGTCGCTGGCATCGATGCAAGATGCGGTTGCTGAAACTTGTGAGACCACGAATTACCCCGCTCCACTCACCGATCAAAGCCCGCCAGTGTGGATGGCAGAGACGCAAGATTGAGAGGAAGGAATACAGAAAGATTAAAAAAGCGAGCACTCCTTGCTGCCTCAGGGTTGCATATTAAAACCTGCGGCTAGCATCTTAGCCACGAGGACCACTCTCCACCCGCCCCCGGTCAGGAAACAAGGGACAAGGGCGAATGGCACGCCTGACCCTGACGAAAAAAAAAAAAAAAGCCAATGGCCGCTGCGCTTGCTGCTCCTTCTCGTGGGACCCTCGTTGAGCCGCTTCGAAGAGTGTGGTTCTTTGTAGCTGGCGGGATCCCGTTGCTGCATCGCTTGTGCGAGGACCATCGAGAGCCACGGGCAGATGCAGGCGGCTCCCACACAGCCCACAACCAACACCAGGCCATCCATTGTCACGATGCATCTCCATTTGCACAATGTTTTGGTTGTTGTCGGCAAATTCGCTTTTGATTCCTGCTTAGAGCTCTCGCACAAAAAAAAACCAGAGTCCCACCCCGTAATTTCCAATGCCTGAGAATTAGAACGGTGTTCGACAAAAGGAATAGCAGACCGGAAAAGCACAGGATTGTGATGAACCCCAAGAACCCCCGCAAAAAAAAAAAAAAAAGATAGGACACTGTGGCCAGCCTTGCCCTTGTTCTAATGCCACCTCGAGTTGCCATACGAGCCCGCCATACGTTGATATGAAAGGTAAAAAGAAAACCAGGGAGGAAAGAATAAACACGGAAAGAAAAAGGGAGAGTCGACCGCGCGCCATGACAAAGACGTTCAGAGCTGCACCAACACTTATGACAAACAAAGAATACCGCCAACAAAAATGGCGGGTGACTCTTCAAAAGAGAGGCATGTGGGGAGAAAGACAGGATAGAGGGAAAAGAAGACATTGTCCGAGATGTCTATCTAGTGGTCTCCCTCCCGTTCAGAATATCCCTTTTTTCTGCAGCCCATCGATGATGTATCGCGTTTCCTTCGCCCACTCCAACTTACACGCACGAAGAATTGCTAGAGAACTGTTTATGGAGAGACGCAGTGAAGAAAAAAGAAAAGAGACCCTCGCTTGCAAAAGAAGACCCAGTGACACACAAAGCAGACGCAGGAAAGGAGAGATAACTTTCATCGTACCCAGGAAGCGAAGAAAAAAGAAACGAGATTGCCACTCGTAAATGCAGCTGGAAAGGTCCCCCAAACAAAGTAGAAAGATGTTGTTTGTTTTCGCCAAAGACGCCCGAGTTCCTGGAGAGGATATGCGGTCATTAGAAGAAATGTGTGTGAGGCTTCGACATCTCGTGGACTTCCATTTCCTGCACAATGTTAGCGGCCGGCACCTGGCGTCGCGAGGGACCGATGATACGCACCATCTTGAAGGTGTTGATCTCCTCCTTGATCTGTTGAGCAAGCAGCGGCGTGAGACGGTTGCACGTCGCAATGTCTCCCCGCCTGTCATACTCGGAACTGGAGAAGGCATCGTGGAATTGGATGCGGGGACTGAAGCTGATGTTGCGGGGGCCGCCATGGGGCGTGGTGGGAAGGCTCCTGGAGCTCCCGGCTGCGAAACGCGAGGCGCCCACGAAGTAGTCGTCGCCTCCCAGAGCCAGATTAGGTCTGTTGTCATCGCCCGGCGTGCTTGGTGCACTTGAGTTCGGAGTGTCGTGGTTGTGCGTGAAGCCCGGTGCGCCGTCCGCAGGACGAACCTGAGGCGAAGGGCTGTCTGTGCCAGTTCCTGTTCGGGTCAATATCATGTTACTAGAGCTGAGGGTCTTTCTTCCCACTCACTTTTGAGGATGCCCTTTCTGACGGCAGCCAAGACCTCAGCACGCTCCCTCTCGCCACCCATGATGCTCTTCCTCGAGCCATCGGCACCGGCACCGCCAACCGATGACGGCCGCTCGGATACTGAGGAGACCTCGAGCGAATTGCGCTCAAGCTTAGGAAAGCCAGTGCCACCACCAGCCTGATCCGCCGGGCTCACATTCACGTTCACCTTTTCCCTCTCAGCCTCCACATTGACCATAGACACCTGGCCCACAGAGGCTTGGACGGCAGAGTCCGCGGCAGGAACACCAATGACGGACTTTGGTCTGAACAATCCTTTCAACGAGCGACCGCCCTTCTTCATACCCTTGCCCATCTTTCGGAGCATTACCGATGCAGAGGATGCAGTGGATTGGATGGACAGGTTATCCGTGGAGCTAGAGAACACTCCTCCCTGACCAGAGTAGATGCTGTTGCCGATGCCAGCAGCTTCCTGCTTCGCTGCAATGGCCGCATCTTCCGGATCAATCTCCTCCTGCTGCTGAACCCTCTGGTGCATCCGTGCCGACGAGGCGTTCTCTACGGAAGCCTTGCGAAGCTCAGCTGCGCTGCCGAAAGAGAAGGCTCTCCGTAGGCGGGACTTGACGCCCTTCTCCTTCTCGTTCAGAGCCGTAAGATGTTGAGCAGCAGGGCTCTTGGCTCCGGCAACAGCATCGGCGGCTGACCCTCTCCCGGAGCTACCAGGAGGAGCTTCGGCACCGGAAGCTGTTTTCGAGAGAGGGGACGGGTTCGCTACACGCTTTGTCGCGTCCGTAGAGGATCCACGGGCAGGCACATTAGGCGAGCGGGATTGCTGCCCACCCTTGGGAGAAGGTGGCCCAGCAGAAGTTTGTGCATTGTCGCGCTTCGACTAAAAGTCTGTTAGCGTCGTCCGGACCGAGTTGACCCAAAATGGGCCAAAATCGTGGCATTACTTACGGAAGAAGGTCTGGTGGAATTGCTTCCCGATGAGATGCTCTCGCCACTGTTGTTCTTGTGAGCACCGAGCCTCGCATCTTGACGTTGCTGCGGAGCCCAAGTCGGGGTTCCTTGCTGGATGGTGACCCCCTCAAAATTATTCAAACTCCTCCGTCTATATCTTTTCGCCTGTTCCGAGTTTGCCCTAGGCAACACACTGTCATCCATGCTAGAAGTCCTATTGTGGCCTGGACGAGGGTTTGGTGCGTTATTCTTGTAGAGGTGGGCCACGCCCGCCATGCCAGAGCCCGACGGCGCTGCCGACTTGGAGTCCTGGGGCAATGACGGGCTGGACGGTCCGGAGGTGTTGCGAGAGCGACGGTATCGGTCGGGAGAGGTTTTCGCGGGAGTGTCGAAGGAAGTGAGCGTAAGGTCCGGGACCGATGTCGACAGGTTGATGGCCGACAGTTGCCGTGACGAGTCGACGCTCGAGCTCGCCGACTTGGTTCGCGGATGCGACAGGGCGGAATCGTCTTTCGAGCCGGAGCGTTGGCGTGTGGACGATTGATTCGAGGAGGAGGAAGAGGCCGTGGAGCCCGACGAGGACGAGGGGTGGGTTGCGTGGCCCTGCTTGGTCGGGGCAAGGGTGGTCGAGAAAGCCTGGGCCTGCGAGTAGGGGTTCACAGGTGCCGAGGTCGAGCGGTTCTCCTGGCGCAGCTGGGGTGTCTGCTGGAAGGCGTAGGCCTGCACAGGCGTTGCCGAGGAGCCTCTGTACCCTATGCCGCCGCCGGGGGTGTTGTAGTACTGGGTGCGAGGCATGTTGGAGGATCGAGACGACGACGACTGGTGGTGAGACTGCGCGTCGCCCGAGGACGAAGAGTGTAGCATAGCGATAGAGGAGTTCGGCTGGGTTACGGGCGCGAGTACTTCAGCCATCTGAGCGTGGAGGCCGGGCGTGGAGGCTGCAGGGCGGACTCTTGTCTTCCTGGCACGATGCGTGGGGACGACGGTCGGCAGGCCAAGGATCGACTGCGCAGCGGTCTGGTTTCGGGCGGCAGCAACGTCAGCAGCGCACGCGACAGCGGGCAGGTAGGGCAGCGCGAGGTCGTGGGGAGGGCTGGCGTGAGGCGGACAGGGTGGGCGCAGGTGCAGGAGAGCGAAGGCGTGAGGCCGGCGGTGCGGTGGAAGTGAAGTTTACGTACCCCTTTCGCTAGAACGCAACGAGCACCGTCGGGCGGGGATTACTCCAATGGGCGCAAGGAAAGGTACGATCAAGGTCTATTAAAACAGGTACAGAAGGCAAAGCGGCCGGCCGGTCTGGGCGGCGGATTGAGGTGATCGGTCAACGAGAGCGAAGAGTGTAGCGCGTACGGGCCCCCGAAGAGGCAGCGATGGCTTGTCAGGCCTGCATTGGACGGGGGAGCAGGCGGGAACTCGGGCGAGCAAACAGCACGAACCGTCGGCAGCTCAGCAAGAGAAAACACAACGACAATCCAAGACGGGGGAAACGTAGGGCGGTGCGTGGTGGACGGCGGCGGGTGGGTTTGGGTGAGGAGGCGGCCGTCATTAGGTAGAAGGGGTGAGAAGCCGCCGACTAGCGCAATTCGAGCGCCGAGCTGGCTATTCGCGTTCGGTGAGTAGCATGGGCATCGCAATCCTCGCAACGGTCGCCCTGCCCGCCCGTGCACCCGCGGCCGCGAGCAGCAGCCCAGCAGCCCAGCAGCCCAGCAGCAGCAACGCCAGCAACAGCCCCGCCGCCCGGCCGAGCAGCGCACCGGCAGCACATGCATGCGTAGCCGTCGTCGCCGTCGTCGCGTCGCCCGCGCCTGGCACCGTTGTCTCGCGCCGCCGCTGGAAACGCATAAGGCGCGCCTCTGCTGTTGTCGTGCCACGGCGCACTGGCCTGCGCTGAGGCCCGCCCGGCCCCTGTCGCGGCATTTGGCTGCCCGCAGGCCTGGCTGGCTCCGCTCCGCTCGCGCAACACACTCGTCCTGCGCAGCGCGCGGTACAGCAGCTGCAGCCTGCCAGCGAACGCCTCCACGCCCGTCCGCGGCTTCTCACCGACACCGCCGCTCGCCAGGCCTGCGCCGTATCGTCCGCGCTAAGCATTTCGTACTGCAGTGACGAGGGCCACTCGAGCCCTGCACCGCTGCTCGCCTGCCCGCACGCAGTGGGGCGCATGCCCGCCAATACGAGCCGCGAAAAAGGGTCGCCAGACCGCACGTCAAACGCATCCCATCGTTCATTCATCGGGGAGCCAGCCCGGCCGGTCAAGCTTTCCGCCAGGCGCGACCTGCGACGGCGGAATGCTGGAAGCGTGTGAAACCTCCGCGCACCGCTGACGCGACGGGCAAGCGGGCAGGCGGGCAGGCGGGCAAGCGGGCAAGCGACCTTCTGGAAGCAGGCCGTGGCCTCGCCGTCGCAGCACGATCGTGCGGTGAATCTCGTCAAAAGACCACGGACCACGGATCACGCTCCATCCGCCGAGCGCCGCGATAGCGTTTGCGCCGCCATGCCGAGTGCGCGAGCCGTGGGAGGCGCGCCCGTTTTGCGGAGTCAACAGAGCCGCAGAGCCGATGAGCGCAGTATCAGTCGACCGCCCAGCGATCAAACACATCGCAATTCGCGCGAGTCGCGGAGTGGATTCTCATGCGCAATCTCAGAGGGGGGCGATTTCCTCCGCCTCATCTCCGCCTGCCTGAGCGTCAGCCGGCGGCGTGCCCATTGAAACAGGCGCACAGGTATGGCCCACGCCCCCAGCTATATTGTGCCTGGCAGCAGTGCGCGGGCGAGGATATAATTAGCGGCCGGCCAGAGCGGGCAAAGTGCCCGGTTGATCCTCCACGTCCCTTTTTTGCGGTGGCCTTGCGTCACTGCGCGGGCGAAGCACACGCTGCATCGACGAACCTCGCCGCCGCTGCATCGCGGCCCAGCAGCAGCAGCAGCAGCAGGCCGAGCCGACTTTCATGTGAGGCTGTCTCTGCCTGCGACCCGTCCTCCAGACGCCGCCCGATCAAGCCACAAGCCGCGCGCAGGCCTGCGAGACGCCTGTGAAAACCCCAAAGCGCGTCGCCGCGGCGCCAATCAGAGCGCGCGCCGGGCTCCCCACGGCGGCGCGGAGGTGTAACATGCCCAAAGAGGCATCTGTAGGGGACGCCCGGCACCCGCGCCAGGGCACGCCAGCGTGGGGCGCGAAGCATGTGCGGTGGCAAGCAAGCACAGGACGGCCGGGACAGAGGCCTGAGGCGCAGCGCGGCCGGCACACAGTTAGTAGTCCTCAGCAGCAGCAGCAGCAGCAGCAGCAGCGAAGGCGATAGAAGAACGGGTGAGTTCTAGCCCTGCGGGCTTGACACGTCGTTACGTACATGCCGGCTGGAGCCGAAAGCAGAAACAGAGCCAGACACGCAAGGTGTTCCTTGGCTGGCCGCTCGATTCCCGCCGTTCCACGAATCTTCTCTGGCTGCGGAAGCAAATTGCGCTGGCCGTGAACGGGCATTCGCAGTCGCTGTGAAACCGATCGACCGGCCCTCCGCCGAATCGCTGGGACGCAGCGGCCGGGATGGCAGGCGTTGGCAGGCGTTGGCCCCAGTCCTGAAATCTCCAGCTCTTCTTCTTCATCGTCCTCTTCGTCACCAAACCACGGATCCGCCCTGGGGGGCACACGACACAGCTGACTGGCAGCAGCCCGCCCGTTGACCCGGGTTTGTTCAAGGAAGGCGGGCTCCCTTGCGCCGTCTGGCCGCGTTCCGGCAGCGTGGATCCGCCCTAGCACCTAGCACTCTCAGGACAACTTTCTCTCCGCCTCCACACGCCCGTCATGGACCATTCGGCTGCCTTCTCGCCCACGCGCGACACGTAATGCTCATCGCGGGATCGGTCGTCAGCCGCAGGTGCAGCGTCTCGAACGCGCGAAAAGACCGCACTCCGCCAGAGCTGGCTGCAGCCCGTCAACAGTTCGCGCGGCTGGAGTGTGACAGCTGCCGGCGTGAGTGGAGGAGGCCGCCTGGCGACTACACCGTGTGCCGAAACGCAGGGATGTGTGCTGATGTCCCGCAGTAGCCTCGACGCCTCGCAGACACCGAAGCAGCACTTGGCGGCCCGCTGTCGAAACGGCACTGGAGCGTCGGGAGAATCTCAGCTGCGGGACTCGGAATGTTTCTGAAACGACGCGAAAGCGCTCTCTGGCTGCCGATGACGACGGATCTGCGCGTGTCGCAATCAGCGTTGCCACGAGAGCAATCTACGTTTGGCGCCGGCCGCGAGGCGATTCTTTAGCCTGAGCTGCCGTTGAAATGGCAGGACAGCGCTCGCTCGACGGCGACGCGACGAGGGCCACGGCCGGCGGGCCCCCGCAGCGGGCTCCCTGCTCGCCTGCCTCTGTAGGATTGGCTCCTGCAATTCCCAGCCGCTTGGCAGCTCGACTCTTGTTTACTTTTTTCTTGTTTGCCTGCGATCGTCGCACTACACTGAAGAGGACCCTGCAGCGGGCGCGGCGCCCTCGACGAAGCCATGGGAAGGCGGGCAGCCAACCTCGGGGAATGCATGGCACGCGGTCGACACACACGCACGTCTCCCGGCCAGCCCCCAGAGCGACGCCGTGCTGAACAAGACTCGGAACGACGGTTTGCCGCGCTGCATCTTTGTATTCCCTGGCGTCCCGAGGCCATGCCGGGCGTTGCTAACGTGCGGCGCGGTAGGCATGGTGCTGCGCTTCGACGAAAGCGGCCCGCCTCGAGTCGCGATGCCTGCCTTCATGGGAAACGCTTCTTGGGCCTACGCCGTTCCGAGTCAGACTCCATCGGGAGCCAGGCCAGATCGCGACCCGGTCACCGCTTATCTTTCGTGGTGGGTATTTTGCTATCCATGGCGCGGATCGAGGGACCCTTTTCCGTGGACGCCGTATCCAGTTCTTCCGCATGACCATCGTGCGCTCCCGAACCCGCAGGCCCGCGAGATGCGCCGTCGCCGGTTGAGCTCGTTCTGCCGCGCGCCTGTCCCGCCGTGGACGCTTGCAGGAAGCCGGAAGCCGGAAGCCGGGGGGCGGTAGCCACAATCGACGTCGTCGGGTGCGGCGGCCTGCCGGGCTTTATTTCTTTATTGCCTTGCACACGCGTGGGCGGATCGGAGATGCTTATTGTTGCGTGTTCGAGCGAAGCAATCAATACCTAATAACCTCGACTTGCAGGCGAACATGGATGGGGCTGTCGCTGCCTTCGTCCGATGCACTATTGACCGTACCAACATCCGCCTCCTCCATGTAGGAAAGCTTGCGCTGATCACAGCAAGCATGCTGACTCGCAGTGCCGTCGGATGAAAGTTGTTGCTTGGCTGGGATACGTCACCTTCAACATCAAAGCGCCGCATGCTTCGCTGCTGAATCTCTCCCCTCGCCCACTCGCAAAGTGAGGCTGTGGTTCTCAGGGTCCGGTGTCGCAATCGATGCCCGTCCGAGTCAGCGTCCAGTCTCCACCCCTCCACACTGCTCAGCGTTTCCGCCTTGTGGACAGCCCAGCCATGGTCCGCTGGAGCTATCCCCTAGCCGTTTCCTCGGCGCGACTCGAGTCCTTTTGGGGGCCGTCTCCGATGCCCGCAGATTAAGTGTGAAATATATCTCCCGCCTCGGCATCGCTGCTGCTTCGAGCTGCCATGCTCCTCCCTACAGGCAAACACCCTCCCGCGCCACTGGCCGCAGCACCGTGTTGCGCTCGGCCCTGCATCGAAGCTTCTGTCGCAGCTCAGAGTTGAGCCGCGCCACGCGGATGCCGTCCCCACAACCACAGCTGCTCAAGGTCAAGCAATGTTCCACAGATGGCGACGCCTTCGCTACGGCGCTTTCCTTGTCTGCTGCAAGGGCCGTGGGCCAATGTCCAGTGTTTCGCTCCGTCTGGTGGTTTGATCTCAGGCCAGAGTTTACTGCGTACTACACGGTCTTCGGCGTCTTGAGGCGCCGCCCCCGATCGATTTTCCTTCTGAACCTTAATGCATTTCCTGGTAGAGCTGATCCTGGAGGTTGACTCTTAAGCTTATAATGGTGGCACTACCGTCTACGTCACGACATGCAACCACTTCTGGATTTGGACCGCGCCGCCTGCAATTTCTCATGCACCTGGGCACGAGATCGCGGCGTTTGCGGGGATGGTTGCCTCAAGCAACACGTTGCTTTCCCACCAATGGATGCTTACGGGTTGTTTACACGCTGGTGGAGGCGTGTTGCATGGCGACAACTAGTGCCAATGGAAGATCGTGCCCTGCATGCAGCTGCGCTGTCAGTGAGCCACATGGGAGACACCGCGCGCCAGTAGTCTCCGACGCGATGCTCAATTCATGCCCGACACCAAGCTGAGGGTTCCTTTCTTCACCGCGTCTGTACAGAGTAAGGCTAGCAGCCAAGCCTCGTATTCAGCTACCGAGACCCGCTATCGCTACAGTCGCTCAGGGCACCAAACAATCGCTTGTCACTCTTGGATGCGACTCCAAATCTGGGGCCCTATCTTTGACCGTGATCGTTTCCGAACCTCAACACCGGTACCGGTGACGTAAAGATGGCTATTCTTGGTATCACAGCCTATAAGAAGGCGGAGGATCCTCGCCAATACGGATCTATCGGATCTCCTGTGTATTCATGCTATAAGACATACTAATGCTGTGTACGGTGTCGAGAAGCGAGATCGGCAACTTTCAACACACACAAACACGCGTCTTACCAGGCACAGCTGGCAACAGTGGAGGATTGGACCTTTTCGGTGACAGCAGACAAGATACGAATACTATTCTTGGGGACATCTTCTCCACCAAGATGTTCTTCTGAAGATCGAATGCCAACGCAACAGTTCAAAAATATACTCTGCACGGCCCTTCTTTTTCTCCGCTGCCACGCAGGACTCAATGACGATAATGAACGACTGCCTTCAGCAATAGTACACAATATACAATACCCGCTTGCAGTGGATTCATCATCTCCACATGGGTTCCGCGGTCACAGGACTTTCGGCCATAGGCACTTTCCGTGTCATGCCACTGCAAAGAGGTATCTCGCGACCGCGGAGGACTGCGGAGTCGAGGGGCCACATTGATTACCTAGCGCCCACGGAGCGGAGCGGATGACATCCGCATTCTGCACAAGCTCCCACCTTGCTCTCTAGCTGTGGTGGATGTCATTCGTCCCAGCCATTATTCTTGGCGAGGAATCAAGCTTAAGGGGAAGGGAAAACCGCACTGTGGAAAAACCTCCGAACTATTGGTCATAGCGCTCGTCCCGCACCTTTCCATCCGGATGTCGCTCCGCATGCCAGACCCCTCGTACCCACAGCTCAGCTATGCCTTTTTCTCTTTCTTCAAAGCGAGCAACATGTCTCGCAGCCAGGCTCACTCCTGGGAGATCCCGAGGGCTGGAACCTCGGTACTACGTGGTGAAAGCGTCCACCGGGAATGCCAGCCGAGGACGTGTCCGCCACGAGGCGCTTTTCTTCACTCCCGTCTTACCGACCGGACTGCAAGTTGGCGGGTCTTGTTGACGCTGATGATTAGACTTGGTCGCTTCGGTTCTGTCTCACGCTCGTGCAATGTGTCCCCTGCATGCAAGCTCAAGGGAACCCGTCGTCTGAGACACCGCCCGCCAACTCCTTCCTCCGCCTGCGTGCGTTCCCGCCCCTTGTGTACATGTCAGACTGACTGTCTATCCTGCCTTATGGTTCTGTCATGTGCCAGCTGATGCCGTCGCGTCTCATAATCACGCCTTTTGTTTCCATCTTCTTCAAAGAGCTGAATCCATGTTCTATGAGAGAGTGCGCTGAACCGGACCACGGTTCAAAACACTTCAGGCAGAAGACCGCCCCACAGTTGTCTATGCCACCATATTCTGAGCGTCTCGTGAAGTCTCGGTTCTATCCTGCCGCCACAGGACGGTCATCCATTTTGGTTTTCGCCAGCGTGTTCATGGCGCTCTACCTCATGCTTCACTGTGACTCCACCGGGGTATTGTACAGTAACTTCGCCTTCTTCCGCATTCCCCTAGTGCTATTCAGCACCTTGTTGATCCACACTATCCATTTGCTGGACCTCAGAGCCTCTCCGTCGGTTTTGGTTGGGTAATATCGATGGTCTTTGCGAGCAGTGACTTGATCGAGAAGACCGAGCTGTCGAGGCAGTGCCTCAGGACAGAAGCCTAACGCCTAGTTTTGCGGGCATCCTTGTCACATGTTCGTCAGGAGCGGCTAGCGCTTGTACATCATAGGGCAAACAACTGGCCATGTACGTCCACTCGCAAGCGACGATGCACCACTTCTCATTCGCGCAGCCTTATGCAGATGCAAAGAAGAGGGAAAACGAGGCTGGAACCCGCCATTATGACCCCCGTGGATCAAGGAGGAGGTCTTGTTTGTTTTCCATGTTTCGGGACTGGGAACTCGTCAAAGCAACGACGTGCTCTGGGCTCACATGCCCACTGCGGGCAGTCTTTTCATCGCGGATCATACACTTATGACCACTACTGCTCCCAATGAGCCAATCAATCCGTGCACTTTTAATGGATGTCTGAACGCAGCCTTGCCGCTCATCTCCACTGTTGAGAAGGCAAATAAAACTCAAAACGACATCACGTATACACCAACCTTGCCCCTCGCCCTCTCGGTGACGACAACTGTGGATGGTCTTTCAGTCGTTGAAACCCCTCCAGGACTGATAACCGGACAGAGGCTGGAGTCATCATTGGCTGCTTGCTCCTTCCTTTCATCGTTGGATTTCTACTACGGTTTTACTGCTGGAGACGCTACCGCCAAGATGGTATCTATACACCATCATCCGATACATCATTGCCGGTACCCCGTGGAAACAGTGGAGGGCCAATGTCTGGTTCAGCATTTTCAATGGAAGAGTTTACCCACAGTGATCAAGCTCATTGCGATCAATCTACTGTCCAGCCACACAATGTTCCGCGTGATGCGGAGCTTCGTGTTCCAGAGCCTACATAATAACATCTTGATACCAGAGGTCCACAAATAGAGCACATTTCGCAACGGGTTGACCTTCAGGAGCCCACATATGGAGAAGAACAGGGATACCATCACTCCAGCGTACCAAACCCTAGCGGAAAAGATCTCGGAGGACGGCAACCAGATCATCCACAATCAGGACAAGCACTACCAGGACATGCGCAGATAGCACAGTCATCAACAAGAGATGAGCCATCCCCGCAGGCGCCCGACAAGGTTCCTCCAACTCATCCCTCGCACCCACCACCTCCTGCTGCTCCTTCTCTCGCAACAGCACAGCCGCTACCGCCATAACAAACAAAACACCGCACAAAACCACCATCACATGAAGCTGCATCCAAACATGTGACTTTCCAGGGTCCAAAAGCGCTGCACGACGGAAAACCGCGCAAGAATCCAACACCAAAAGCGAAGAAAGGAGCCGAAACACCATTCGCATTTCACCCAAGGCAAGATACAGACGACGCTCCTGGAATAGACCGACGTGGAAACTACCAAGCTACGAGACGGTTCAACGAATCCCGCCGTGGGGGAACTCGATCTGCTATCTATCCGCAGAACACCTCCTTTCCACAAGCTCCCGCTTAGGAGGCACAAACTGTAAATCACGCACGTAGAAACACTTTTCACGGTGACTCCCGACGGAAGAGCTCATTCCGCTTTCTAAGCACGAATCACTTCTTCTCCGCAAACCGACACTTGACCAGACAACCATTCAGCACTTTTTTTTCCATTTGCTTCGGCTTCCGACAAGTGTTCATCCTTGATCGCGTTCTTGGTATCGTTCAGTCGGTCGTACTGCGCAATGGAAATGTCGGTTTTGAATGGATTTCGCGTCTGTCTGCCGTTCCAGCTGGTAGCGGAGGGTTCTTCCCAAGGGCCCACGTGGTCCTCAAATGAGTACTCCAGAAGCCTCCTCTGTTTGAATGCAACTGCAACTCTCTCATGTTTGTTGTTCCTCTAAATCATGTTCAGTGAGTTCTCCCAGATTAGGGTGGTTAATTTTTTTTTTGTCCAAGAGCAAGAGTGCGTAGTAAGCAGCAACACGTACCCCCCCTTGGTTTGCAAGCTTGAAATGCTGCTCAGGCTGTTCGTTGACTTTTGAGGGCCCGCCTTAGCGGATGAACCAAATGAAGAGGTAATGTTCGTCTTAGGGGGGTTTTAAAACGCTGGGTTAGGAGGAACCCATGGACTACCGAGTAACGCACCGTGTTTGTAGCCTCTTTCAGCAAAACGTTGCCTGTCCATCATGGTTTCCATCACAGTGAAAAAGATGCCGCCGCTCGGGGCAAAACGCGGTCCGTACAGAGACGCGAACAAAAAAGTCAAAACGTACAACAGCCGGGATTCCCCAATGGTCACCCACTTGAGTACTAATCGGCCGGTTCGCAGCTTGAGTACGGCTGAGCGGACGGGAAGCCCTATATTCTGCGACCTATGGTCGTACGTGGAAAAACAAGCTGCAAACAAGGTATATGACTAGAGATTGACAGGCTGTTGACTGCCTCTCGACTGCAATACTCTATCGCGAACCGGTGTCCCCCCGCCGTACACATCAGCTCTGGCCACAGCAACCGCTCGGCATCCTCGGCCAAACCCCGCGCCATCTGCTGAAACCGGCCAATAACGGTCGGCTTGCCGTACAAGTGGAAGAGCGTTTTCATCCTTCCATTACGCACCAGGTCCGCTATCCGCTGGCGCTTCTTACGCCATAAATTCAAGGTGGACAGAACTTGACAGTACAAGTGTCTGGGTGTCTGGTGTAGTGTCTACTGTTTCAGACAATGTGAGGTCTCCTGTTCATCTTGTTCGGTCACGGCGAAAAGGCTCACTGTTCGTGTTTTTGAAACCATATATTTACATGTAGTAGTATTTACCTTTCCATCGACACAGTTAAGAAAAATGTTGCTCAGCAAATGTCCTGCGAAGCATCGCCCGACAGGTTCCAGGTGATGTTGTCACCGCAAGGCGACTCGCGGACGGAGTTGCCGTTGACGGTCAACGTGATGGAGATGTCGCTGGTGTTGGGGAACTCGTCGCGGGCCGAGATGCGCACCTCGCCGCCGCCCTCGACGGTGCCGGCCAGGATGGAGAGGTTGTAGCAGTTCTCGATGAGCACGGCGTTGTTCTCGTTGTCGGCGAGGTCGACCTCGGCGATCTCGGCGCCGCCCGACTGCGAGACGCAGAAGACGCCGCGGCCGCCGCCGCGGGAGACGACCTTGTCGACGTAGACGTTGGTGGTGTAGCTGCCGTCGGCGAGCTGGCCGGCGTTGTTGGCGAAGCGCAGGGTGGCGTAGCCGGTGCCGGCGCCGACGTCGTCGCCGTCGACGAGGCCGACCTGGGCGTTGGTCACCGTCTGCAGCAGCAGGCCGGACTCGCCGCAGTTGCGCGCGATGACCTGGTTGATCTCGAGCCCGTCGATGTTCCACGTCTCGACCGCGTGGCTGCCCGCGCCCGTCACGCGGATCGTGTCCATCTTGACGTTGCTGTTGGCGGCTTCGTCGCGGTCGAAGCGGATGCCCAGCCCGCCGCTGAGGTTCATGGTGATCTCCCCCAGCACCAGCCCGGTCGTGCCCGAGAAGCGCAGCCCGAAGTACGGGTTGCCCGTCATGGTGAGGTAGGGGATCTGCACGTCCGTCGTGTCCGTCGACTCGATGGACCCGCGTCCCGCGGCGGTGCCGACGTCGATGGTGCCGCAGCCCTCGAAGATGACGCCGCTGTTGAGGGTGATGGTGCTGGTCCCGATCGAGCCCGACGCGATGACGGCGACGCGCTGGCCGCTGCCGACCGAGTCGATGGCCGCTTGGATTGCGGCGGCGTAGTCGGAGCCCGAGTACACTTCGGTTGAGCCACTGGTGGCTGTGAAGGAGCTGCCCTCGCCAGTGACGCTGGCGTCTGGCGTGCCCGAGCCGCACTGGCCCTGGACTAGGGAGCCAAGGGCAAGGAGTGACGTGAGAATCGAGAATCGGGCCATTGTGGAGGTATCCGCCTGGTTAGTGAGTGTGGTTGATGGGAGTCACAAGCCGGAGAAGGGCATGCCATCTTTTATATACACTTTTCAACGAGTGGAAACAGTACTCCCTGGTCGAATGATGCGGAGACCATGCTCCGACGGCTAATGCGCATGTTTTACGCGTTGAAGAGGAAACAAAAGTACTGCAGGGTTGCGTTGCCGCCGGCTAACGCCAAGAATGGCAGTGCTTCAGAACCGGGGTGAGTGCCCACCCGGGGGATGTGAGAGGCCGGACCCACCAGTCTCGGCTGCTTTAGGCAGTCGACAAGCCTCGGCCAGCCCAAGAAAGAAAGGGAGAGGCACGCTAACCGTCGGCTGCGGAACCGTTTTGTAAGCTCCAGATTGGAGGACCCATCCAACATGGCGTAACCAGAAACGACAAGAAACATGACACGCCGAGCCGTCTTGGCTCTCCAACTCCCCTTTATCCTCTGTTCATCTCGCTGAAAGTTGTCCCGCCGACTCAGTCTGCAGATCAGACTGCGGGGTAAAGGTTCAAACACGAGGCCTCTTGGCTCAGTCTTGGCCACGACCCCTATAGCATGACCGCGAATTAGAATGAAACAGAGTCCGACAGATGCCAAACGAAACGGCGAAGAGTGGTGATGCGACCGGCCCGGCAGCCGTGCCGCCTTTGTCCATCAGTGTCGAGTATACTATAACCTCGTTGTTCTCGGCCGTTCCAATTCGGCGGAGTCCCACATTTCCCAAGCTCGCTTAGCTCTATGCTTGTATGTATGACATGAAGAATATTATTCCATGCATTATTTCCCGGTCAAGGTCCTGGTGGAGTGTTCTGTCGTCTGGTGGCAGTTTGGGCCTTTCGTCAACACTGGCTGTTTAAAGAGCAAACAAACAAAGCGGGGAGCATTCTTCACCGAACCCCAATTCTCCGAGCACGCGGAGATATACAGGATGGATTGCAAAGTACTGGTGTGTATTTTGAAAGCTGAGCTATCGCGGATGAGCTCGCCCGCCCACACTGAAACTGGCCAATGCCCAGCTAAGATTCCGAACATCTTCGTTGGCAGAAAATTGTAGCATATACTACTAACGTACGTTTATAGCAGTTATGTGAGTAAGAGGAGGATTGGTCCGCTTGTTTAAGGCTGTTGATTGATCCGATTGCTACTTTAGGCCTACCGTACCAAGTCCGAGATAGCCGTAGTGCGAGGGAGTGTCAACGTGCCCGGCTAAGCCACCAAGTTGTCTCATTGCTGCGCCAGCTAAATCAGAGCGAACAAGGTCGTTGAGGCCCACTGCTCAACAATCACTTCGCTCCACGCCTGCGCTCCCACCCTGTGCTAAACTTGCCGAGCTCCATCCGCGGAAACACGTGGGCTTCGGTGTTGAAAACGACCTTCTCCAGTGGCAAAAAGTCGTCCGGAGAGAACAACAAGTACAAGTACTTGAGCGTCTCAGCCTGCAAAACCACACACAACAGTCAGCGATACACAAAGCAAAGGGGGCCGGGGTCGGGCGTCCACTCACCAGCCAAAAGCTCTCCATATTATCCCGCATCGGAGGCGGCACGGCATTCACGTCGCCAACCGACGAGTAGCCCTCGCCGCCCGCGACCAGCGTATGCTCCCGAAACGCCTTGAAGATCTCCCACCCCCACTCCCTGTACACCGGATCCCGCGTGACCCGCCACATGACGAACAGGCTCTCCACCGTCTCCGGCCGCTGCAAGTTGTGCGCATCGAGCGGCTTGACCGTACAGTCCTTTTCCCACAACGCCCTGTCGTCGGAGCTCTCGGCCAGCGGACCAGGAACGGACCCCTTTTCGCGGCGTGACAACACCGCCTCGTCCGCGTCGAACCACACAATCTCGGGCGCGAGCCCCGTCGCCGTGACGCCGTGCATGGCCCAGCACGTCTTCATCAGCTCCCGCGCGAGCGCCATCTGGCCGTCCTTGTCTTCGCGCGTCCAGCCCCCCGGCATGAGCTCGTGCCGGGCGGCGGCGTACTGTTCGGCGATGGCGCCGGTGGCGCCCAGGGCGATGGCGCCGGGCAGGAAGCAGACGAGGTGGTCCATTTTGGGGGAGAGCGGGGCGCCGATGCCGTGGGGGAGCTCGGCGACGAAGGTGAGGCGTGCGTGTGCGGTGGGGATGACGAGATGTTGTTGGATGCCGGCGAGGGCTTCGGCCCAGAGGTGGGCGTAGATGGGCTCTTGGTGGCTGGTTTGGAGGTACTGTTTGATGAGGTATTCTGCGGGAGGGTGGCCGTGGAATGTCAGCTGTTGTCGGTGGCTACTGCAACGCGAGCCTACTTGCCGTAGTACGAATCCCCCCGGCTTCCGAGACGGATCTCCCGCGTCGTGAACCTGCCCGAGTGCGGGTCCACGAAGATGGGCACCAGGCCGGCCTCGGCGGCGTTGTCGTCGATGACCTTCATGACGTGCTCGGCCTTGCGCCAGTAGACGTCGTTGCCGGTGATGTTGGACAGGTATTTCATCTCCAGCTGGAGGGTGGTGGCCTCGGCGGTGGATGATGCACCGCCGTCGGCGTGTGAGCGGATGCCGCGGCCGGTGCGTAGGTCGATGCTGGCGTACGGGATACCCGAGGGCGAGTCGTAGGCGCCGAGCAGGCGGTCGGCCAGGTCGACGGCCTTGGAGAGGTAGATGTAGTCGCGGCGGGAGGAGGCGCCGGGCAGCCGCAGCTCCTTGGCCAGGTAGTGGGCCGACAGGAGCCCGCCGAGCATCCGGATCGTCGTCTCGAAGGTGTTGACGTCTTGGTCCTGGTCGTAGTCCAGGTTCCTGCTCACCCAGAGGCGGGCGTCGGAAAGCTGCGAGCTGAGGTTCATCAGCATCAGGGTGTCCAGGCTGTCGACGATGATCCAGCCCAGTCCTTTGGAGCTCATCTGAGATCCTTTCTTGGACACAGGGTGGAACCTGTCGTAGCCTGGCAATTGGGTGAGTCTCAGGGCTACAGGTGCGATAACTGGTGGTCTTACCCCATGCATACTTTGAGTATGCCTCCCAACTGGTGACGAATGCCTCTTTCACTTCGGCTCTTCTACCTTCCCAATACACATGCTCAGTACGGCCGCCGCTCCAGAGAGGCGGTCGGCTATAGAGCCAATGGGTCAGATAAAGCCCAAGTAAGAGCGTGCATGCAATGATTGCATTTGTGAAAGTGAAGCTGGAAGACTTGGCCGTGCGAGCGGACCGACCGTTTGCTCGAGGGGAAGATCTGAGAGCACTCGCGGCAGGGTGATGTTTGCGCGGGAACACCATGTTGAGGTAGGCGTAGAGATTCTGGGAGTAAGTTGGAATCTTTCTGCAGATGTACTTCTTCGCCGCCAAGGTTGTTGTTGCAAGGGTCGTCAGGTGCAGTGCCGCAATAGCGTGACGGTGCGGCACAGCTACAGAACGCGGATATTAAGCGCGCGCAAATGCCGCAACGAGGTCGAGTGCAGTCGTCTCATTGAGTACCGCAGTCTGGGGAGCTTGGCTTCCGTACAACCGAGCAGGTCAAGCCAGGTCAAGCGACAGTTGCTGTAGTCTCATTTGCTCGACATGTAGCCGATAACGCGACCCCGGTGAAGATTCTCCGCAAATGCTCAGACCCGCAACCCCCGTATATTGCCTTGGGCGGACTCGTCTACGCTTAATAGATTGACGCGACAACATGTGGTAGATGCCTCATCGTCTTGCACTTTGCTGGTGTATGAGTACCAAGTGAGAGATAGTCCCTGGCTGTGACTGCAAACTTTCTTGTGATGGCTAGGCAACCACCACGCCGCACTACGCCGCACTACGCCGCATAGTAGGAAGAACGTGGCTGGCGTTTATTCCACAGCACTGGTTCGCCCGCGCTCATTATCCAGGAAATGAGGCCTTTGCGGCGATTGAGTTGATGGCCGATTGATTCGTCGAGTCCATATTTCCGAGAGCACAGGCTCTGCATATTGCACTGTTGCCCCGACACCATGTGAGAGATGACCGGTGTACCGCTCTTGTTCCTCATTCTCTGTTCTGGAGAGAAATCACGGCGCATTTGTCCCCATGTCTGTCCTTCCTGAGACCAACGACGGCGAAGTCACCTCCTGGATACCTTTGACTGCGGCTTTCACTCCAACTGCAGGATGTGAGAGTTCCTTCCGCCTCAACGGTCCCAGTCTGGTAGCGTTCGATCCAGGCTACGGTCTCGACATCGACCAACGAGTCAAGTGTGCACCTTCAGCCGTCACAACATGGTGGGAGCAAGGCCGCCTTGAAGGTGGCCCGTCCGAGCACACCGCCGTCAGCATCCAACCTTTGACTTGTCCGGATCACTGGTCCACCGTCGTGACCTCGATCAAAGACGAGTCCAGCACGCAAGCGATGTGCTGCCCTTCGTAAGCTGATACACCTCCTCAGCTGCCGCTACTCGCTGACACATGAGCACCAGTGGATATTATCTGGCAAACGGTGTTCAGGGAAGCGTGGCTGGAGACTGTTTCTCAGACGTAAAAGGGGGCGAGACCCTGACATACGCCTCGACCGAATCCAGCGCAACCGAGGTCTGGTACACCAGAACAACGACCCTCTCGGCATCATCGCATGTTGGTGCTATCGCAGTTGTCGGATGGAATGTCGCTCGCGCTGCTACGAATACCACGCCGGCACCGACCCCTACCAGCACTGATTCGGCTGGGCCCGATGTTGCCGCCACATCCATAGCCGAATCATCTACCGCGTCCGGCTTGCCTTCGACCACGCCCGCAATTACTTCCCCACTCTCTTCGTCTCCATCATCGTCGTCCAGAACTACCTCCCTACACTCTTCCCCACAGCCTTCGCCTCTATCATCGACTACGTTGTCATCGGAAACGGCTACTGAAGCTCTCTCTACGTCGTCCTCCACAGCTTCATCATCGAGCGTAATATCCTCTGGAGTCAAGGCAGGAATCGGGCTCGGCGTTTCTCTGGGCGTGGTCGGTGTGGCTGCATTGGTCATGGCCTTGATAATGCTTTGTCGAAGAAGCAAGAAGACTTGGAAGGACGCCACGGCACCGGAATCGGCCACTGAGGCCTACCCGGAGGCCAAGCCCGGGCTGCCACCGATGTACTCGGTCGAAGAACGGCGCCAAGTCTTCGAACTCCCACAACGCACTTCTCGGCAAGCTGCCGAGTTGGCGGGTCAGCATAGTCCAGTGGAGCTGGATGCCGGTCATCGCAGGAGCAAGGGCTGATCGTTTTTCAATAGTACGATTTCCTTTCCGTGTTGCCGGTATACGTGGCGGGAGATTCGTTGCGGTTTCGAGCGTTTTGGAAAGCCCAAGTGTTATTGTTTCTTCGGTCCTGATCATCAAGCATGCCGTCCCAGCCTTAACAGTACTTTACGTTTCGAGCGATACCCGGTCTCGCGGGACCCGCTACGGCAAGGTACCTGATGGAGAAGAGGAGATTGGTTTGAAGAGTGGATGGCGATGATTCGTTTCTTTCTTGTTTCACAATTAGCGTCTGATATCTTTTCTTTTCAAGCAAACGGTGCCGCTTGGTACCTATTTCGACGCATCAAACCATGCATCTACGATGGCCTTCTTCTCTTGGTCCGTCAGACTCCGCATCTCCTCCTCTCCCTGCCCAACCGACGCCACAGCGATACACTCGTCGTCGCTGGGCCGCCGCAAAATGCTCTTCTCGATGGATCTCTGGATGCCCACGAGCGTGTGGCCCGCCACTCCAAACGAACCTGACCGCGATGCATCAGTACAGAGGCTCCGCCATGTGTGTCGCGCATCACGCTTACCGGCCGCGGGTTTGCACACGGCGCCACCGACGCCCTTGACGCACCCCTTGACGAACCCCTTGGCGCCCTCCTCCTTGGCGCCCTTGACCGGCTGCACGAATATCCCCGTGATGCCATCATACAACCCGTACCCAAACCCCTACACGCAAGACAAAACCATCAGCACGATCCACGCAAAAAAAAAAAAACCAAGCCAGAAAAAAGAGAAGAAAAAGAAAAGAAGATCAAAACACCCCACATACCTTCCCCGCTGCCGCCAGCCCGCTCGCGAACCCCACAATCTCGCCGTCGACGTCCCTCCGCGCCGTCTCGTCGCCGTACCGCCGCGGGATGTCGTTGCACCCGCGCGCCAGCCCGTGCGTGAGCGCCCCCGGCGCCGCGAGCCCCGCCCCCACCACCCGCGCCAGCCCTTTGCCCGACCGCACCACGTCCTCGGCGATGCGGTCGAGCTTGATCTCGGCGTCGGTTGGGTCGACTGCTGCTACTGGTTTCCTGCGCGCCGCGGGGGTGGGGGTGGGGGTGAGGGTGGGGTCCGCGATGTTGAGGCATGGGAGCGGGGGCGGCTGATAGGGTGTGGGGCTGTTGTTGGTATTGTTGTCGGCGAGGGCCTTGCGGTGGAAGGACCGGATCAGGGAGGGTTTGGAGGCGCGGCGGTGGAGCGAGGAGATGGCGCTGAATGAGGCGACCTCGGGCCGGCTTTCGGGCGTGTACCACTGGTTTTCTCTGTCGGCGGCGGCGGCGGCGTGCAGTGCAGGTTTGGCAGGAATCAACGCCACGTCCCTTCCGTCCAGCACTCCCTCGCGGACCAGGATCGCTGCCGCCAGCGTCGACAGCCGGACGTCGTCGACGTCGTCAGCTCCCCTCACGACGCGCCACTCGGCCGCGCGGCTGGGCAGCACGATGCAGCGGCTGGTGACGGGCGTTGCGTATGGCGGCGGCGGCGGCGGCGGCGGGGCCTCGGCGGCCGTCTCGTGGCTGACGACGTGGAGGCCGTCGTCTGGGACGGGGACGGGTTTGCGGACGACGACGTGCAGGCCGTCGTCGGATACGAGCGGCGGTGTCTGTGGCGTCGTCTGCTCTTCTTCCGTCCAGACGGGGATGGGGAGCGAGTGCCCTTCTTCGCTTGTTTTGAGCTGCGAAGACGATGCCATGGCGGGCATGTGCTCTTCCAAGACAACTGCTGCTGGGCTGACTTGAACCTTTAAGAAGAGCTGCTGGGATGTGGTGGTTTGTGGCTTGCTGCACGACGGCGTGGGGGCCGAGCTAATGCTACGTCACAGCCCCGACAGGCATTAGTGTCTCCATTGGCTGACGCCCCGATCGCAGTAGTCTTCGTGTCTTGGGGGCCGCCTCAGGACCAATCCGAATATGTAGAGCTCTCGACACTACTGGAGGACCAGACATTTTCTCCAGCTGACACAGGGAATGCTTTCGGAAAACAAACCGTCTTTGCGCGTCAGAAATTGAAATCAACGCATGTATGACTGAGACTGGTGGGAATTTGTCGTCTGTGTACTATGCCATGACGAACAAGGCAGAAACAATGGACCGAGTACCGTCAGAAAGCCCCAGAAGAGTCAAGAGGTTAGGTAGCATATGATGTTGTCAACGCCTTCCAGAGGGACTGAGATATATTCCAACACTCTGTCTTTCTCTAATGTGCCGGAACAAGCCTTACCGTGTCTTAGTCTGTGCGACTACTCGAAAGTGAGTGGAGGTCCGTTTCGGGTTGAAAAAGCCCGACATATATACGGATTATTAGCCACGGGCTGCTTAGCTTACTTCCAGCCTGTATGCGAAACGAACCAAGGACGGTTGTGATAGTCGACTCACTGTTGTCGTGGGCTTCTGATCTCTTGACATCTTCAATATCGGAAGCTCTGCAGATTAGAGTTCTGTCAGATATAAGGCCCTTAGCCAGCACTAGAAACAAGTGCGGTGCTGCATCTTTCTTCAAGGGCCGCCATAAATTTGACCCCCCCTGGGAAAGCTACTTTTTCTCTGTCGCTCACCTCAGATTTATATGTAAAATGGTAGGTAAACTCGGAGAATTCGCTGGCATCCCACACCTATATTACCACCTACCGGTCTTACCACTTATCATACAGGGTGTATTCTCACCTCGCTGAATCTGCGTATCCAGTTTTCAACCCATGTCAAGAGACGGACTGCTAGCCTCACTGACAGACATTGGGACCCATTGAAGCTCAATGCCAAGCATAGGAAAGCAAGGCTAGTCAATCACGCACATGACATAGAACTAGCTAGCTATAAGAATGCCAGAGGAATGGAAGGATGAATCGATAACGATTCGTCTCTGTTCTGACTCTGATACGATTTATATTGTCTATCTTGTTCCCATAACCTTATAGAGTCAAAGAACCAACGCTACTAGAATATAATGAAGTGGGGTGAGAAACACAAGCGACAAACTCAAAAGATATGCTCTACATCGAATATAGCCCCAGTCTGTTCATCGACCGTATCTTCAAGTTGAAAAGTTTCAGACAAGTCCAAGTCTGTTGATCAACGTCCCACGCCGACTGTCTGGAAAGTATCCAGTCTATGGACCTCTGGAAGCAACGACTGCGAAAGGCCCACTCCAGTAGCTCCATCCTATGACATCCCGTATTTTCGTGCAGTGGTCTGAGAAAATGTTGCGTCAAACCATGGGTTCGGCAGGTTGGGAATGTAGAACCGCGTTTCGTGTATCCTCTGCTTCGTACTCTTTCCATGTTGCTCAAAAGTCCACTCAAGAACAACGCTCCCTTTTACATCCACGGAACTTCCGTATATCTGGACAGTCCTTTCGCAAGGCTCTATCTCGCGTCGCAAGTCCTTTACAACGCTCAAGGCAACGAGGTTGACGTCTTGTGGATTTCGTAGCACTGACAACCGCTGGACGGCGGAGATTCCACAGCCTGGTTTTTGCTGGGAGCGGAATTCGATCTGGTAGACGTGCGGTTGTTCGGGTTGTCGATAGCGCTTTCGGCTCTACGGAACAGATCAGCTTTGCCTTTGGAGAATTGCTGTGAAGACCAGGAAGGATGTGAGGAGCTTTCATCAAGTAGACGGTAGACCATACTTTACTCGGAAGTCGCAACAATGGTAAACATGGCATTCTAGGTGTGTCTTTCTCCGGTCCCGGAGCTGTACGTCGAGTTTGGTGGTTGTTAGACCGAGGATTGCCTGCGAGGGCTGGGGGCTGAGGGCCGCTTCGAGGCAGCCAGTCACCCCTTGGCTTGCCTTTTGCCTGGCTTTTCCGCAATTTCCCTGAGTGTGTCAGCCCAAGCTGAGCGCCCCCGGCGCATGCATAGTCGGACCAATAGAAGAAAGAGGGATGAATGCGGGACACATGACGGCTTCTGATTCCCTGCCCTCATCCATTCTGAGTCTCGGTCAGGCATCAGTGACGAGGTTTGTTTCCTATTGGGACCCGTAGATGAGCCAAATTCCTATGCAGAGCGTTTCAAGACTCCATAGCTTTGAAGACATGCCTTGACAAGTGGATGAGCCTCAGTGGAAGCGAATGTCATATAGAAACCCACAGCGTCAATACATGGGTTAGCGGGTCAGTAATGGATCTAGCTGTGCATGTGCATATGCATGCGCATATGCACATGCACAAATGTGCGTACAACCGCTCTCACGATTCGCCATTCGCCCTTCTCCCTTCATATCACTAGATTCCTGCTCACATTTCGGCCTTACGATTTGCGCAGCCAACCAAAAACCGGATGCAAAGAACGATCGGCAACTGCAGTATTATTCGTGTAAGCGTTGGGTTGCAAAGGAAGGCTGTATCCTGCAGCACAGAGCTCAGAACGCTTGACATGGACGCAGTGGACCTGTGAAGCATCCTCCACGACGCTAATAAATGTTGCTTGCAAATGGTGTCGAGCCGCAATCGTGGCACTGCTTTGAGGTTCAAGCAGGTTTTCGTTCTCCTCCTTCTGAGTTGGTGGGTCGGCGGTCGAGTGCTCCGGATGAGTGAGAATGTCGCATGTGAGGCTGCACGTTGCCCGGAGTTTGGCATGATTTCAGCTAAGGCACTGCGCTGTGGCGCCCTATCCATGACCAATCATGGTTTGCCGAGAGGACCTCGGGTGCATCATGCATCCCAAGGCAATCTTCTGATTTGTTCTCTCATGCAGCTTCTTTCGACGAGTTTCGGTTCCACAGCAGAAGAAAAGGCTGGACCACGCTACTTGATACGCCACCTTCTTCTCGCAATGCATGCTGATGCTGCACGTGCAAAATTCTTGGAAACAACCCACGATAAGCACTGTCGACTGGTAGCATGTATGTTCTGAAAAGGGCCCAGCATGCGTCCTCGCATGACGCAATACACGAGGCTGTATCTCATGGCCTTCGCATCCACGATATCGTGAAGTCTACCCACTCACAATGGTGCGCGCACGTAAGAATACCTTGTCGGCAACGACACGGTTGTTTGACGAGAGGACTTAGCAAACCTTAGCACGTACCAGTATCCGATTATTTAAATTCATGCTCATCGCTTCTGCGAGAAAGCTCTATAATATGCTCGGTGCCCGACGTGGATGATTTCCTGCATGAACAGGCCTTCAAAGGATTGTATCTCCTAAATCGGGCAGTAATCGGCGAGGTGCTTTTCCAATACTTCTACTGAAAGCTCTCGTTAGCTCTTTGGGGAAACATTCCGGAACCGAGAGACCTCCACATGATGCTGAACATACCTGGATTTGGCCTATTAGATCTCACAACGCTCTTAGGTGGTCTCATGGGTCTGGAAATGGTATCCCAGCTGGTTGATCGTAGGCTCTGGATTTCATTGGTGATTGCTTATTATAAAGCAGGCAAACACCGCCCACGGGGACAGTAGATGAGCAATCTGTCTGCCTGACGCCTAATCCTGAAACACGCACTGAGATTCTTCCACAAGCGGCTTCACATAGCAATACATGAGGCTGCGTCCACGTCGAGGACCAGTTGAGAGCTTAAGCGCTCTATAGGGGGCTTGGGGAGGGCGTATTTGCAGCATGACTGCGTGCATACATCAGCATAGCATACGTATGATGCGCCACTGCTCGAGGGCCACCATTTCGGGTGAGGAGAGGAAGTGTGAGGCTGAATGATCTGGCCGCTATATGTTTTCGATTAGCTCCGATGCTTTGTATGGAAGCCTGCTTCATTCCCTTGTATCTGGATAACTGCATTCTGTCCCATCAACGGACCCTCGCATAAACATCAAAGTCCAAGGAGTCTCTGCGGCCCCATGTCAGGCAGTCAAGTCAGCATCCTCCCGACACACCATCAACCATCCACCGGACCTCGTTCAGCTCCGGCTGGTCCGTTTCGTCCGAGCCCACATCCCACGACGCCTCCAAACAGTTCGTCAGCTGCTCCGTCAGCCGGTCCATCCTCATCAGGCATCTTACCAGCTGCTTTGCCACTCCCCGAGTCTCGCACTTCCTCCCCATCTTCCACGACGCGTGAAGGCGCCCACCCGACGACTACAGCAGCCGCATCCTTCTCAACTGTGGGCTCAAACAGAGACTCACAGGTCACAGCCCGGGAGTCCTCGGACGTATTTGCAGCCGAAGATGATCCCCCACTTCCACCGGGCTACCCCCAGCTCGCGCGGAAGATGGGCGAAATGCCCGAGGTGGCCATCTTCCGGCGCTTCGGCGCCCTCAACGCACAAATACTCCTCTACATGCAAGCAGAGCTCGTGAGCCTCGAAAAGCAACTCCACAAACTCCAAGCTAGGGATGCCGCAGCACCCTCGCCAAGGTCTTTGTACGCAGTGAACTGGTTCAGGCTGCGAAACTCGGAAGATCTGGGCGAAGGCGACGACGACGAGCAGTGGGAGCTGGTCAAGGAGATTCGCGTGAAGCTCAAAGAGTACAGTGAGTTTCGCTCCCCATCCCTTCGACGATATTGGGGCGGTTATGGCGCTGGCCTGTGCGTGCTGACTCTGAGCCGGTTGGTTGGTAGACAAGATGCTCATACACCAGAGGCAGATCGTGTGCGTCGATCCTCCCGGGTCCTGGGACCTGCGGCACATGCAGCGCTACCTCGTCTCGGAGGATATGGATCACGGCGTCCTCGTCGGTCAAGATGCCAACGTCTGGGGGTCCGAGGGAGGGGAATGCGACGACCCGAACACTAGCAACAACAGCAGCGACGGTAGCAAGGGTACTGACCGCTTCGACCTGCTTCCCCTCGCAGCGCGGCACAACGAAGACTTCTTCTCCAGCTGGGTGACGGAGAGCATGTCGGAGAAGCTGATCAAGCTGAAAAAGCGACGGCAGAGCCGCAAGGCGGAAGTGACCGGTCAACAGCAGGAGGAGCAGCGGATCAGAAACCTCGACGACTTCGCAGACAAGAAGGTATTGCAATGGACGTTCATGATCGCGAGCGTACTGGCGTCAGCGCTACCCATCCTGGCCATCGTCATCCTGTATTACGTCCAGTCACTAAAGGTCCGGCTTGGCCTCATTGCTGTCTTCAACGTCCTCGTGTCCTTCGCGCTGGCGTGCTTCACGTCGGCGAAGCGCGCCGAGGTCTTTGCCGTGTCGGCGGCCTTCTCGGCGGTGCAAGTCGTGTTTGTGCAGGTGGGCACAAATGATGCATGAGGAAGCCGTTGGCTGGGTGATGAGTACCGTGAGCGACAAGGAAAATATGGTGAGTGCGATGTCCAAGGATCTAGCTACTCATAGATCTTGTCTAACAACTTTACTGGGTAATAACAGGAAGAAATCCTACCCAATCCGTCGAAGAGAAGAGCCCGCACACCCAGTCGTATGCAGTCGTATCCAGTCGTATCTGGTCGTATCTAGTCGTATCTAGCCATAAAACGTAGAGGTAAACGTATCGCCCTTTTGTATCCCCAACCAAATTCCCAAATGCCCGAGAACGCCGCTTTTACCGACCATTTTCGAAAACGTATGAACGTATCTTACCAAAGACTTCCGCACGTACATGATGCTGCACAAACAAGGAAGCAGGAAGAAAGGAGATGCCATAGGAAATGGCGGTGGGACAGCCGCTTAGGGCTGGGAGATGGCATCGGAAACGGTGGTGGGATGTTTTGGCGTATGAGGCGCTTGAGGTGGCCGATGGTGTTCTCGCCAGCTTTGACGATCACCTCTCACCCTTGTCTTTTCTCCTCTTTTCCTTCGCGGCCGCTCTCACCCTTGTCTTTCTTCCTCGTTTCCTCCGCGGCCGCTCTCTTCTTGACCTGGATCATCTGCTGTGCGCGGTTTTCATCGCTTCGTTGCTGCTTCAGCGTGTCTTTCTTCTCCTCCTTTCCTTCGCGGCCGCTCTCACCCTTGTCTTTCTTCCTCTTTTCCTTCGCGGCCGCTCTCTTCTTGACCTGGATCATCTGCTGTGCGCGGTTTTCATCGCTTCGTTGCTGCTTCAGCATGTCTTTCTTCTCCTCCTCACGGCCTAATGGTCGGGCATTAGTTTGGTATCACAGATAGCCACTGGGCGGCGGGGCATGAAGTTCTTACTCTTATTCGTCTTCGGTGCATCATCACGACGCCCAGCTGCATCTACCAAGCTGGCTCGCTTCTGATCAAGCTTGTTCAGTTGGATGGTATTCCAGCCGATGAGGCAGCTGTGAGGCGATTCTTCTCTCATCAGAACGCACCGCGATCTGATGAACTTCTCTCCGGTGGGGAAAAGCTTCTGGTTGTTGCACTTCTTGGCGACTCCGCGGATGGCCCACTTCACATCCAACTCTCCATACAGTTTCATGACGGAGCCATCGGCCATCTCGAATCGGACGGGCGGGTTTTCAGGGTCTTCATAATACGTTATGAGGCCATCTGGGAGGTTCAACTGAGGGACGATGCCGCGGTTGAGGATGATGAGCGAGTCGTCACCATAAGATCCCTCGTCAAACCCAAAGTCGAACTTAGCAGGTAGAAGGGTCTTTGTCGGCACGTCTCTCGTGCCATTCTCATCCTCGATCCTGACAATGAGCTCAATGTCGCGGATGAAATCCTCCGGGTCAAGAGGTTTCCCGTCGTTCTGGTAAGGAAACACCACTGCGGGCGGGGTGGATTTCTTGCGAGGGTGCCAAATGGACTTCATGGATAGGCGATAGAATCCATTCTTGATCCGTTCACGCACTAGTGTCCTGAGGCCCCGTGTGCTAGCTTCCCTGCTATCCTCAACTCCGTTGAGAGGGTCCAAGGAACTGTCGTCATTTGCATCGGAGGCGGCAGTAGTGCCGGTCTCGGATGCTGCACTCACGATAGAGGCAGCCATGGCGGGAGCAAAGCACGAAGAGGTGTGTGGTATGGTGCAAGTATTGCGCGGTTCAGGCAGCGGGTCGGGCGGCGGATGACAGGAAGCGGACAGCGCGCGGAAGCGAGCAGTGGGAAGGAGAGCCAGAGAGACGACTGGGCATGGGCATGCAGTCTACAGGAAGGTCCGTTAGTCTTTTCAGGTCTGCTGCCTTGCTTCGGCGGCATTTGTCGTCGGCGTGGCTGGCCGGTGGAGGGGAGGGGGTTCTCACAGACCAGACGCAGCAAGCTCAGAAGTCGCTGGTGCTCAGCGGAGGGGAGGCGGAGGGAAACTGCAGGCGCGCGATCAGGACTGCAGGCGTGCGATCAGGACTCACGCCCGCAGCTGTCCAAAGAATGAGAATTGGTGAGGGGAGAAGGCGACAGGCGGGGAGGGAAAGTGTGAAGAAGCGGTGGAGCAAGAGTGTTTCTGCGGGCGCGTCTGGAGTAGCCCAGCACGTGTGCCTTGCACGCCACAAGCAGGCGAAGGGCAAATGGCCCGGGAAGACAGAGCCCTTGACACGTTGCAGTGGTCCGAAGTCTTCCTCATAGACAGCGAGAAGACGAACGTGTCACGTCCTAGTCAGCGACAGATCAAGCTCGCGACTGGCCGTTTTGTTGGCGTGCGAACATCCCCATGATATCATAGAGGTCCTGAAGGTGAGTAGAGGCCGAACCATGCATCATGCTGGGCTGTGCGCACGGGGCCAGCGACGGTGTTCACAGCCTGCCTTGGCATGCTCTCTGAGCATCTAGAGCGATCCTTGTGCAGAAGCGGAACGGGTAGTATAGGGCTATGTAGCGTACATAGCATCTTCCTTCACCGAAGTCCTGGCGGTTAAGCGTAAGGAATGGCCACGAGCAGGCCCTTGAGGTTACGGCCGCTAATGCGTGGGCGGCTGCAGATCCCCTGCTAGTGTTCGTAGCAGCGTGACGGTTTGCTGGTATTCACATCACTGCGCCCCGTTTGCAAGGGATGTTCATGGCTGTGAAGTCTGGAGGATGACTATGCGGCGCGGGCCAGCGGGTTGCGCGGAGAGAAGCGACTGTGCGCAGCAAAGCCAAGCCCAGTTGCTTGATCAGCTGGCCGGCATGCAACGAAGACCTGCGCCGAAGAGCCGCAGGCTGGCGAAGCTACGTGGCCTGCAAGCGTCTGCTCGAATGGCTTAATCGGCTCTCGCAGTTGAGGGGCACGGAATGATAGGCCAATCAGCGCCCTAACGGGATACGAGAACCTTCCCCTCCTTCAACAAGAGCCACAGCTTCTACTGAATAAGACTTCATGGCCATCGGTGTGCTTACTGGTGACAGCTTTCACCCCGTGCCGACGAATTTTCAAATGGAGCTCTTAAGAATGATTCTCGGTAACGAAAGAGGATCAAGCGCATGCGGTGGGAGTGATCGCGGGTATCCGGTATGGGGTGCCTAGGACTGAGAAGACTGCGATTCAACGCATCGCAGAGCCGGACAAGCCAAAAAGGGAAGGAAGCTGGTGTCCAAGTTTTGAATTACGAGCCACCCCATAGGGCCAAGCGATGCAGAGTGTAATGCCGAAGCATGTGCGGACCACATGACGGTCAACCCAGCTGTGTTGAGACAATTGCTAGGAGCCGAGGCTCGATGATCATTGCCATCCGCTACCTTGGGCAGCCTATAGGGCAATGAGGCCAAAATTTGGCGTAGCCACGGGAAACGCAAGGCTCCGGAAAGAAAGAACCCAGCGGAGTCGAATCAGTCCGCGCGACGCGCGGCGCGAGCAGCAAGGCACACACAAGGCAGCCATGCCCGTCCGTTGTACGCACGTCAGATGCGCGCTGCATGCAAGATATAACCGAGGCAAAAACTTCAGTTGCTTGCAGAGTGGGCCATGTCGCTGACATTAATATGCAGACTTTGGAGAGATCAATCGGCGCATCAAATGGCGCGCCTTGTGGCAGAGAGTGTGGCAGCGAGTGTGGCTGCAGCCCGAGCTGCGTGTGCTGACGGCGATTCCGTTGTCGTCCAATGCGATTGGATCGGGTCGGTCGCGGCAGCATGTTGCATGGCAGCGTTGAGCCTTGTTCTCGTGCTGTGCAATCGGAACCAAGGCGAAGCTGGCGGATAAATGAAGTCCCATGACCGCTCAATTGTTTTCTCGGGCACATCTTCTTGTCTCTGCCAGGAGGTGCATCGCAACAGACAAATGCAGAGTCCACTTGGCCCCCAATTTCATCCACGCTCTTTCGGACCGGCCTGGAACGGGACAACAAAACAAAAAGAGGGAAAAGGTAAAAGAGAAAGGAATATGCAGGAAAAAAAGGAAAGAGCTGGGCCAAAGAAAGACCAGGAACACACTTGGACGTCCTGCAACAAATTTAAACGACGTGACATCCAAGGGGACAGGATCGTGGGAGGTTTCACGCCAGTGTGGATCATGAGCTCGAAATCCCGCTCACAGTATTTCCAACTCAAGGAAGAGCATGTCATTGCAGCAGCGAAATGCCATCTGCATCACTTCCAGCAGCTCGTCCTGGCCCGCGCAACCTGAAAGCCATATATCCTCCCACGCCGTTTATGGCCAGCTACGGCATCCATGGACGGGTTCGATGAAGCAATGGTACACCGGATGGGGGTAGCCAACCACTCTAAGTCAGCCTGTTGGGAGCCTCTGTCGAAGTGCCGCAATGCAGAGAGTTCGTAGACCGGTGGAGTGGAGAATCATGGTTGGCAAGTGGTGCCACGAGGGCGGGGCTGATCAGGTGCGATTGCGATTGACATGGGGGAATTCGAACGGCCGCATAATAGTGCACGGAATCCTCGGCAGATGTAGGTCGATGGTGAAGTTGAGGGTGCGAATGCGCTGACACAACAAATGTGGTGCGTACGTGCGTGCCTAGGCACAGCTCGCTTGGCGCACCAACAATGCGCGGGGATCGGTTAAAGTCTTTCTCCGCCTCTTATGGGATGGATTGCTCAAATTTATAGTAGGTATTTGGCAACTTACTTGGAAGATACGAGCTGAGACACTCGGACAGCTGCCTGGTGTATGTCAACTTGGTAGACGTTGTAGTCGGTGGGCAGTCCGCAGCCTGTTGACTTGTAGTCATAACCATTACCAGCATCATTATTTTCCACGTACGACCATAGGTCGCAGAATATAGGGCTTCCCGTCCGCTCAGCCGTACTCAAGCTGCGAACCGGCCGATTAGTACTCAAGTGGGTGACCATTGGGGAATCCCGGCTGTTGTACGTTTTGCCTTTCGTTTTGTCCCCGCAATCCCGACTGCGCTCGCAAAATCCAGCTACATTTGTAACAGAAAGGCATGGAACGCTGTACATTTTATTTTTTTTGGGGCGTACATTATGATGCTTGGATGCTCTTGAAGCAAAGGCTAAGATGGCTGGGCAAAGCTGGGCACGGGCCATTCATGCCTGCCTCCCGCAATCATTGGTAGTGTTCTGCGTTTTGATAAAGTTGGAAACTCTACTAACGGATTGCTTAACGAGCGTCAGGTTCCCGTTACGGCGCCGATTGGAAACTCTATTGCGCAGCTTGTTGGGACGATCAGGTGATCAACATATCTACTAGGCACTTTATGTTGGCTTCTGACTACTATAATAAAGTTCCTTCTGCTCTTTTCTACGCGACTTAATCCAAAAGAAAGCAAGGAAAAAGTTAAACTGCCAAAGCTATCCTGGCTTATACTGTCGTCCAACGTTCCATTTCACCAGAGGATAAGGGAGGTAGCAAATGCCAATGTATATACTTCTCGTCTAGTATCTAAATCTTTTTCTCTTCTTTTTCTGTTCCCACGAACAGTACCAGAATTTCCATACGCACGTTCAAAATTTGGAGATCGGAGCAACTATAATACAACAAGAGAATGGAGACAACGTCCATCATCTACTCCCAGGGGTTCTCCACCCGTTCCTTCTTCTTATTTTTCTTCTTCGTCGGCTTCATCGCGCTCTTCTTATCAATCGACTCCTGCAGCCCCCTATCCGCCTTACCCCCCCACTCCGCCTCCCTCTCCTTCTGCGCGTCATACGCCTCCATGCTATTCTCCTCCGCCTCCGCCTCCATCTCTTTTATCATCAACTCATCGTACCAGAGCCCCTGATGAGAAGAAACATCGCTCTCCAGCATCGCCCTCGTCCTCTCCGCCGCCGCCGTTTCCGCATTGACCACCACCCTCTCCCTCTCCCACCTCCTCTCCCTCTTCCCCTCGATGGACTGCAGCAGCATGTACTCGTTATAATCGACCCTCCCCATCGCCCTCTTCAGCCGCTTGTGTTCGTCCTCCTCCAAGTGCCTCAAGATGATGCGACGCGGCACGCCCCTCCGCTCCTCCTCCGTCCACTCGGGCATGATTTTCGCGCGGCGGGCAAACTCTTCCCAGCTGTCGCGCAGCGCGGCGGTGGCGGCGGCGTCCCCGGCGCCGCCGCCGCCTTCGCCCGGCGCCGACCAGTCAAGGTCCTGCGGCGGCGACCACGCGAGCACGTCGTACCAGCTGTCGTGCTTGCCGATGCGCGCCGCCAGCTCGAGCTTGGCCATGGACTCGCGGCCGCGCCCGACGGCGCGGTTCCAGTGGCGGCTGTACCGGGGCGAGAGCCGGGCGTGCTTGGCGCGCTCCTTGAGCGCCGCCAGGTTCTCCATGCGCTTGTCCCACATCTGGTCGCGCCGGTGGCGGCGGCCCTCGACGGTGTCGGGCGAGGCGGAGGCCGGCGGCGGCTTCGGGGAGAGCTTGGTCGAGTTCTGCGCCCTGGATGCCTCGCTCGCTGAGGGTTGGATGGCGGGGATGGCGACGCCGATGCCGCGCGAGGTGTCGCGCTTGGGGCTCTGCTCGGCGGCGGCGACGTATGCCAGAGGGTCGTTGTACATGAGATACCTGCGTTTTTTGGGACTGAGGTCGAATTCGCTTGCTTCTTTCCTTCGAGCCTGGGCTGCTCGGGTGTTCCTGACCCACTCCGCCCTCCTTTCCGCCTTCAACGCCTTCTCCTCCGCTTTTTTCTTTTTCTTCCTTTCACGTCTCTCGTGCCTCCTTAGTTCGTAATTGATCGTTGGTTTTTGCTCTGCATCCCACCCTTTGTCGAATCCCCTCTCTTCAGAGTCGAATTCCATATCCTCTTCCAAGCCTTCCACCATGGTCCGCGCCTCCGCTTTTCTCTTCGACATCTTCGGACTTCTTTCGTGTTTCTCCTGATCCGCCTCCGTCATCGTCCACGGGTCCTCCAACTCCTCCAATTCCGCCTCGGGCTTCTTGTGCTCCTTCTTCTGTCTCTGCCGCGGCCTGTCCCGGACCGTCGAGTACGATCTCCTTTGGTTGGCTCCGTCGGAGGAGATGTTTGGCAACCTCATTCTCCTGATCATCGATGCCGTGAGTGGACCCTCCTGGGCGTCGGCGGCGGTTGCGTCGGTGCTGGTTTCCCCGTCCTGAACCTGCTCCTGCGGGGTGTCTACGGTCTCATCGAGGCTCGAGCTAGAAGAAGCTAGAGAAGAGGTAGAGGTAGAGTCAGGGGGCTCGGAAGCAGAGGGCTCGGAAGCAACGCTATCGGAGGGAGGCGGACCAGCAGGAGCGGAAGGGATGGACGGTGATGGTGCCGCTTCATCTTTATCCGTCTGCGCGCTCGGCTCCTCCTCCTCCTCCTCCTTACGCTCGACGCTGCTCTTCCGCACGTCCTGACCGGTAGTCGAACCCCGCGGCTTACCTCCGCGCTCAACCTTCCTCGTCGCCTTAGCCTTCCCATCCCCGACCTGCCCGCCGCCAACGAGCCCTCCACCACGACGACCACCGCCCCTCGGCCTCAACTTGATCCAATCCAACAGATCCCTCGCCCTCACCTCATCCCACCCCGCCCTCACCAACACCTGAAAACACTTCTTCCACTGCTTCCGCCCCCACCTCACCTCCCCCACCTCCCCCACCCCCCCCCCCCCCTCACCCGCACCCGCAAACACCACCCCCGCCCTCGCATACAACCACCCCTCATCCACCCAATCGCCCGACTTGCCCCCCGCCTTCAGCACCACGCGCGAGTTCACCACCGCCATGCCGCGGTCGACGGCCTTGCACATGTCGAAGACGGTGAGCGCGGCGGCCGAGGCCGCGTGCAGCGCCTCCATCTCGACGCCCGTCTGCCCCTGCGTCTCGAGCCGCGCGGTGAGCAGCACGCCGCCGAAGGGGTACTGCGCCGCGGCGTCGACGTCGGCGGGCGGCAGGCGCGGGTCGCCCGACGAGAGGTGCGAGGACGAGACCAGGAGGGGGTGGTGGTGGGGGCGGTCCGCGGCGGCGTTCGTGTTGGCGCCGGCGCCGGCGCGAGCAGCGTCCGCGGATGATGACGATGATGGCGATGATGATGATGGTGGAGGGGGGTCGATCAGGCCCGCCTCGACCTCGGCGTGGGCGATGTTGATGTTGTGGCAGAGGGGGATGATGGTGGCGGTGTGCTTGGCGGCCATGATGCCGGCGATGCGGGCGGTGCCGAGGACGTCGCCCTTTTGCGCGGCGTTGTGGCGGATGAGGTCGAGGGGGCCGGCCTTGGAGAAGCGGACGCTCGAGACGGCGAAGGCGGTGCGCCGCGTGACGACCTTGTTGGCGACCGAGACCATGTGCGCCGTGCCCTTTTGGTTGACGTGCGTGAGCCTGGCGGACGCGTCTGGCTGCTGCTGCTTCTGTGCGTTGCTGTTGTTGTTGGATGGGTCGTCGTTCTCTTCCTCGTACTTTTTGGGGGAAACCCAGCGGAAGTAAGATGAGTAATATCTCATTCCCATGCTTGGTGAACTTGCTCCTAGTAGATGAGTCGGGATTGATTTCCACGGCTGTGATAGATTTGACGCGCCCGAACGCGCGGGCGCTCTGGCCTTGTACTGTCCGCTGGAATATGAGCGGCTGGGGAGTTGTTCATCTGCGAAGACCAATTAGCCAATCCGGTTTCGCTGGACTCATTTACGCAACGCAGTCGGGACATGGGGTGAACAGCTTCAATTCAAAGGCGACAGTCGAGGCTGCGCCTCTGGATATGTGGACATGATAAGAACGCCGTCAGATGCCGCTCCCTGGTAGTATCCCAAGACCAGAAAACTCCTCATGGCTCAAGTCCAAATCCTACATCACCAAAAAATCATTTTGCAGACAGAAAAAAGCCTTTACCCACCGATTAGAATCATAGGCCTGTTCTTCATGTTCTCAAGCTCGCCCATTCCGGCATGCTTCTCCTTCTTGCGCTTGACCGCGGCGCCAATGACTTCGAGAAGCTCACGCTCACGCTCGCTCCAAGCGGGACCCGAGCCCTCGCTCAAGAGACCCTGTCGCCTATTGATCTCGACCTCCTTGATGGCCTCGAAGGCCTCCTCATCAATCGGCCTGCCGTCGTTATCCTTCCTCATGATATCGCGCAGCGAGACTTCGGTGTTGCCAAACAGGCAGACCTTCAGATTACCGTCGCTCGTGATGCGCAACCTGTTGCACGTTCCGCAGAAGTTGTGCGTCATGCTCGTGATGAAGCCGAACTTGCCGACGAAGCCGGGAATCTCCCACGTCTTGCTCGTGTCGTTCCTGTGGCCCTGCACGGGGCGCAAGCCGGGATACTCGGCGCGGATGACATCCAGCATTTCCTGGTAGGACATCATCTTCTTCTGGTTCCAGCGGTTGCCGTCAAACGGCATGTACTCGATGAAGCGCACCTCGACGTCTTTCTCGCGGCCCAGCTCGACGAAAGGCACGATCTCGCGGTCGTTCAACCCGCGCATGACGACGCAGTTGATCTTCAGCTTCACCGGCGCGCCCGCCCGCTTCATCTCCAGCACGCGGTCGACGCTCTTCATCACGGCGTCGAAGCCCTTGCGCCGCGTCATCAGCTGGAACTGGAACGGGTCCAGCGTGTCCAGGCTCAGGTTGATGCCCGTCAGCCCCGACTCCACCATGCTGTCCAGCTTGCGGTGCAGCGAGATGCCGTTGGTGGTGATGCAGAGCTCGCGCAGGCCCTTGGCGCGGAGCGACCCGATGGACCGCATCAGAGGGACGATGTCGCGCCGCACCGTGGGCTCGCCGCCCGTCAGCCTGATCTTGTTGACGCCTTGCGACACGAAGAGCGAGGAGATGTAGAAGATTTCGGGGCTCGTCAGGAGGTGGTCCGGCGGGGATAGTGGTACGCCCTCTGCAAGATGTAACTGTTAGCCGTCTCACTTTTTTTTTTTTTCATTCAAAGAGCTCTGCTGGCGGGCAAGAGAGGAACGCACCTTCCGGCATGCAGTATAGGCAGCGCAGATTGCAGCGCTCGGTGACACTGATGCGCAAGTAGTCATGCTGGCGGTTGAAGGTGTCGGTCAGGAATTCCGAGAAGGGCTTCGCCTGCTTGATCGCATCTCTGCGGGCCTGCTGCGATGGTTGTGGCGGTGGGAACTCGACTTGGGCGCCCGGAAGCTCGAGGGCAGGCTCACGCGCTGCGGCTGCGGTCGTAATGCGCCGCGTGGCAAGGGTCCGGTGGGTTGGTGCGGGCGGGACGAGCTTGCCACCGAGGATGTGCGGTCGTCTGGCGGCGGCGATGGTTTGAGTGCGCAGGGCGCGGGCGCGGGCGCGCACAATGTGGCCGGCCATGGTGGCAGAGAATCCGGAAAGAGCACCCTAGCTCGCGATTCTTAAGCTCAGCGGTCCATCAGGCGCGGGCATGGTCCGTATGCGGGGAGTGTTGGCGGTTTTATGGCGGCGCTTGAGATGGCGCTGATAGGTGGAGCACGGTGTCGGTGTTCGGCGATGCGAGGATTGTCGACGAGTCGAGTGCCGTGACTAAGCAGCGAGCCAAACGACTGTCATCGCGACCATGGGTGCATCTCCGCTCAGAAGTCCTGCTGTTAGCCGTGGAATGCGCGAATGACTGAGTGCGGCTTCCGTTGCCGAGCTGCATGACACAGCACACGGACGAAGGCTTTCTAGCCGATACCGACTGTCGGAATGCTTCTTCACGTCTTTGTCCAATCTTGCTAGCAATGCCCTTGCGAGTCCCCATGTACCTACGTCTACTTTAAGAAATGCCAGACAACGTAGCTGACTATATTTGAGCTGAGCAAGCACATGACCTTGCCCATCACCTACCCGAATAGGCAATCAGATCTTTGTGTGTATGCGAAGAGCTGGCCCTATTTCCGGTCATGCCAAAGCAGGTAGCATAAGTAGCTGTATGTACAAATGGACCAGCTTTCATACGCAGACCGAATCTCCTATGTTGGTTTAAAGATGGGTCTGCCCCTGGGAGGCGGGGCCGCTGAAAAGTGGGACAAGGATGGGGGCGAAGAACATGCAGAGGCGGGGAAAAAGGCCAACAGCGTAGGCGTGTGTGCACGCATGCAAACGGCAAGACCGGCATCAAGTCGTCATCCAAAAAAGAGATCTATTCCATCTTCATCGCGCGCGTGCGCGCGTCCTTGGTATATCATATGCACGGAGCCCCCATCACATCGACATTACGTTCCTTTACATAGTCGCTTAATTCACAACCCATACTCCTCAATCATCTTCTCCGCCGCCGTCTCGCCGACCAGATACGCCACGCTCACAACGTGGCAGTTCAGCACGAACGGCGGGACCGAGTTGTCCACAACACGCAGCCCCTGCAGGCCCTTGACCCTGAAGCGCGTGTCCACGCACGCCTCGTCGTCGTCGGGCCGGCCCATCTTGACCGTGCCCGTCATGTGCCACGTCGTGTTGCAGTAGCTCTGGATGTACTTCCAGACCTCGGCGTCGGTCTTGTCCTTGGGCAGCGCCGTGTCGGCGACGACGTGGCGGGCGAGCGGCTCGGCCTCCATGACGGCCCACGACCGGCGCACGGCGTCGATCATGTTGGCGCGGTCGAAGGGGTGCGAGAAGAGCTTGGGGTCGCACAGCGGCGGCGCGCGCGGGTCGGCGCTGGCGAGCGTGACGGTGCCCTTGGACTGCGGGACCATCTGCATGGAGAGGATGGAGAGGAACTCGCCGTTGGGGTCGGCGGCCGGGTGGATGGCCGGGCAGAGGCAGATGTGCTCGAACGTCGGGACCGTGGGCTTGCGCACGTGCTGCTGCACCGCCGGCGGCAGCGCCGCGAACTCGGGCGACGCGAGCACTGAGGGCGCCTGCTGCCAGCCCATCAGGATGGTGTTGTAGTACATGGACAGCGGCCCGCTCTGGTCCTGGGCGAACTGCTTCTGCGCCGCCGCGAGCGCCGCCTCGTCGTGGAAGAGCTGCGGGCGCCCGCTGAGGCCGGCCTTGAACTGCTTGACCAGCACGACGAAGGCGTGGTCCTGCAGGTTCTGGCCCACGCCGGGCAGCTCGTGGAGCTGCGGGATCGAGTGCTTGGCGAGCTCCGCCGACGGGCCCACGCCCGAGAGCATGAGGATCTTGGGCGTGTCGAGAGCGCCGGCCGAGAGGACCACCTCCTTCGAGGCGAGGACTGCGCAATGCCCATGTCAGCGGCCATCTCCGAGGGGGGGCGCAGCAGGTGAGTGATGATGATGATGATCCGGCACTTACACGTCTCGCCAGCGGCGACCACGCCCACCGCCTTCTTCCCCTCAAACACGACCTTGTCCACGGGCTTGTTCGTCAGGATGGTCAGGTTGCTCGGCGCGTCCGCCAGCATCGCCGTCTTGGCCGTGGTCCGGATGCTGTTCCTCGACGTCGACGGCACGACGCCGATGCCGAGCGGGTTGCCCGAGTTGATGTCGAGGTTGGGCTTCAGCCCGATGGCCTGCTCGGCCGCCTGGTAGTTCTCCTCGATGCTCCACTCCCACGCGCCCTTGGAGATTTCGAGCTGCAGCGGGCCCTTGTCTCCGTGCGCCGCCTTGTTGGGGGCCACGAACTTGCGGTACTTGTCCGGCACGTCCGAGTAGCTGTAGTCCTCGAGCGCCTGGTACCGGCGCTGCGCCGCAGTCCAGTTGTACGACTCGTCGCCCACCTGCCGGGCCCACTCGTCGTAGTCGTCGCGCGGCCCGATGGTGTAGCATGCGAAGTTGATCCCCGACGACCCGCCCAGCCCTTTGCCGCGCGAGTAGTCGATCTCGCGCCCGTTCAGGTGCTCCTGGGGCACCGTCTTGTAGCCCCAGTTCATGCCGTCCGTCATCAACGTCGTGAAGCGGTTCACCAAGTACAGCGTCGACGGCTCCGTGTTGTCGCCACCCGCCTCAAGCAGCAGCACGCGCGGCTTCGACGCCGCCTTGGACAGCCGCGATGCCAGCGTGGCGCCGGCAGGCCCGCCTGTGTGGTAGCCATCTTAGCACGGCACTGAGTCGCGGTCTGGGTAGTGCGGGGGGGCTTACTGCCGACGATGATGAAGTCGTACTTCTCGGTTGTAGAACCCATGGTTCAGGGAATGATTTAGCGGGGTGGTCGAGGCGAGTTATGTGACGGTAGCGAGCTTGAACGAGGAGGACAAGTTGAAGAGAACATGAATCAGTGGGCAGGATTGGCCGAATAAATAGGCTTCCAAGCTTCGAGCCCAGGGGAATCGAAGGCATAGCTCCCCCCGCCATGCATGCAACGGTGCTCCTCCCGTGTGCCGCAGCGGTGGGTACGGCCAAGCATTAGGAGAGCGAGAAAGAGGAGCCCTGTCCTTCCCTAATTGTCCCAATGCGGTATTGGCAGGCCAATTGACGCGTCGTCTGCCAGAAGTCGTAGTGGATTGGCGTTCCCGTAGGATGGCCCAAGACCGCGCCGTCGTCGCATAGCGCCAGTGACCCTGCAGCTGCACTGAATCGCTCGTGCATAAGGGACCTGCTTTCTGGCCTTATCCTGGCCATCACCCGAAGGGTAATTCGTGCGTCGGTCTCAGTCACCTCTTTTCCGCAATCAGAATGCTAGTGTCGACTTCACCCTGCCCATCGCCGTTGGCGCTGCGGTGAGAGGGTTCGTTGACTCGCAAACCAGATTGAGCACAGATAATGCGAGATGCGACGTGCTTACTTAGAGCCGCGGCTTACGACGTGGGGTTACAGCTCCGCTGCAGGCTAGATCACTCAGCCGGATGTGCCAGATGCGTTCGGGGGGGTTGCCGCGGTTGCTAGACGGCATCTACACAGTAGTAGGGGGCGCTACCGGAAGCAACACCGCTTGGCAACAGGATCCACAGCCTACAGCTCTTTTCGGCAACGCCGCTGTGAATCGCGCGAGTTGTTCGACCGCGAGTGTTGGATAGGCAATACCCACTGCCTCGTCAGATGCACGTGCCGAGAAGGCATCTGACGCGGTTGCCGCGGCTGGAGCAAGGTAAGAAGGCCGGCCGCGAGGGAACACGCGATGCAATTCCGGACCAAGGGGTGCGGCGCGACCGCAAGGTTGGCGTGGGGATAACGTTGGGGGTGACGAGGCGAGGTCGATAAGCGTGCCCTGAAGAACGTTGGCGGCGCCCAAGCGGGAGCGGGCTGCGGGAGCGCTGCCTACAGCCGGTGGAGTCCACTCTGGATTGGGGTCCAAGTAGTGGCTGGCCTTGTGAAGATCAGCACCTGTCCGACTCATGCTGTTACCTTTGCGATAACAGGACGCCTCGCGACACCCGTCTTCGTCGACACCCTTGTCAGAAAGGGCATGGTGATGCACATCGACGTGGCCGTGGACGCGACGGTATCGTCGCCACCGCCCTTTGGATGAGATAGGCGAAGATGCAATCGCGGTCAGAAAAGGATGGTGCAAGATCCGGGAACAAGAACGTGTGGAGGGCCTGTGCGCTTCGCGGGGGTGCATCCCGGCGATCAATATTTGAGCAAAGCCACTGATTCAGGCATAATTCACATGTCGCCTCGCTCAAACACCCCCTTATGTCTATTCAGACATCGTCATCCCGACTTGTTCCGGCAAGGCTCATCGGAGGATTCTGTGGAATCGAAATGTCGTTCGATTTATCGTTCAGATCATCGTACATGCTAATAATACAGGGGCCTGTTGGCCTGTCATGTCATTCAATCATTCCCGTAGTCCGATCTTGCGACACTCAGTGCCTCATCGCAGGTAGCATTAGGCCAAGCAACCCTCTCTTTATGCCTTGGGCTCGCGACCGGGAGCCTGGCGGACGTTCTCAAAGACGTCGGCGTTGCCAGGGTTCTCCTCCCTGTACTGTCTCGCCTTGTCCTCAGGGCCACCGAGGCCCTCGAAGTCATAGTCCTTGGTTGGGCTGAGGACAAGTTAGCACAGCTGCTTTGCACTGCTTGATCATGGAACATCGCTCACCGGCCAGTGCCTTTCTGGAAAGAACCGCCGTCCTCAACGGGGATCTCACGGCCAGTGGCCGCCGAGCCGTATCTCACTTCGCCACCGGGGAACTGTTCCGCACGCGCGACATCGACACCGGATTCCTCAGCTATGGTGACGATGTTAGCTTGTATTCTTGTTTTCGTTCCAACCGCGCATGGGTTTTGCGGGAACATACTGCTGATGGAAGCTCCCTGACCGTGCCTGGCAGAGGTGGTGTTGTCGTGGCCAGTCTTCAGGGCGTGGCTGTTGAGATTCTGCTCAGCTTGCTCGGCAAGCTTGTTGATGTCCTGACCCTTGTATTCCGCAGACATGGTGGAAGAATGTGAGGTTGAAGTTGTTGGTAGGTGTTTGGGTTGGTTTGAAAAGGAACAGGATGGAGTTTCACGCAGCGGGTACGTTGGCAAATCGGTTGATTGAAGTGATGAGTGAGAACCATGGCAGCTAGGAGCTGAGGTAGAGGTACTTATTCCTTTCTCCTACGCCTATATGATGTAATGTTGATGATGATGTCACGGAAGCCCCACCGCAACCAAAGTCTAGAAGAGCCCCAATGATGGAGCCGACGATTTCGAAAGCCATCGTTGATTTGCATGCTGCAGCGACGTCAGAACGCTTTTTGTGCGGCGGGGTGATGGTGGAGTCCCGAAAGGTCAAAGGTGGAGAAGTGGCTGAACGCTCGCATCGTCGAATGTCATTTACTCTCGTCTTTCGGACCGCACAAACCAGTCTCGCCAACACGGACCGGCTCTGATTGCAAAGCAGCTCGCTAAGGGAAGATTTGAAGAAGAAAGACAACTGGTCAAGTGAAAAATCCAAGCAAGTCCCTTTCCACTATTTCCAAAACTGATACTCGTGCGACCGCATCTATGCTCTCCTGTCCATGCCAGCCTGCAGCTCCTCCTCCAGCCCCATCTCGTGTATGGCGGCTTGCGCCTCATGCGGCCTGGGGTTTTCGTAGGCCCGAGGGTCGTAGTGCTCCGGGATCGGGACCGACGGCTGCTGGTTCTGGGCGTGCACACCAGCCTGCGGCTGCACACGAACCATCTGCCTGAACCTCTGCACCTCCGCCAGGATCATCTTCTTCATATCACCAATGTCCTCAACAACCTCGAAGTGGAAATCGAAAGTGGTAGGGCACGAGGGCTCGTCCGACGCATCGTGCCAGATGTGGAGGTAGCGGTGCTCAAGCGCTTCCTCGACCGAGATACGCTGCGACGGGTCGAAGGCCAGCATGCGGTCGAGAAGGTCAAGCGCATCCGGGTTGGCGTTCCGGAACAGCTGAGCAAACTGGACCTTCGGCATGTAGGGCAGGTTGCGGACGTAGTCCTGGGCACGGGGAGAGCCAATCCTGGACAGCGTCTCCTCGTTGGGCGTGCCCAGATAGTGCAGGATCTGGTTCAGTTGGTCGACGTAGTCCCTGCCCTTGAAGAAAGGCTTGCCGCCGAGCAGCTCCGCCAAGATACAGCCCACGGACCAGACGTCGACTTGAGGCAATTAGAACCCATGCGACGCTCCATCGGGGATGGACAGGAACTTACTGGCTTTCGTGTAACTCTGGAAGCTCAACATGATCTCAGGCGCACGGTACCAGCGGGTGGCAACGTACTCGGTCATGTACCCCGCGTTTTCCTCCGGGTCCATTGAAAAGCCACGCGCAAGACCAAAGTCACAAATCTTCAGCTCGCAATCGGCGTTGACCAGCAGATTGCCGGGCTTCAGATCACGGTGGAGGACATTGGCCGAGTGGATGTACTTCAGTCCGCACAGGATCTGGTAGATGAAGGACTGGAAGTGGGCATCGGTAAGAGGCTGACCGGACCGGATGATGGCCGCCAGATCGCACTCCATCAGCTCTGTTTATCCGTCAGCTCGGATCGCCGCAGCCCCAGTGGCTGGCGTCGTACCTTCGTAGAGATAGCACTCGTTAAAGTTCTCCGGCCTGGGAATGTCCATGTCATAAAGACAGGTGATCTAAATCGCCAAAACCCATCAGTATTGCTCGAGGAGGCGTGCTCGACGACTGGTTCTCACGTACGTTCCTGTGGCCTGGGACGTTGTCAGCCTTGGACCCCCACTCAGCTGGAGTGCGCGCGCCGACTCACCTCTGAAGTGCTGCAGCAGCTTGATTTCTCTGAGGGCGCGCTTGGCCAGGATCTTCTTGCTGAAGACATTGGTCACCTTCTTGATGGCGACGCCCTCCTGGGTCTGGTTGTTTTGCGCCGCGCTGCGAGCGGTTAGCAATGTCTACAGTGCCGGCGGGGCGCGGCGGGGCGCATACCAGACAATGCCGTAGGCGCCCTGGCCCAGCTCCTTTGTCACGGTGTATCTCTCGTCGACAATGAACTCCTGGTTGAAGACCTTGAAGATCTTGCGGCCCTGGAGGTCGGACATGGTTGTGGCGTGGCGGATGGCGGGGTAATGGGTTCAGCAACAACAGTCGATGCCTTGGGGCTTCAGCGAGAGTGAGAAGCAGAAGACGGGCGACGGATGGGGTCGATCAATCTACGCTGGCGCGTGCGAGCTCGACGGCGGGCGGGTGGAGGGGCGGTCGCTTGCGATTGCGCGTCAAGGCTTTGAGATGGGTGGTCGCGAGAGATAGGCGGGCAGCGAGCGAGGGCGCGGGAACCCGGTCAACAGGCGCGGCCGGCGGGCGGAACTTGGAGAAGAGGCAGGCGGCGGGCAGAAGCACAAAGGGGTATTCGGGAAGACGCTGCGAGGCACAAAGGGCGTCTTTGTCGACGGCGAGCGGAGAGCAGGCTGATGCAGAGGGGCCTTCCCGGGTGTGCGTGCGCGCTGCGCGGCTACAGACCACCCATGCCTACTTCAGCCCTAACGCCGCCGCCTCGCCTGCGCATCGCACCGCAGCAGCAGCTGAGCCAAACCATCCTGCCCGCCTGCCCGCCTGCCTGGCGCCCATGTGCCCATGTTCGCAGCGATCTGCCTGCTGCATGCGGTCAAGGCCCTCGCCTGTGTTAAAAAATAAGGCCAGCGTGGCCGTCAGCCGTCAGCAGGCAGAAGCCAGGCGCGACGAGGCTGAAGCAGCTCCGCCCCCACTCTCGCCCACCAGAACAAAAGCGTCAATACATCCGCCCCATTATCCATTATTTGTCCTACTGCCCGGTTCCCCCCTCCCCCAAGCCCGTGCCGATTGTTCTCTTGGTATTGGTCCTGCCTTTGAAGCCTGAAACCTGCAATAATGCGCCCTTCCCCCATTCCCACCGTGTTTTGGAACGCCGTCGCTAAATAAACGAAAAAACAAAAACGCTGCAGACGCGTGCTATTCCTCGAACGAAAACCGTCGTCTCGACGGGCTTGGCTCGCCGCTCGACGATCCACCCAGTGGCGAGAGCGGGGAAAAAGTTCTGCCGTGCTCACCCTCGGCCGCGAGAGGCGACACCGGAAAGTCTGCGGTGTGAATCACCCGCCTTACCTCCTCGGGCCTGACCGGGGACGGCCGTAGCCGCTCAGGCGCTGTGGGTGTTGTCGGCGACGGCTCAGGGTTGGTGCCGTTGTACTTTTGCTCTCTGAACATGGCCGCCTGCTTTTCCGACAGCTCCCGCGAGTCTGCCTCTGAAGCCTTGGGATAGTCGCCCGGCATCTCGAAAATCCGCAGCTCGTTCGCCTCGACCTCCGAAGGGTGCATCCGCGTCGGTAAATCCTGCTTCTGATCTTTCTCCGCTTGTCGGGCCCTGGCGCCGGGGGTGGCGTCAAGCTCGGCTTTGGGTATCACCAGCGTGGATTCTTCGCCTTGGCCCCCTGCCGCCAGTGCTGCTGCCTGAGCATCGCTCGAGCCATCGCCGGTGCTCGCTGAACCTGATTTGTCCGATCCGAGCTTGGCCTTCAACGCTCGGTAGCGTCTTCTCCAGTAAAACAGTCCGATCAGAGACAGCACTGCAAGGATCGCCACGACGCCACCCACTGAGATGCCTGCGATTGCAGCTGTTGAGAGAGCGCGTTCGTCTGCCTCTTCTGAGCTGGACGTGCTGGTGCCGTTGTCTGGGACGTAGATGGTCGTAACGTTTTGGCCGATGCCGAGTCCGAAGACGCATTGCGAGACAGAAAAGTTGGAGCGCTCGTGGTCCACAACGATATACGCCTCCTGGAGAAAGGTACGGCCAAAGACATATTGACTTTCGTTGTGACCACGCCGAATAGGAAAGTACGAGGTGCTTTCTGACAAGCCGCGATATGGCGGCTGAGCCGTGAGGTCGAACGCGGCATATGGGAGGACAATGTCAATCGTATCGCCGCCGCTCGTCGTATGCCCAAGTGTGAATGTCACATTGGCATTTTGGGCCACCAAAGTATCATGCAAAGTGTCGTTTACAAGGTACAGGTCCGTCTGGTTGTCATATGTTAATCCAAAGGCATCCTCAAATCGTTCACAAGCATCGACAGGCAACCAGATCTGCGGAACCGTCGAATCGATGTACATGGTGATAGCAGTTGGCAGGAGGTCGACATTGGGCTTCGTCGCAGACGTCATGCTGATTGCCTGCAGCCCAACCACCGTATCTCGCTCATTGTCCGGCGCGAAGGAAAAGCTCATGTTGTTCGGGGTGAACTTGGATGCATCGTAGCCTCCAAGGGTAAGACTTCCCAGAACCTTGTTCAACCCTGCTATGAAATCAGCAAACAATAAATGCGGACTGGAGGGGGCGTGTCGTCCGTACTGTATTGATTCCCTGCAGTGTAGCCGTATGACAGCGAGGGGATGACTCCCTGGTCCTTTAGCAGTGTCATGTAGCTTGGCGACGGGTTATTGAAAGAGCTGAAGTTTGTCGGCTTGGGATGTAGTCCAAATACACCCAGGAAAAAGTCCAAATCCATCATGGCGCCAACGGTGGCATTGACCAGCGTAGGCCCGTTCTCGCCCTCTCCCATCAGCCCCACTGTCTCATAGCCGTACGTGGCGGCGGCATCATAGCCCAGGTTCCGCTCCGCCCAGGTCGAATAATTCCCTATAGTTTCCCAGGTCGAAGACTGCGAAATGTTGAAGACCCAGCCGCGGTCGGACGGGCAGCTGGTGTCTTGTGTGTAAGCGCACCCCTCGGGTTTGACGACCCATATCTGCTGGCTGGATGTGGCGGGAAAGACGCGCACGAATTGCTGAGGGCTGCCGACGCGTAAAGTGAAGGACGACCACTGGCCATCAATGCCGTCCCAGTTTTGATCCGGAGTGAAGACTAGCGGTGCGGGGACTGCTTCTGCGGCACGGGTCTCCAGCTGGGAAGAGTCACACACGGAAGGGAGGAAGGCGAGAAGAGCGAGGGGCGATAGGGTCAGCGCCCGTTTCGAGGCGCTGAGAAGGGTCATGTCGGCGCAGGTTCGAGGCTTCGATGGAGGCTGCTAAGAGAAAGTCGGCAGTTTGCTGTCATGGTAGCCTGCGCGGTGGTCGTGATGCTAGAGGGACCAGCACACGCGCATCGTGGTACAGATTGGCGCGAAGTCAGGAACGAAAAGCGGGTCGCACGGCGGACCGGACAGGACGAAGAGGGCGGCGGGCTGGCGAGCGGGAGAGCGCGGCAAGTCGAGGGCGTGGTGTGGCTTGGTCCGGGGCGTGGAGGGTGGCAGACGGCTCGCAGCTCCAATGGGCAGTGCAGGCGCAGCGGGGGTTCCGGGCAGCGTCATGCACGTCGTGGGACGGAGGCCAACAGACTTTTGCGACTCCTGGAGATGCTCAGGCAGGGCGGGGGGGGGCGGCGTTCTTGACGCGGCTCAACAGCGCCGGACGGCTGCGCCCTCGTCAGCCTCCTCCCACTTGGCCTCCCACTTGGCCAGCGCCATGGTCGCGCCGGCCGCCGGAGCGGTGCTATATGAGGCCCAATCGCACCGGCCTGCGCGCGCCAGCCCAGAGCTTAGCGCTCTCTCGGCTCCGCTGGCTTCGCCGACGCGTGCGACCCCGTGCCGGCCGTGGGCATGCGAGCGCGCAGCTGGGCGCGGCGAATGGACCCTTTACAGCATGTGGTCAGGCCGCGCCCGCCGCCTAGCGGCCAGACCGCGTTCCGAGTGCGAGAGCGACTGCCGGGGCATCGGCTGCCGGGGTGGCGCTGGGGTGCGTCAGTGGAGGCTACGACGTAGTGCATAGCTCCGCGCCTTGAGCTTGTTAGCCCCAGGCCACGCCACCCCCTCCACACTCGAGAACGGGGACGGCGAGCATTCGGCGGCGCGCAGATACGAGCAAAACGGCCCTTGGGCGGCGTCGCAGGCCAGCGTGTCGGTGGCGGCTGGCGGGCTGGCGGGATGAAACAGCACACGGCTGACCCGACACGCTGTTCTAGGCTGCGAGGATGTGCGCCGATTGACAGGGGCCCCGCTGCTGCCCGGCCGCTGCGCTGCCCTCACTGGCTGCGCAATATAGCATGAAGATCCCGTTCGCGGCTTCCCTTCGCGGTCCGGGGGGGCTATCTCTGCTGCTGCCTCGCTGTGCTGCAGGCCGGGCGCCTCAGCTGAAGCCGTGGGGCCTACTTACACAATCTGACCTGCCGCCGTGTGCCCCCGCCCATGGTTCTGTCCTCCCCCGTCCCTCGCTGATCGTCGGTGCGACATGCTGCTCTCCCGAGCCTTGCAGGCTGTCGTCGCCCTGCACCTTTGCAGTGCCGCGTGCGCTAGCAGGAACCGAGTTAGGCACCCTGGTCAATCTTCCGACGGTATTCCTCCTAGATCTCTCCTATCTCCCGCCGTCTTGGGCTCGGCTAACCCACCCTCAGTTTGGACCTTCTCCAATTCGTCCATCGTTGCCAGCTCTACCACCAGTCCTTCGTTATTGCCACCATCTTCACCAGCTTCGCCGGCGCTCAATGTCCCGACGTCTCCCACGACGCCAGTGCCTGCCGCTTCTTCGGTGGGGCCACTTAGCACCCAAGCAGTGGCCACCAACTCAACCGTGACCCCTGACGTATCCACCCCGATCAACGAACCCAATCATACGTCTGTGGATGCTCCGGCCACGCCTATCCCGACCGCGTCCAATGCTACCAGCGTATATCCTTCAGACACGCCCGTCTCGACCACAGCCGACATCCCCAAAGACAACAGCCTCAACTCAACTGCCACCATTTACACGCCTGCGTACACTCCGAACACGCCTGTCTTGACAACAGCCAATGCCTCCTTTGACAATGAACTCAACTCCACTGCCAGTTTCCCCGTTGTTACGCCAAGTGTGCTCGTCACTAACCAGTCGGGTTCGTTGACTCCAAGTCTCAACCAAACATTCCCGACACTCACTGTATTCACTCTTTCGACGCCTTTCTATGGCTCTGGCACCGGCACTGCCGCAAGGCCAACCTACGTGAAGCCCAGCAACAACTCCAGCAATGGCACCTGTGGTTGCACTGTCAACGTTCGCAATGCTGAAATTGGATACTGGTATTCGCTCGACCAGTACTTCCAGCTCGCCACTTTCTACTCGACATCTGTAGGAACAGGTGTCACCTGGGGATACCAGATGGCAACCACAACCTTCGACCTTATTGAGTCCGTGCAAGAAGGCCTTGTGTCCTACGACGTGACTTCAGCATGGGATCCTGCAACCAATCAGACCACTTACGACTTCTTTTCCGTTACTCTGCCAATGCCAGCAGCAGCCACCACCACAATCATGTCGCTGACTGAGTACTCGCCGGTACCAACCACACCGCTCACGGCCCAGAACATCGTTGATTCGCTCTGGATCGACCTCCCTCCTGCCAGCGTTGCCCTCACTGGCCCTTCGAGCACAGTCTTCGTGGCGCCTTCCGGGACACCTTTCGTCGCTTACTCGAGCTATCAGGTAGAGGAAGCCGAGCCCGTCATCGATGCTTTTGGCAAAGTATCGTGCAAGACATCCATCACATCCTACGCCTTGTCCGAGCCTTATGCCTTTGAGTATAACGGGGATGCGCTAGGCAGCGCCGCAGAGGCCTCAGGGGATATCCCCGCCGACTTCCTTCAGTCAATCCCACAATCAAGCTGCGTTGCAGGAACCTACCAGGGACCAGTCACCATCATCTATATCGTCCATATCATTTACGGTACGCCATGGACACCCTTCATCGGCCACGTTGAGTCCTCGGTTGAACAACTCCAACTACCAACCGTCACTGCTGCCTCTTCGACATACAGGCCCAAGGCACACGTTGAATCGTCTGCAGAAGACTCGCCACCCTCCATCACAACCAAAGGTATTTTCAAAATTTCCACTAAAGGTTTCGATGATTACATTGCCCACATCGAGTCGGCTCTGTCGGATCTCGGTCTCCCCACTGTCATTCTGATTAATACTGAAGCGTCTATCACAGCAGCAAGTCGGACAACTCAGGCTGCCCCTGGAGGCGGTGACGGTGGCAACAGTGTGACCACAGCCCCCGCTACTCGCATGACTCAGAACAGCGGTGACGATGGCACGAGCACCGGTGGCGGCATCCCTGGTCTTGGCCAGATAATTTCTGCCGTCGTGTCCCAAGCCAATGGGGAAGCCGGAGGGTCATCATCCGGCGGGAACTCTCAGGACTCGGGATCTGGGTCTGGCAACTCTGGCTCGGGCAACTCTGGCTCGGGCAACTCGGGATCTGGAGGCTCTGGATCTGGGGACTCCGGGTCCGGGAGTTCGGGATCTGGTAACTCGGGGTCTGGAAGCTCGGGGTCTGGAAGCTCGGGGTCTGGAAGCTCGGGGTCTGGAAGCTCGGGGTCTGGAAGCTCGGGATCTGAAAACTCGGGGTCGAGTAACTCAGGTTCGAACAACTCAGGCTCGAACAGTTCAGGATCTAGCAATTCAGGATCGGGTGATTCTGGTTCTGGAAGCTCAGGCTCTGGAAGCTCAGGCTCTGGAAGCTCATCTGGAAGCTCGGATTCGGGCAGCTCAGGTTCAGGCTCGAGTGGCTCGGGCGGCTCGGGCTCGAGCAATTCTGGATCTGGATCGGGTGACTCAGGATCGGGTAATACTGGTTCGTCTTCAAGTGGAGGGTCCTCAAACAGTGGTTCAAGCTCAAACAATGGGGGCTCAAGTTCATCAAATGGAGAGTCTGGGTCTTCTAATGGAGGCTCAGGGTCATCCAATGAAGGCTCCGAGTCATCAAACGGAGGAACAGGATCTTCTAATGATTCTGGATCTGACTCCTCAAATGGTGGCTCTGGATCTGGAAACATTGGTGGGGATTCGCAAACGTCTCCACCAGTTATTGTTGCAGGATCTCAAATCGCCACGATGGATTCCTCCTCTATATTCGTTATCGGTGGGCAGACTCTATCACCTGGGGGCCAGGCCGTTACCGTGGATGGTACAGTCCTCTCTTTGGCACCTTCTGCAACAGCGGTCGTCATCAATGGTCAGGAATCAAGCCTGGCTGGAGGTTCGACGACGGAGGGTCAAGGACCAGCCGAGATTGGAAAGCCTCCAATCGTTACTGTCGGTTCTGTTGCATACACGGCCAATGCCGCCACGCAATATTACCTTGCGCCTGGACAGACTCTGACTGCCGGTGGTGTTGCGACAGTGGACGGCACTGTTGTCAGCCTCGGACCGTCGGCAAGCTACGTTGTCGTCGATGGTGCAACGCAGACATTCCCTTCGGCTCTTATAACCCCAGCGCCGAATCCGGCATTCGCAGCGGGTGCCACGCCCACCTTCTTGATCGCTGGGCAAACGCTTACACCAGGAGGGCAAGCTGTGGTCAGCGGCACGACAATCTCCCTGGATAGCGGCGCCAATAACCTTGTTGTGAACGGTGTTACGAGAGCGGTCGGAGCTGGTGTTGGCATTGCTGGTCAACCCTTGATAACCGTCGGCGGCACGCCGTACCCTGCTGTGGATGGGACGTCCTTCATTGTTGGAGACCAAGTTCTCACTCCTGGAGGAGTCATTCTCGTAGATGGTACTACTGTCTCACTCGACTCCGCGGACAACACGGTGTACTTTGATGGAGTTGCTTCGTCATTGGACGCCTCGAATCCATTCAGCACCTCTTTTCCCGCTCTCACGGCCGGTGGCAGCACCATCACTCCGCAAGCAATCGATGGCAGCGTCGAATACGTGATTGGGGGACAGACACTTACCCCAGGTGGCTCGATTTCGATGGATGGAACATTCATCTCGCTGGCTCCCGGAGCAACTGCGGTCGTTGTCAATGGCGTCACACAAGCCTTAAATCCCCTGATCGCCACCAGTCTACCAAATGTAGTCGTTGGTGGAACCACTATCGCTGGCGTTAGCAAAGTAGGGAGCGCATACGTTATTGGTGGACAGACACTTGTTCCAGGAGGCTCGATCACGGCGGACGGCACGGTCATCTCATTGGCCCCCGGGGGGACCGCCCTGGTGGTGGATGGCGTCACACAAACTTTGGGTTCTGGGATCGTCACCAGTCTACCAGATGCTGTAGTGGGCGGCAAAACTCTCTCTGGTATCGCGGGAGTTGGTAACACCTATGTGGTTGATGGGCAAACCCTTACTCCGGGTGGATCGATCACAGTAGACGGCACAATCGTTTCGTTAGCCCCAGGGGCAACCGCGTTGGTGATGAACGGTGTCACGCAGAATTTCGGTGTCGGCGTCGTTACCAGTCTACCAAACGTAGTGGTTGGCGGAACAACACTCTCTGATATTGTCGGCACAGGCAGCACCTACGTGGTCGACGGACAAACTCTCACTCCAGGTGGGACGATCATGGTAGACGGTACCATCATCTCTTTGGCCCCAGGAGCAACCGCACTGGTCGTCGGCGGCATCACGCAAGCTTGGGGAGGCACTCTCAGTCTTTCAGACATAGTGGTCGGCGGAACAACGCTCTCCGGCCTCTTCGGGGCCGGCAGCACATACGTGGTCGACGGACAGACCCTCACCATCGGCGGCACCATCACCGTCGACGGAACCACGATATCCTTCCCTTCCGCCACCGCCGTCGTCATCAACGGCATCACGCAAACGCTCGTCTCCCCCGCCTACACGACCAACGCACCCGCCCTCACCATCCGAGGCACCGTCTACACCGGCCTCCCCGGCCCCGGAACCACGTACGTCGTCGCCGGCCAGACGCTCACCCCGGGCGGCCTCATCGTCGTCGACGGCACCACCACCATCTCCCTCAGCCCCTCGGCCACCGCCCTCGTCGTCAACGGCATCACGCAAACACTCTTCCCCGCAACAGCAGCCACCGCCGCGGCTGCCGCCACACGCTTCCCCATCCTTACAATCGCCGGGCACACATACACGGCGCTTTCTAACTCTGGCGCCGGCGGCGGCACGTACGTCATCGATGGCCAGACGCTGACGCCGGGCGGCGAGGTCGTCGTGGACGGCACGACGATATCTCTCGCCCCCTCGGCCACCGCCCTCGTCGTCGACGGCACCACACAATCACTCGCCGCAGCGGCGACGTCATCGTCGTCGACGGATGCGGCGGCTGGGTCGAGGGGGACGGCGGGTGCTGGGGGGACGGCGACAAGGACGGGGGGTGCGGCGGAGTATACGGGGGCTGCTGCGTCGGTGGTGGTGGTGAGTAAGTTGTCGTCTGGTTTGGCTTGTGCGCTGGTGTCTCATGTTTTGATGTGGTGGTTTGCGTGGTAATGTTTTTTCTTCTCCTCTCTCTTCCTCTCTGTCTCTTTTCCCACTCTCCCTCTCCTTTTTCTCTGATATGACGTTGTTTGAAAAGCGTTGGGGGATCTATGAGGTTATGATTTAAAAGTTACGATAATATTCGAGCGAGCGAGCGAGCGAAGTTTTTCAAAAGATCGAAAAAGATTGTAATATCTATCTGTAGTGGATAGCCTTTTTGTTTCACACACTCACACATTTACAGACTTTCCTTGAAGTAGATAGGAATAGGTGTGCCGAGGAGTCGGAGCTGGGAGCCGGAGTCTTAGCGGTAGCAGTTCACAATATTCAACATTTCTTGCAACATGGCATACAGGTGGTGAGCATAAGTGATGTTGTGGCCGCAGATTCGTCATGTAGGATACCGGATTATAAAGGGAACGATGTATCAGAAATGACAGGATAGCCCATCTTGGAAAAGTAAATAAAAAAAATAAAAAAAACGGTCCCATCAGCACCCCTTCTCCTTTACCTGTAGTATCTGATATATCGTCAAGGAAAATTAAAAATAACAGGACGTCCTTCTCGATCAGACAAAAACAAAAGCGACTACCAGACGTGATGCAGATATCAAAGCTTCGCCTTCGCCTCCAACGCCTCCCTCCTCGCCAGCTCCCTCAAATCCTTCCTCAGAATCTTACCAGACGGACTCTTCGGCACCGCCGCGACGAACGCCACGCCGCCACGCAAGCGCTTGTAATCCGCCACGTTCCGCGCGACGTACTCCTCAACCTGCTTACCGGATAACGACGACGACGCTTGGCCGTCCTCGGGCTGGGCCACGACGACGTAGGCGCGCGGCACCTCGGTGCCGGCTCCTTCATCGACGGCGTCGGCGGGGACGCCGATGACGGCGGCGTCGAGGATGCGCGGGTGGGCGAGCAGCACGGCCTCGAGCTCGGCGGGGGCGACCTGCAGCCCCTTGTACTTGATGAGCTCCTTCTTGCGGTCGACGATGTAGAACTTGCCGTCGCGAAACACGGCGACGTCGCCGGTGCGGAACCAGCGTCGCCCAGCAGCTCCTCCTTCCGCTCCTCCTCCCGCTCCTCCTCCCGCGGCCGTACTGGCCGGCAGAAACGCCTCGGCGTTGGCCGCGTCGTCGCGGTGGTAACCATTCGTGACGACGGGCCCGCGGACGAGCACCTCGCCGGGCTGGCCCGGGTCGACGTCGCGGCCGGCGTCGTCGACGAGGCGGGCGGAGTGGTTGGCGATGAGGCAGGCGACGCTGCCGGTGGTGTCGGTCTCGCCGTGGGGGAGGAGGGTGATGCTGCCGGTGGTTTCGCTGAGGCCCCAGGTCTGCACGATGGTGGTGGCGCCGCCTTTGCCGAGCTTTTTGCTCGCCGCGAGCTGCAGGTCCTTGCCGAGCGGGGCGGCGCCGCTGACGGCGTGCTGGAGCGTGGCGAATTGGTCGGTGACGGCGGGGTGCTTGGCGATGGCGAGCCAGATGGGGGGGACGGTGAAGAAGGCGGTGATGGCGTGTTGTTTGTTGTAGGCGAGGAAGTTGGGGAAGTCGAACTTGGGCATCCAGTAGACGGTGCCGCCCATGTAGCTTTTGCGCGGGGGTTTTCGTTAACTGAGTTGTTGTTTTTTTTTTTTTTGAGGGAGAGGGCCGGGTTGGCCGAGCTGACTTACAAGGGGTTGATCAGGTAGCCCTGGATGCCGGCGATGTGTGCGGTTGGCAAGTGGGCAAGCGTGCGGTACTCGAAGGTCGGGTTGTTCTCTTGGTTGTACGCTTTCCAGGGGTCGAGTGCTGTGCAAGCCTCGGATGTGACGTTGGCGTGCGAGAGCTTAACGGCTTTGGGGAGACCGGTCGTGCCGGACGAGTAGATGAGGATGATGAGGCTCTCTTCCAGGGTCTTCTTGTCTGTAATGACCTGCCACTCCAAGCTCTTTTGGCCGACGATGTTTGTACCGTCGGACGCGCGATTGAGGGCGTATTCGCCCCCATTGGGGATGACAAGGACGCGGTCAAGGGGCAGACGGACGTCTTTGGCGGCGGCAATGGCAACAGGCTTGGTGTCCTCGTTGCAGATGAGAAGGTTGCTGTCGCCCTGGCGCAGCTGGCGAGCAAGGTCTGCGGGGGTAGCTGAGGGGCTCGCTGCGGAGAAGACGCCCCCTGCGCAAACGACGCCGTAGAAGGCCACGGGCAAGAGATGGTGGCCGGTGGAAATGCAGGTCACAACGTCTCTATCCGGGCCGCTGGCTCCGATGCCAAAGTGGTTTCGTAGAGCATAGCCGGTCTGCTTGGTGAGGATGCGAGCTTGAAATTTGGTGACAAGGTGGTTTGGATTGGCGGCAGAGACGTGGAGGGGTGTCTCTTCCTTGGCAGACGAGTGATGCGACTCTGGTGGCGGGTTAGAGACAGAGCAGGACAAGATAACAGGCGGGTTCACAGGCTGTACCGAACAGAAGGGTCAGAATATCCAAGTTGGGAATAGAGTATGTTGCAGGGCAGCGATAGATGATGCCCTCGGGCGTCTTTTCGACGACAGTGTACATTCCCTTTGGTTGCGAAGCCATTGCTGATAGAGTGTATGTATGTACAGTACAAGTCAAGGTGGGTAATGGCGGGAGCTTATGTCGTGCCAGAGAGCTTAGACCTCGGGACCCTGTTCTCCAGCTGCACCCCGCATTCTCCGCAGAGTCGGATTTAAGCCGGATATGTTCGACTTATATAATAGAGAGCGTCCGCTGCCTAATGAGCTGCGTGACGATCGCGTGCATTTTGAGCGCTGCAATTATCGGGTTGCGTCATCCCTGATTCGCGACTAGGCAACGTCTCCACCGATCGTCGAGAGCGTTCGTAGGAGGCTTTTGAATTCTTCTGGGGGGACGGAGCATTGAGGATATTCTTTCGAAGGATAGTGGTGGGAGTCCAGCTGATGCATGGGGTCTGGGCGCAGGAGAGTTTCGGGTATGCAGGTAAGTGGCACTTCCGAGGCTGCGGATAATCAGGGCGTACTAGCTACTAAGCAGCCTCGGCGGACAAACGTTGTTACGTGGGTCCGTTACTAAGGTACTAGCTAGGTACCTAGAGCTCCTTCCCTTCTTCGCTGGAAGCCGGCGGCGCTTGCCTGGCGTGCCCCGCGTCCCCCGCTTCGTGTATCGTCGCATTGATAGGATATCTGACGGCCAACGCCGACCACTCCGGATAAGACTGCCCGCCATGGACTGCTTCACGCATCCTCTGCCGCTGGACGCAATGTATCGTCGTTCATCGCATTGAGAGCCCTCAGCCGACATCCTTGCCCCCCAATGGCAGCCGTCGACGACACCATTCCCATCACCAGCAAGGCTCTCGTCGCCCGTGGGCCCTTCTCTCAGGGCAAATGGTCCATCGAGGACGTAACACTCCGCGCGCTCAAGCCAGACGAGGTCGTTGTCGAGATCGTCGCCTCAGGCATCTGCCATACCGACCTGCACTGCGGCAACACGCCAGATGACCAGGGCGTGCCCGCCGTCTATTACCCGCGTGTCCTGGGACATGAAGGTGCGGCCGCTACATCCTACCTATACAGCCATTGCTGACACGGCCACTCCAACACCGACAGGCTCCGGCTACGTGCGCCGCGTGGGCAGTGCCGTGACGGGCGTTGCGCCGGGCGACCCCGTCCTCCTCTCGTTCTCTTACTGCGGCTCGTGCCACGTCTGCCGCACCGGCCCGCCGTCGCACTGCAAGACCTTCTTCGACATAAATTTCATGGGCGAGCCCGTCTTCTCCCAGCCCAATGAAGGAGGAAAGCCGACCATCGGCGGTCGCTTCTTCGGCCAGTCCAGCTTTGCCAAACACACCATTGTCAGCGACAAGTGCATTGTCAACGTTGCAGGGCTAGGCCTTGACCGCGACGACCTGAAGCTGCTGGCGCCGTTGGGATGCGGTCTGCAGACGGGCAGCGGCACCGTCGTGAATGTCCTCAAAGCCGGCGTGGAGGATGAGATTGCCGTGGTGGGCATGGGCGGTGTGGGTTTGGCGGCCGTCATGGTAAGCAATTCTTGGCCATCATCATCACTCCGTGTGTTTCCACCTTAACAAGGAGCGGCAACAGGCGGCGAAGAATCAAGGCTGCAAGTCCATCATCGGCATCGACCGCGTGCAATCGCGCCTGGACCTAGCCAAATCCCTCGGCGCTACTCACGTCATCAACACCAGCACACTGCCGGCATCTTCCTCGGATGATGAACTGGTCGCCGCTGTCCTCGCCGCAACTACCGACAACCTCGGCGCCACCGTCTCCATCGACACTAGCGCGCACCCGCCGCTCGTCGCGGCCCAAATCGCCTTCACGCGCTACATGGGCCGCGTCGTGCAGGTCGGCACCGGCATGCCCGACGCACACCTGTCGCTCCACATGCAGAGCTTCATGGTCAGCGGCAAGCAGTACTTCGGCGCCGTGCAGGGCCACAGCCGCCCACGCGACTACATCCCCCGCATGATCGCCTGGTGGCGGGATGGCGTTTTTCCGGTGGAGAAGCTGGTGCAGTTCTTTGATGTTGCTGATTTCAAGAGTGCTGTCGATGTCATGGGGAATGGGAGCGTGGTGAAGCCTATTATCGTGTGGTGAGGGCGGCGAAAGCGGTTAGAGGCATGACGCGCTGTGCTGCGAGCAAGCTCAACTCTACCAGCAGCCTCTTCCAGTAAGCCTTCGGGATGAACATCTTAACGAGAACTTCTCGATCAAGTCCAGCGTCGGTAACTTCGAATCTATCAACACCCAAATACCTCCCAAAATCCAATTGGATATTGTTAGCAACATAACTACCACATACGGACAATTCGAGTAGCGTTTGAGCGTTTGAGCCTCGAACTTTGCAAGCACGGGCTTTCAGAGGAGGTGCTAGGTACTTCAAGGGCTTTCATTGGTCAAGAAGTACTATCTAGCTCCCTAAATTGCTAAACATGTCGAAAGCCCAAAGTATTTCATATGTCCGAGGTCCAGAAACAGTAACCCCGAGCGTCTACGCCTATGTCCGAGATAGTATATCTCGTTGTACAAGATCCGAGACAGGACATGATTTCGCACAGTCAAAGTTCCGTACCTGAGGACGATGCTGCTTTTTTTTTTTTTTTTTCAGAGATCAAAGTCTGTATCCGCTGGGTTGCAATCTACAGAAGAGAGCAAAGACGACGCTGGAAGTCGAGGGGAGAGATGATTTCTACGACATGTCGGCAGCATCCTCCAGAACACTGGGGAGGCGTCCAATCAAAAGCTCGATAAAGCACATGAGTCACTAAGACGGTTTAAGAGGCTGAGTTGGCGGCTATACGCTCCGAAAATGCCTAAGCCGGTTGGTAGTACTCCGGGACAACGGCGAACACACGCGTCGGAACACCACGCGGCGGTCTGTGCCCGGCCAAACACTGCCGATAGATAGAACAGCTTACGCAGCTCACCGTCTGTGCCACGGGGCGGGTTACGAATGCCAACGAGGTCATTGGTGGTTCAAGGTGCACCACCCAACGCTAAGCACCTCGACAATCTAGACCAAACGTCTTTGCGTTCAAGCTCGTGATACTCGGAGCTACTACGTGGATGCGAAGCTTCGTTTGTATCTCTTGCCTTGACTGCCGTGGTGTTGTCGTTCTGCAGCCGGCAAACATGGGTGGTTTCTTGGTGTTTTCGGCCGAGAGCATACGCACCTCTACTTGTTCAAAGAGCGTTGATAGAGAAGCGAAACGCTGGGAGAACAACGAAGCAGAGCATATGGACAAGTTTTCCTCGAACGCTTGGCAGAAGCTTCGATAGGAAAGGAGCAGCACGCTAGGAAGGATGCTGGCTTGGCCCGAGTGCACCCCTGCCACTTGTTGACGACGCTTTTTACGCAGCTACATGCCCGAAAAGTGATGCCTTAGAGGGCGGAGCACACGGCACGAGTGTATATCTGCTGTACTTCGCCGCCGCCATGTAGCTCAGTATCGCGCTCGTTCGAATTCCGACCTTCTCATTCAGTTGCAGCCTTTCTTTCAACATGGTCAACATCACCAAGTTCACCGGCGCTGCCGTCGCCGCTAGTCTCTTTGCCTCGGCCGCCGCTCACCCCGGCGAGCACCACGACCACCATGCCATCAAGCGCGAGATCTCTGCCCGCGCTGCCCGCGCCTCCAACGCCAAGCGTGCCCTCGACAACTGCAACAATGCTGCGAAGCACCAGGCCTTGGCCGCCCGCTCCCACGCTCGTCGTGCCCAGATTGCCCGCGACCTCCGTGAGAAGCGCGGCATTGCGAACAGTGAGCAGTACCTACTTCCGCCGCGATACAGACGATGCTGACGCCGCGACAGAGCCCAAGAAGTTCCGCCGTGACCTCGCTACCCTCGAGGAGTTCGAGGCCGTCAACCACAACATGACGGGCATCAGCGAGTACAACCAGTTCACCGACGCGCATACCATCTTCGGCGCCAACACCTCCTGTATCCTGGCTCCCGAGGTCACCGACGGCCCTTAGTCAGTTCTCCCCTGCCCGTCATTTTGGTGAAAGTGGTTGCTGACAGCAGTGGAACAGCTACGTCGTCGGTGAGATGATCCGCAAGAACGTCAAGGAAGACCTGTACTCGGACGGTGTCGACCTGTACCTCGAGGTGCAGTACGTCGACATTGAGACTTGCGAGCCTGTGCCCGACGTCTACGTCGACATCTGGAACGCGAACGCCACGGGCGTGTACTCGGGCATCTCCGTCAGCGGCAACTACGCCGCCGGTGGCTATGACTCGACCTATCTCCGCGGCATCCAGGTCACTGACCAGGACGGTGTCGTCGGATTCGAGACCATCTTCCCCGGCCACTACGACGGTTCGTCGGGCTCATCCCTTTCCCCACCCGTTCAACCAGCTAACGCCCCGGCCAGGCCGCGCAACGCACACTCACCTGCTCGCGCACATGAACGTGACCGTCTTCCCCAACAACACCATCTCGGACACGAACAACATCACGCACATCGGCCAGCTCTTCTGGAACGAGGAGCTGCGCACGGCGGTCGAGGCCGTCTACCCGTACACGACCAACGAGCAGGCCGTCACGTCCAACGCCGACGACATGTGGGACATTGTGCAGGCCGACACGTACTACGACCCCTTCCCGGAGTACCTCTACCTCGGCAGCGACGTCACCGACGGCCTGATGGCCTGGATCCAGATCGGCATCAACACGTCGGCCAACTACATCGACGACGACTACTACTCGGTCGCCGCCTACATCCAGGCCGACGGCGGCCACGAGAACGAGAACAGCGCCACCGGCTTCGGCGGCGGCGGCGACGGCGCCAACGGCACCATGTCCGGCGCGGTCCCCTCGGGCACGCCTCCTTCCTCTTAGATTTATGTGTTTTTCATCATGGTAGCGTTTTGTTTTTTTTTTTTTTTTTTTCAAAAAAAGAGCCTTATTCCACTGGGCATGTTAGAAATGTAGCGTGTTATTAGAAAGGAACGCTTGGGTGCCAAGCGGCTCCTTATTATCCAAGACTCCTCCAAGCATTTTCGCTCCGTGCCAGATCCCTTGCCGTGGTGTTTGCTCTTTGTCTCTCGTGCCCGGTGCATCAAGAAGCCCCCCTCTCCGCAAGCGGCCTGACGGCAATAAGAAGGGAAACACGACCCCTCCCACACAAAGGCTTTCTTTCTGCGTGTCGCTCCGACGCAGGATGAACCATGGCCGCCCAAGGCTTCTGGGACCGCCATGTCCATTCGTCCTCCTCGACGCTCCGCAACATGATGAACATGAAGTACCCGGTGCTCACGCTGCTCCTGGTGTGGGCGCTGCTGGCCTTTTTGATCTTCACCACCAGGTCGACCGTGTTCCTGTACGTTGTCGTCGTTTCCTTTTCTCTCTCTCTCTCTCTCTCTCTCTCTCTCTCCCTCTCCCCCTCAGAAAGAAGAAACGCTAACCATCCCATCTTCCCACCACCCAGCGGCTCCCCCAAGTCCACCACCACGACGAGCATCTGGGAGCAAAACCCCTCACTCTGCCGCAACCCGTCGCACCCCACCCTCCGCAACGAATCCGACTACAACACGCAGCTCTCTTCCCAATCGCCCGTCCGCATGGGCAAAGTCACCGTCCTCTACGGCGACGTGCACCCGACGTACGAGCGCGCGCTGCGCACGCACCAGCTGCACAACCGCATCCACGGGCTGCGCGAGTTCGTGCTGCGCACGCAGGTCGTCGACGGCGTGTGGAACAAGCCCGCCTACATCCTCTCCGTCCTCGTCGACGAGCTCGCCAAGCCCGACCCCGCCGCCCGGCTCGAGTGGCTGCTCTGGGTCGACGGCGACACCGTCGTGCTGAACCCGTGCGTGCCGCCGTCGCGCTTCCTGCCGCCCACCAACAACGACTTCGACAACCCCATCAACGCCATCGTCACGCGCGACTGGAACGGCCTCAACAACGGCATCTTCCTGCTCCGCGTCTCGCCCTGGTCCCTCGAGCTCTTCGCCGGCATCGTCGCGTACCGGCAGCTGCGGCCCGGCGAACCGCTCACCTTCCTCGACCAGAGCGCCATGGAGCACCTGCTGCGCGAGGAGCGCTTCCGGGACAACGTCGCGTACGTGCCGCAGCGCTGGTTCAACGCGTACCACGCGCTGCAGAACGAGACGCTGACCCCGGCCAGCATCCGGCGCGGGGACTTCCTCGTGCATTTCGCGGGCAGGGGCCGGCGCAGGGAGGAGATGGAGTTTTGGCTCGGGGTGGCGGAGAGGCACGCGCCGGATTGGGAGTTGGACTTTTGGCGGACGGGGTATCCCGAGGATATTGGGGGGTTTTGGGAGGAGTGGGGGAGGGGGAGGGGGAGGGATGGGGGGGTGGAGTTGGATGGGGTGGTGTGAGGGGAGAGGGAGGAGGAGGAAGAGGAGGAGGAGGAGGAGGAAGAAGAAGAAGAAGAAGAAGACGGTGATGAAGAGAGAGGGAGAGAAACACGGAAATTTTTGCGAAAGGGGTTGATCTCTGGTTGCCGTTCGTTCCTTTTCCTTTTTTTTTCTTTTCTTTTCTTCACTTGTTCTGATTCGGGTTCTGTTGTTCCCTGCAGCTTGGGAGTCCGGATGGCGGATGCTGTGGAGGAATGTGGGTGCGTTGTCTTGTCAGGGACGGCGAGTGGTGGTGTTCTGGTCAGGGACGCCACCTGCTAAGGCTTGATCGAAGCAAGGGCGGCTCCCCTCCCCAAAGGGTCTGAAGAACAACATGCCATACCCCGCGGTTCCAATAACACGGTAACCTGAGTCCTCCTTCTGTAAACCAAGGAAGGCAAGGTCAGGGGCGTTCAACATGTCAATGGGAGAGGAGAAGAAACGATGAGACGAAAACAAAACAAAACTCAATGTGAGGCGCACTTGATCCAAAAACCCTTGTCGAATAAGCGTAGCTGTGAATGGCAGCTTTCTGTGTCCAGAAACTAAGAGTTGCGCCATGCAACCTTATCCTTCGTATGCTGCAAAGACGAGTGAAATAGAATTTCTCGCGATATGAAGAAGATGCTAGGCCGCTCCTTGAACATTACGAAACCGTCAAATATAGTGGTTTCTTCAAGCAAGCCGGCGAGAAGTCGTGCGTGACTGCACTCCGTGTAATTTTCCAAGTTTCGAAGTGCTGTTGTGTCCAGAGAACAGTGTAACCAAGAATCACTATATCCTACCGCCCCCGTCGGCCGAGGGTTGACTGTTGGACCCCACCACACACAGCCCTATAGCCAGAAGGATGCTTCCGGAATTGTTGATTGATAGCCACAAGATATTCCAACTCCTGACACAGCGCTGTGGATAATATTGGCTCATGGACGGCCGAGCCAAGCGGCGCAGCACACGTGGCAAACACGGACGGCAACCTCTAACAAACACCCCGACCGACCGACCGACATTCCGAAGACGGGGCGGGACGGACGAAGGCCGCTCCCATGCGCTTGCTTTTCCCATGCCGGTTGCACATTGCTGGCGTGTCCGTGCAGCTGATGCGGGCGTTTATTACTGCTCGCGCAAAGCCGAAGTGGCCGTCAAAGTAAAACGGCCGCAGCGTGCGTGATGGACGACGAATCGTACTGATAACCCTGTATTATGGTTACGTCCGTATGGTGGAGCGCGAGGGTAACGTGGTCATTTTCAGCAGCAGGATACGTATCCTCCTCTTCATCTTGAGCGGCGTCATGGGTTGGAAAAACAATCGAACTCCTCTTTCGTTGAACGAATGCCGCATGTACTGTAGCCTCAGACTAGCGGTCACTCTTAAATTGAAGTAGGAGGATGATCAGAAGATCTGTGGAACTCGGTCCTGCAGTGAGCAGGCCTCCACATGTCAGCCCTCAATGAACGGAGCGGTGAGAGGGTTAAGGAAGCGCCAGAAGCGCGAGTGTGTGTGCCTTCGCATGGGTCAAACAAGGTCACGATGCATCGGGCGATCTACCTACTGTGACCTTTGTGACCCACATGGCCGCGAAGCTAATCTTTTGCTGTGGGTGGGGTCTCCGCCCGTCTCGTATCGAAGTACTGTGATGTTCTCGTCCGATAATTGACGGAAAATCTAGGCTAGCTTTCCGCACAGGGCGTCGTGTGGAGGGATTCCGAGTCCAGAAACAAAAATCGCTGACGTAAGTCCACTACACGGGTGGGGCTTTCCATCATCTTTCTTTACCACCACGAGATTAATCTCAAGGAGAAACCCAAAAGATCCGGTATGCGCATTGGTGCCGTGGGGAGTCCTTTCCATTGTCCATGTGCCTGGTTCCGTGGCATAGATTTCCTTCGGAGCCGAGCCGACTGTCAATTGCATTCGTCATAGATGCCAAAATGCTGCGTCCGACGCCTCGTAGCCCTCCAAAACGACACGTGTCAAGAGCCTCGTATGACAGGACAAAAGAGCAAGCTGCGTTGTGTCAGCAAGAAAAAACATAAACATTATCCTGTGGTATCTCAAATAAGCTTAAAATAGCCCGTGCAAAGTCCGTCCTTCGTGAACACCCCCTCCGGATCTACACTCCTCTGAATCTCTTTTAACCTCTCTACGTTCTGCTCGGCGTATCCAGAAAAGACGTCGTCACGTTCCGAGTCGGCGTAGTTCATATAGATGTACTTGTGGAAAACTCCAAGTTCTTGAGCCGATGCCCTCGATTTTGCAAGGAATCGCTCGCGGGACGCGTAGATGGCATCGTCTTCCTCGGCGTCGGTCCAGCTCGTGGCCACATTTGCGACTGCAGGTGGAATTAGTAAAGTTTCAAATCTTATTGCTTCCTCTTGTTTCACCAAGAAGAAGGGCGCACGACGTACGGGTCAGCGGAGAACTGGATTCGAGCCCAATCGCGTTGCCTCCGCGTACTTTCATATTACTGATGGAAGACAGCGGGACGGGCTGAAAGGTCAAGGCCGGAGTCGCCGTCTTTCCTTGGGTCTTCAAGATTTCGATTTCCTCCTGGAAGAACTGAACCATACGTCTATCCTGCTCCTTGGACGGGTAAAACGTCATTGATGCCATGTAGTTCCTGTCCATTTCCAGTCAGCACGTCGTGGCTCTGGATTCACTGGCCCTTTTGAGCCTCGCTCCACGAGCTCTTACGTACCGCTTGCCGGCTGGCGTCCCGTGCTTCAATTCCATGCTGAAGTCGCTCATTACTGATGTCCTCATCGTATTTCCCATTGGCTCAACCTTATCCAGGGTGCTGTACACAAGCGGTTTTTCCTCGGGTTGCAAGTACATCTCCTGGGAGAGGGCCAAGGTGACGTTCTTGTCGGCCATGTAGATGTAGCCAATCCAGTAGCCGATATCCGGGCTGGTGCTGAAGGTGAGATCATACGAAGCGTCGATCAGGGCATCCATCTTGTCCGGGGTGTAGAACTTCTGGCCGCCGTAGATTTTACCCTGACGCACGGTGTTGAGGGTGAAGTGGGTGACGATGCCAAAGTTGTTGCCGCCGCCGCGGAGAGCGAAGTAGAGGTCCGGGTTGGTGTCTTCGCTGGCAGTGACGATGGTAGCGTTGGGCAGGACGACTTCGTATTCCAGAATGTTGTCCAGCGCCCAGCCGTACTTTGCAGAAAGGAAACTGACCCCACCTCCCATGGCGAGCCCCCCAACTCCAACATCGTCGACCCTTCCACCGATGACGGAAAGTTCATACGGTTCCAGAATGCGGTAGACATCACCCCAGATTGCGCCGGTGCCCACGCGGGTTCGGGTCTTGCTGTCGGCCAGCTCGACCTGGTTGATGCGCTTCAAATCGACGGTGACGCCGCCAACGGAGTTGGAAGCGTCTCTGCTGGACGTGTGGCCGCCGCTCTTGACGGCAAACTTGCACCAGCTGCTGGCCAGGATGCCCAGGACGGCAGCGACCTCGTCGGAGTTGGCGGGCTCGATGCGGCAAGCACGGTGAGAGGCCAGCTGCTTCGCATCCCAGACGGTAAAGTTTCCATCGGCCTGAGGATAGTGGAGCTTGGAGCCGAAGTCGATGGCCAGGGTGGCGCACTGGATTTGCTTGGCAATCAGAGATGGGGTCTTGAACATCAACACAAAACAGGTAAGAGATTACCGCTACGTCGCAGCCGGCACCGGCCGAGACGGCGAAGAACTGGGCCTGGGCAGCGCGGGCGAGAAGGGCCAGCGGGAGCACAAGCAGGGAGCGGAGGGCCAGGGCGGGGAGGAGGGCAGCCATGCTGGCTGGAGCCAGGCAGAGAAGGTGCTACAGGGCGATACAGGGCGCAGCTCGGCGGGTTTGGGGGGACGGCGAGGACGGCTTCGCATCAAATAACAGGGTGTAAGCAGCGCGCCAAGGCGGCAACTTGCGGCGCTGCAAGCGGCTCTAGTGGTTAGCCAGTCTGGCCTGGGGAGTCGAGGCAGGAAGGAGCGAGGGCTGGCGGGGTGGTCGCGTCCCGGGGCCGGAAACGCAGCGGGCTACGCGCCTTCCGGGCGTCGGTTACCGGGCGCCATGGCGGCCGACGCGACGGGCGGCGGGAGGCTGAAGGTTGATGCTTGCGTGCGCGCTGGTGGTGGGTTCGAAGGGCTGAAGGCAAAAGGAGAATGCCGGTCGGAGATGAGTGAGGCGGTCCCCACGCCCGACTGGTGCAAGCTCCCGCCGGTGATCACGCCAGGGTTTAGCCAGCCGACTGCCCACCCTGCCCGCGCCGCCCACACGCCCTCCGCGCCGTCCATTTTCGTCAGCGATGGGCAAGGCCAGCACGGCCAGCACAGGTGCACATCCGCCGGTGCGCGGCGCAGTTCAGTGCGCGCCTCCACGCTCTTCTGCGCTGCGCTGCCCGCCAGGCAGGTTCCGCGGCCATCCCCGCACTCCAGGCCTCCCTTTGCGCCCGCCTACCTACCTACTAGTGCCATCGCCGCCTGCCCGCGAGCCGCAAGCAGCCGCCCTCCAGCCAGCACCACGGCACCACGCCGCCAGGCACACCCGCCGCCAGGCGCGCGCGTTATCTACTATATCTCGGCCTGCGCCCAAACGTGCGCCCACACCCACGTTGCATCGCTAAACCCTTCGGCTCCACGCCGCATCACACGTCAATCTCCCGGCTGTGCGGCCATTGAGCCGCCAATCCCCAGCCCGCCACTCTGGTTCACCAGTCTTGGCTTCTCCAAAAGCACGCCCCCCGACGAGAGCACCTGCATGATCCACCCTTCGTGTCTCCAGTTGATGGACTGATGACTTGAAACAACCGTATGTACACTTCGTATACCGCCGATGCTTCCTTGCCAACGCCTACCCAGCGAGATCGGAATCCAGACAGATCACCGGCATGCCCGAAAGGACGGCAAATCCCACCGAATAATGGCTTACGCAGCCACTGCACAAATCTGAAAAGACGGACGAAAAAAAAAAATTTCCACAATCTGAGAGGCGGTGCATGACCGTCAATCCCGATCTGGTCCATTCCCCATTTCGCTGCTGACGCACGCGGGGAGGGTCGAGACACCGCACGCCCTCTCTCCCTCCCCCCTCTCTCTTCACAACAGCACAGGGCGGCCGCACTCCCCGGCCTCAATGAGCCATCTTTATCTCCGTGCTCCCACTTGCCAAGCGTGCAGAAGAGTCAGGGCCCAGCAGCTTATCGATCGGCTGTAAATCCGAGCACCCACGCCTCCCTCCGCCCTACGGAAATATGAGTCGCCCACGCTCGGAACGTTCCGTGCGTCAAACCGTAACGTCGACTCGTCCACGCGGCCAGACTCTCGATTCTCAGCCATAACGAATCCAGACCGACTCCCGCCCTCCCGCCCTCCAGAGTCCAGATCTCTTGCGACGGCCGAACGAGCACGCTGCTTCTTTAATAAAGCTAGTAGCATCCTTTCGCAACGAGGGTCCCCCGGTCCCTCTCTCGGGGTCCATAATTCCATAGTAACGGTCTGTATGATCGACAAATTGCGCCAGTCGCTGTCCCTCGGTCTGCGGAGCAAATTGTGGAAGCAGAGCCAACGTCATTGATGAAGAAACGCATGTGAATGGCGCACCAAATGCCTTTTACAGCAAAATCTACCGACACAAGGCATGCAGCAGAAGTGTGAACGGCCAATCCTCTCTCATGCAACAAATGCCACCCCGATGCAGCAACCTTCGCGAAGCATCGTAATTCTCTCGTGTTCCACGGGGTACTGAGACAGCCAACGAGAGAGCCGGCTTGAGTCGTCGCTTAGTCCACCCCGTATCGAGCTAGGGCCGAAGAAAATCCACGATCGAGGGAGCGCAACATGGTTGGCTAGGTATCCCCCAACCCGGTGGAATAATAAATACGTTGCTATGAATAGGGCTCTCTCACACTCACCGCATCACCCAACAAAGCCGCCCCTGCGCTTCTCTCTCACACACACTCTCTCTCACACCTCGGACCGAGTGCGAAAGCCGCGGACTCGCTTAGACTTCAACAAGTCGCTGCTGCATACCTGCTGCAACCCACAGCCACACTTGTCAGATCGAAGTTGGCCAGGATGCTTGCATTGCGATCTCGCATTCGGCTCGCACCCACGCTTAGAAGACAAACGGGCGTCTGGCCACAGGACAGGGGACGGTTGATCTGGCGTTTGATCATCACTCAAATCTCATCACGGCAGGCATCTGGCCTGGAAATGCTTGCGCGATGAGGCTCACCCAACGGATGTGGAAAGGAACTTCGCATTGATGAGCAACGCTTTTCGACAAACGTCTGCTGCTCGCACTTCGGGGGCAATTCAGTTGTGTTGTTGTTGTGGGTCATCTGAGACGACGCCGCGGAGATGATGATTGTAGATCCTGCAGCCCCCAACTCCAGCAACGAAGGGAAAGTAAATAAGGAATGGTGTATGTACATAAGCCAAGAGGGAAAAAAGAAGGTGATGCCATCCACAAGAACCACGCGCAAGGACACATTGTAATCATTATCAAGTCTGAAAGCCCTCGTTAATCCTGCAATTTCATCCTCCCACTGGGCTTCAGAATCGCTGGTAGGAGACGAACAACAACACGATGTAAAACCACAACTCCTTATCGATATTCACACGCACAGTTAGAAATCATACCCATCCTTCCCGTACTTGTTATACTTCTCATGGAGCTCCTAAACCCCGCATCAGCATCTCTCTCAAACCCCCTTACATAAGACGGCAACGACTACTCACCTTCGGCAGATTGACACCCGGGATGACGGCAGCATTCAGCGCCGACGGGGCCTCTTTGGGCGTCCTGTGCACATCGCCGCCAGGGTAATACATGTACTTGCCAGACGCGCCGGCCTCGCGCCAAGGCTCCGAACCGGGCACGGCGGGCACGCTGCGGGCGTCGCTCGAGCCGGTCGGGTTGCCGGCTATGAGGCAGCAATAATTAGAGCGATTGAACAAGTAATCAGTAAGCGACGCGTGATCGCCGGAAGGATCAGTAGGGAGGGGTGCTGCCAGTGTATAATAGGCAAGGCAAACTGTTCGTATGTACATACCGAAATAGTAGGCGAACGCGCTCACGGCGCCGAGGGTCACGGTCAGGATTCCATACAGCTCCGGGTCCAGCTTTGCGAAGCGGGTGAACAGGTCTTTCGTCTGCTCGGGCTTGATCGGGGTCGTCGTGGACGCTTTGCGGATGGCGGCGGCGGCGGCGGTGGCTGGAGGACGAAGTGCGGGTAGAGTGCGGGGAAACGGTAGCTGGCGCGCAGCTCGCGTGGTGGTGGTACGCGTGAGAGACAACATGTTGGCGGTAGGGCTCCGATGGAGTGACGAACAAAGCTTGATGTTTTCAGCTGCGTGAGGAGTAGACTGCTGGATATGACCGAATGGACGATTTTCGGCCGACTATGTGTGGGGTTGTCGAATATATAAGGTACCGAGCGGGATCTAAGCTTGTGTGGTCGACGCCGTAAATAAGCTCTACTTGTGCGAACCTAGCATCTGCGGGGTTTGCTAGGATTCGAGTGCCAACGATTGGATTCGCCAATAACATAATTGACAGGGAACCGCTCAGCCGAGTACACACGCCACATTACTTGGATGGTAATGATCCATCTGATCCTTCATGGGAGCTGGACAGAGGGTATTGCCCACGATTTGAATGAAACTCGATGCCCAGTGATTCAATGCAATTCGGAGAACTCGTCTCGTTGCCACCGCATAAATCAAGTTTGGTTCTGTGGGCTTACACCAAATAGGCCAGAAGAACCGGTATTCAGGGTTGTGTCGTTTTCGGCGTGTCGATACTCTCTCAAGCATTTGGAGCATAGGCAGGGTCCCTCGAACCAGGGCCAGAGAATCTGTTGCCTTTCCTCAAGAGGGACTTCTTCAACGCTGACATAGCTATCGAAAAGCTCCTCACCTTCTTCGATGTGTCGTCTGGCGAAGAAGCTCATGGTTGTTGTGTCTTCATGCCAGCATTCGACATTCGGATCGCAGCTGTGATTGAAGAAGGGCATCAGGGGTGAAATTGAATCAATCCAGCCTCCTCCGTTCTCCGGCCCTCTCGAAAATCCCTGCTTGTTGTTGGCAAGACGGGTCCAGATGGTGTGAATGATCCAAGTATCGAAATTTGGATTGGCGAACACGTCCACCTCCAGCTGCAGGAGGATCTGAATGGGACGAACCACTGTTTCGGTTAGGGTGAAAACGTCCAGGTGCCGACCGCTAAGTTGTGGCTGCAACCGTGCAATGAGCGGATGGGCAAGAGGGTTTAACGTTGTGCCAGCCTGTACGCAAGAAGCGAGATATCGGCACAGTAGGACGGGCCTCATAGCAGCAGCGCTCTCTGAGATGCCTGTAACGGTATTTTGGAGCCAGGTGAAATCCTTGCCACATATTACCTTATGGTATGTTGATAGCGCAGTCTGGTAGCAATCTTCTGAGCAGAAATGGGCGGAGCAGCAGGACGCATCATACCGCGGATCGGCAGTGTTGCTGAAGCAATTAGTACAGGCAGAGACAGAGCTACAGGCTGCGGTAGCTGTTCGGTCAACCAGTATGCATTCTCCTGGGTCAATCTCGTGGGCTGCGAAGACACCCAGAACTTGAGGAGCACGGCCGGCCCACTTCGGAATTGGAGCTTCTCCAAGTGAGCTGTAATCCAAGCGGCAGCTGCTGGTACACCGTTGAAACTCCTTGTTGACACTGTCAATCAGAGCCTGTGACCTCTGGAGCGGAAGGGGTTCCATCCAGGGGTAGGGTATAGTCAGCACTGCTCCATCGTGAAGCTTGTCCCTTTGCCTGGCTGCAGATTCAGGGCCCATTGCTATGTGGTCGGATTTCTTTTCCATGACGGCGGAAAGTTCAGCAGTCTTCACTTGAAAGAACGGATCGGCAGGGAATTTTGCTTGGGCCACCTGGCAGGTTTCCAAGGCCTCGGGGTGGCAATGACAGTCGTAGAGGCCCTGAACGAGAGTGCGATAGGATGATGCACTGAGCAAGCGCTGGCTGGGAAAGTGCTGGCTGGCTGGTTCAGTGGGAGATTGGCTGGAGATGGGTCCGGTTGGTGAAGACAGGCTCAAAAAGTCAGGTATGTGTCCATTGGAGTAGTCGCAGAGGAGCAAAGCTCTATAGGCATCTCCAACAGCCAGTTCGGGATGGCCCAGGGAAAGAAGACGGCCGGCGCGGGCGCACCAAATATCAGGGTCATAGGGCGAAGTGGACAGGTTCTGTGTCAGGGACTGGACATGGCGAATGTGGTCGGCGACAAGCTAGTTGTTCGTTAGCGTCGGATGCGAGCTGGCGGAGGAAGAAGCCGTCACCTGGGGATGGGGCGGCGGGGTTTGGGCAGGATTAGTGCGATATATAGTCGGAGTCCACGCGTCGGGAGTCCACGGGCGTTGCATATCGGCACCGCCGATTTGTGGGCTGGGGAGACGGTCGTTGGAGTCGGGGCATCCCGTCGCCATCGGCCACCACTTTCCACGCGTGCCTGCGCGTTACGTCATGCCAGTCGCGCTCTCCTAACGCGCTCAACGCGTCGGCCTGCAGGCAGCCGCGAATATCACGAAATGCCAGGCTTCATCCAGACGTGTCCTTGGGACTGTGTGGCCAGAGAAGTGGGTTTGCCCTCCCAATATCCGACAGCCGTCTCCCGCGCATCCTTCGACAACCGAAAACGCTCTTGCGCTCCCGTGTCGAACACCGACGATACTTGTTGTCAAAAACAGACTGCTAGAGCAGAAGATGAACAGCCTTGACAGCGGGCCGCAGTCCGCGCTGCAGAGCCTGTGGAGCCCCCCGCGTCTAGCCCGCCAAAAAGCTTGTTCCACGCCCACACTCCGATCCTCGCACTCGGCTGGACACCCTCTCCGTCCCATCTGAGTCAAGTGCCAACGACTGCGGATTCCGGCAAGGTGGCATTCCCGTCATCCGCTGCAAATTCCAAGGTGGCGGGCCCACCATCTCGCCTTCGCCAGTTTCCCTGTGCTACCGCTGGCTAGCACGCAATCGCCGGCGTGCCTTCGCAATCACATAAGCCCATGGCGATATCTACCCTCGCTGCCACGCCAACCCGAAACCCTCATCGTCATGCGCCTCCCATGTTTCGCGTTTGTAATCATGCCGTCCGCGACCTTGCATACTCATATCTTCCTACCTCCCACCATGGGGGACCACATCCACTCCGTCATCTCCTCTCCTCGATGAGCGGCTGGCTTCAGGACGCCCAAAGCACCGTTGCCTAGAAACTCTCACTCCGACCACCATGTCTATCCACACGTCGCTCAGGAAATCCAAGTCCTCCCATGGGAACTATGGCACCCTCGGAGAAACGCCATCTGCGGAAGAGCCGGCGGTGAAAACCGATGCCAGCCACAGCACCCTGGCTGCTGGGGAGCTTGCCTCTGAAGAGTCGGCAGCAGGAGGGTTGGGGCGTCATCTTGGCTTATTCTCCACAACCTTTCTGATGCACGTTTTCCACCAAACACCTCTTGATGCTCCCGAAGCTAACTTGAACCACTCCACAGCATCGGCAGAATAATCGGAACAGGCATATTCTCCACGCCTTCCTCCATCACAGACAGTGTCGGTAGTGTTGGTGCCGCGCTGCTGCTGTGGGTGTTTGGCCTGGTGCTGTCGTTCGCCGGCCTGTTCATCTGGCTGGAGTTGGGATGCATGATCCCCCGTAGCGGCGGATCCAAGGTTTATCTCGAAGCCGCCTACAAGCGGCCGAAACTGCTCGCCACTGTTGTCTTCGCCTTCCAAGCTGTATTACTCGGTTTTACGGGTACGTATAGTCTCCCCAAGAATAGTCTAGAGTGCTGACCCTGGGAAAAGCCTCTGGCTGCATCATCTTCGCCTCCAATATCCTCGTCGCCACCGGCCACACGGCAACAGAGTGGCAGAAGCGCAGCATTGCCATTACCGTCATCACCTTTGTGACTGCCCTCCACACCTTCTGGCCCAAGCTCGGCGTGCGCGGTATGAACTTTATCGGACTAATCAAGATATTCACCCTCCTATTCATCGTCGTAACCGGCTGGGTCGTGCTATCCGGCGGCGCACCGCAAATCTCAGACCCGCACGCCTCATTTCGGCACGCCTTCACGGGCAGCGCAACTAGCGGAAACCTCTACGCCACGGCGCTCTTCAAAGTCCTCAACTCCTACGCCGGCTGGTCTAACGCGGCCAACGTCCTCAATGAAGTCCGCAACCCTGTCCGCACGCTCAAGATCGCCGGCCCCCTTGGTCTCTCGACCTGCGGCGTCCTCTACTTGCTCGCCAACATCTCATACTTCGCCGCCGCGACACCCGACGAAATCGCCCGCAGCGGCGTCACCGTCGCCTCCTTCTTCATGTCCCGCGTCTTCGGCGCCCTCGCCTCGCGCATCCTCAGCCTCCTCGTCGCGCTCTCCGCGCTCGGCAACGTCCTCACCGTCACCTTTGCGCAATCCCGCGTGAACCAAGAGCTCGCCAAAGAAGGCGTGCTGCCCTACACGCGCTTCTGGGCGTCGTCCTGGCCCTTTGGCTCGCCCGGCGCGGGCCTGCTCCTCCACTTCCTCCCCTCCTTCCTCGTCATCGTCGCCGTGCCATTCGGCGACGCCTACGCCTTCATCCTCGACGTCGAGGGCTACCCCGGCTCCGTCATGAACTTTTTCGTCGTCCTCGCGTTCTTCTGGCTGCGCCGCGCCGCGCCCGACGCCGACCGCCCCTTTCGCTGCTGGTGGCCGGTCGCGGCGTTTTATCTCGTTGCGCAGGTCTTTTTGCTCGTCGCCCCGTTCCTGAGGCCGCCGGGCGGGAGGGGCGATACGAGCTTGCCGTATTGGCTGTATCCCATCGTCGGGATTGCGGTGCTGGCGGGAGGCGTGGTGTATTGGGCGGTGTGGTGGAAGGTTTTGCCCTGGAAGGGGAAGTACGCGTTGATGCCGGAGCATGAGAGACTCGGTGATGGGACGAGGGTGGTTGTGTATAAGAAGGTGCGGAAGGAGTAGACTGTTGTTTAGGTTCTAGGTGTTGGGGAATGTCGTGGTCCGATACACCTTCACGATATGTCACGAAAGCGCTACCTTTTTTCTTGAATCCTGAACGCTCTCCTTTATAGTCTCAAAGATCTTGCTTACACAATCTTCTGTGAAACACATTTTCAAGTGCGGGGCTGCTCAGAAAGCCATCTTGAGTAGCAACGACACAAGCTCAGTCTCCAAAGGGAATTGGGTTTTATACTCCCAGAAATTCTTATTCTTTGAGTCCGTAGCAAGTGAGTGAGCTATACCCCACAGCAACTTGGCTGACCAAGCGCAGGACAGCCTTCGCTAAAGAACGAGAATGAGAAGCAGGAGAAGAAGACAAGTATTCACAAACTGAAAGCGGACAACGCCGCCACAGCACTCCACCCCACAAGAGCCAGCCCCCTCATCTGGTGTACAACAGCGTCCCGAACCCCAACTGATCGTAACCCCCGCTGTTGGGGCCGTAGTCGCCGCCGCCGCCCTCGGCCCCGCCCGCCGCGTCCCGCACCAGCTTCGCGTACTGCTCCGAATACGGCGCTTCCTGCCCCTCGACCTTGACGTAGTGGTTGTAGATGAGCTCCCAGATGGGCCGGATGTTGCCGCGCCCCTGCGCGCTGATGACCGTCTGCGTCACGTCGCTGTTGACGTACGTCGTGTACTGCACGTCGTTGCCGAGGTTGTACTTGGCCGCGTACTCGGCGCCGCGCAGGATGCGGTAGTCGTCGTACGCGAAGAGGTTGATGCCTTGGTTGTACGCCATTTGCGCGAAGGCGCCCACGAGCCCGATGTCGAGCATCGTGTGGCCTTGGTCGCGGCCGGCCTGTGGTGGTTGGGGAAAAACGAGGTTAGCTTGGTGGATGGGGAAGGGAGGGAGATTTGGGGGGGGGAGAGGAAGGGGGGAGGAGGGAGGAGATGGGAGTTCTCACTTCTTGCACCTGGGCGGTGCCGTCGTCGTACACGATCCAGAACAGCTTCTCGATGGCGCCGTTGCCGGTGCCGTTGTAGAAGTAGTTGATGACCTCGTCGACAATGGTCTGGTTCTCGGCCAGGATGCCGGCGGACAGGGCGGTCGCCATGTTGGCAAGGTCCCAGTTGGCCCAGTAGTGGTCGTCGGCCGCGTCGTTGTGCTCGACGAAGAAGCGGTGGTTCATGGGATAGAAGACGTCGGTGAGCATGGCCGACGCCGCGGCCAGGTTGTCGTCGGTGAAGCCGTCGAAGTCGCGGAGGATCTCGGCCGCGTTGGCGAACTGGTAGCCGTAGAGTCCGGAGGCGAGGTACTTGTCGCTGTTGCCGGAGATGGCCGTGAGGGTGCTCGACCAGGCGTTGACGATGTTGGCGGCGGCGGTACCGAAGGCTTCATCGCCAGTGACCTTCCAACGGATGGCAAGTCTAGATAGGGAAAGTCTGTTAGACTTCAAGACGGGGGCTCTGGAAGCTCGATAAGCACGTACTGGTAGGCGGCGGCGGCATCATTGTATCCACGGCTGAAGTTTTGGGTGCAACTGGCCGGGGTACCGCGGCAAAGGAGCTCGACGGGTCTGGCGGTGTAGGTGGATTGTGCGTGCGAGTTGTTGGTCAACTTGTACCAGCCGGTGAGCCAAGGCTCATTGCCAGCGTTGACATTGGTAGTGATGCGCTCGAAGTCTTCGGCGGAATGAAGCATGCCAGGGTGAACCCAGGCTGCCGAAGCGGACAAGGCAGAACCGGCCAGCAGCGCTGAGTACTTCATCGTGACCATCGTGAACAAAAAAGGTATGAGGGTGGTGGAGAAGATGCAAGCCAGATGGGCAAGATGGGCGTTTATCTAGGTACTTCGTATGCCCCCTTCGAATATCGCAGCGAAATACGAACTTTCCGAAACTCCTACGAGGCCCAGCGCCAATTGCTGAGCAGATATAGAGCAGGGGCCCTGGGACCTCGTGAGCGAAGAACAGACGATCAGCCCAGCCAATGGCAGTTCCAGACACTGTGGATCTACTGATGCCATTGTTCGAGATCAGGAGCCCCTTTCAGTCTTGTGTGCGGAGGATGGGTTTCTTTGGGTCCATGATCAGCTTGGAAGAGAGACGCAATGGTGAGGCAGGAGAAACATCCTCCTCATTTCGGTTAAGGTTGACGAGCACGCGTCGCGACTCGCCCAATCATTCGTTTCCCCTAGCGCCCTCCGGGACAGTCCGGGACCTGCCGCACGTGTTTCTTCAAACAACTGGGGATGCGTAGCGTGATGTGCAGTTTCTTCGACCCCACCGGCTTTTACTAGTAGCTCGGTGGTTTAGCTGATTTCCAATATTGGTAGTTTGAACACCACGTAAAGGAAAAGGCCTCGTATTCCCTCCCTCCCGCCGGCCCGTCTTCCGGACCGTACCCTGATGAATGACACCACGGTCCTTGTGCCAACATGCCAGAACTTGCCAGCGCACCCGCTTGGCGACCAAGACTTATGCAATAGTAAACATAATGAAGACCTATAGCTTGCATGATCTCTATCGAACGATCGAGGCCAACTCCGGTGGGAGGATAGCATGCCTCTACTTGCTCCGGTGCTCCTACAAGCTGGGAAACTCTTCTGTCACACAGGGCTCATTTCATTGACTGATCTGGACAAGCAGCCGGCAGTGGAATGGGAGGCTCAGTCTTCGGTCTTCAGGTTTACCAAAAGACAAACGCGGCATCGTCATCATTCCGAAGTTTGCTTCCAAACTTACCAACATCTAACTCGACTGTACAACCACAATTTACAAGTAGCTAGAACGTAGTTCAAGTCTTCCACCACTTACAAAAGCCATCTGTGTGATTCCTAGCTAACAGCGCGATAACGGTTCTGGCTGAACGGCCGATTGCTTGTTTCACCCCAGTATGATCGACACCAAAATCTCCACCACCACCAAACGCACCCAAGCACCAGCCAGCATCACCCCGCCAATTACCTAGTCCCACCCTGCCCTCCCCTCCTACTCCGCCTCCGGCGGCACCACCAACTCCGTCCCATTCATCTCCCCCACATCCAGCGCGACAAGGAACCTGCTCACGCAATTATACGCCGCCACCGCCGTCGTCAGCTCGACCACCTCCCTCTCCCCAAACCACGCCCTCAACCCCTCAAACACCTCCTCCCCGACCCTCACCTCCAACGTCATCGCGTCCGCATACCGCACCACCGCCTTCTCCCTCTCCCCCAGCCCGCGCACCTCCTCCCCCCTCCGCTCCAGCTCCGCGACGGGCTCCTTCCGCAGCAGCCACGCCAGCACGTCGCGCCCCACGCCCGCCGCCGCCGCCAGCGCCGCGTGCGCCCGCCACTCCCACGCCGCGTCCGTCAGCGCGCCCACGCGGCTGACGGCCAGCTCGAGCGCGCCCGCGTCGACGACCGTCTGCGTGCGGATCGCGCCGAGGAAGCCGTTCCAGCCGTCGGCCACCGGCGGGCTGTGCAGCAGGGCGCGGTCGAGCGGGATCAGCGGGCGCGGGTGCCGCCGCGCGGCGATGCGCGAGTAGATGGCTGCCGTTGCGGCGGGGTCGGGGTTCGAGGGCGAGGGGGAGGTGGGGGGAGAGGCGGGCGCGTAGGGGAGGCGCATGGTGAGGGGGGTGGTGGTGGTGAGCGGGCGGTGGGCGTGGTGGTGGTGGTTGTTGTTGTTGTTGTCGTGGTGACGTGCGAAGTACGTCGGCCGGGAAATAATAAAGGATGGACGTTGTTGGGCCGGTGGGAAAGCTGTCCTGGGGAGGCCTGGTTGTGGTCAGTGTGGCCTAAGCGAGGGCTGCAGTGCTCTGCAATTGGCGGGAGCCGGCGGTTACCTTGAGGCTTGTAGCAGTGCAGTCTCATGGATGCAGGCGAGATCGGGGGATCTCTCGCGCATATATGCTGTGGAACGGGCACTATTGAGGGGTAGGCGTGGTGGGGTAGCGTGTAGCCAAAATCCAAGGCTTCGGTAGTGCTGGTTGCGTGCATGTGCATTGCAGCTCGGCCGCGGTAAAAGACTTACCCCCTTGTCCCAGAACCACGCAACAACTCAATCACCACCATGGCAACGCAAAAAGACCATCAGATCAAATGTTCTCTCGATTCTCTCCGTATGATAACATATCAACGCTGGATATTCGCGTGCACAATGTCCCAGAGCCTCCCAAAAAATAAAAAATGAAAACCACACAGATATTTACAACGCCAGGTATGCCCAATCATCCAAACTCGTTTTTCATTTAGATGGCCGACGAGGCCTTGCCCGCGGCATCCTTGGGGGCCAGGCGGACGTTGTACTCGAGGTCGAGAGAGGCCTTGGGGTCGCCCTCCTTGGGGGAGAAGTGGATGATCAGGTCATCCTTGACAGCGAAGACGGAGTCGTCGATGAGGTGGGGGTCAGTGTCGGGGTAGAGCTGGGTGACGACGGGCTTGTAGTCGGGGTGGCTGACCATCAGGTGGAGATGGGCGGGCCTCCAGGGGCTGCGGTCCATGAGGCGGAGCAGAACACCGGCGGGGCCATCGGTGGGCAGCGCGTAGGCGGTGGGCTTGAGCATGTAGAAGTGGTATTCGCCGTTCTCGTTGGTCCTGAACTTGCCGCGCAGGTTGTTGGGCTTCTGGCCCTCGGGGTCCTGGAAATCGTACTTTCCGTTGGAATTGGCCTGCCAGATGTCGAAGACGACGTTGGGGATGGGCTTCTTGGTCTCGATGTCGATGACCTTGCCGTGCATCAGAGAAATCTCGCCGTTGTGCGCGCAGTCGATGATGCTGCCGCCGTTCTCACGGAAGGGAGCGTGGGGGCTCCAGAAGGGGCCCAGGATGGTGGACGAGGTCGGGGCCTCGCCGGTGGCAGAGAGGTGCTTGTTGGCGATCTCGTCGACAAGACTGGGCAGCGTCAGTTAGCCAGGCGCGCCTCTCCTGGATGCGCGGGGGGAGCTTACGATTCCAGGCCGATGACGTCGGTGATGCGGTGAGTCTCGTTCCTCTTGCCGTCGCTCTCGGCCCAGAGCTTGCCGCACTGGTTCATGAACTCGACGCCAGCCATCCACTCCTCGGTGGTGAGCTCAACCTCGCGGGCAAAGTCGTGGATGTGCTTGAGCATGCCGCTCAGGACGAAGCGGGCACGCGGCGGGCAGGCCGGGCCAATCGCGTTGATGACATTCTCGGTGAACTTGGGGTCGAACTTCTCAGAGGACATGGCCATTGCTGCGGTTGGGGAGTGCCGGGGTTGCGGGAGCGGGGAGCTGCGGGTGCGAATCTGCAGAGATGCGGGAGGAAAAGTGAGTAGAGATGAGGACTTGGGAAGCAGCAGGGTCGAAAAAGGGCTGGCAAAGTTTATATAAGTGCCCTGCGCCTGCCTCACAGGGCACGCGGCAGATCCATCGGCTGAGACCTTTTACTCTGGGGAAGCGTTGGCTTGCGCCGAGCACGAAGCCGCGCCCATCGCGTTCGTTGCCGGCGTGCTTCCCGTCAACCAGGGCCCCCGCAGCCCAGCCCCGCGCACGCCCCAGACCCTTGACTCGCAGGCCGCGTGCTGCCGACCGTCGGCGCGCTTTTGCAACAGACGCCCCGCTATTGGCCCTGACGCCGCCTGACAACAACCGATGGCAGCAACCGGCGCGATCCCGTCGCTCCATAGCCAAGGGTAATCTCTCTTCCCTTGCACGCCTTACCCAACTCGGCATCGAGCTCTGGCCGCTGTGGCGCCTGTACCGGAGCTCCCAGCTGTCCCCGCCGCAAATACCCATCGAGCTCCAATGCGCGCGTCCTGCCGACTCTTCCAGCGTCTCCCACGAAACTGTACGTCGCAGCTGTTGCGACCTCTCGCCAGCATGGGCAAGCATCACTTGATGGTCGGCACCTGGGTCCGCCCGGGTGCCATCTTCACCTTCGAGTTCGACGACGAGGCGCTGACTTTGAAGCTCCTCAAGCGCACTGAGATCGACTACGACGAGCCTATCTCGTGGATGACTTTCAGCGTGAGTCTTCCCTGCGCCCAACTCCCCTCGAAATCGCCTGATGCTTTGAATTCTTTTCCCCCCCGCAGTGCATGCAAGACTGATCCATGATCCGGGAACCAGCATGATAGGAAGCAGATTTACGGCGCGTCCATGAAGACGTGGACCAGCTACACGGTCAAGAGCCCAACCGATATCGAGCGGAGCGCATCACACCCAATCTCTGGGCACCGTACGTCTCTTCATCCCTCGATCGCACGGAAAATGAATCCAGGCCGCCTATCCTTCTCCACCTCAGGTGATCTAACATAACATTCTTCCGCAACAGCCCTCGCCGCGAACAAGGATACCAACACCCGCGCCATTTTCCTTCTCGCCGCCAAGCAAGCCCCGTACAACGTCTACGGCAACCCCTTCTACGACCACGCTGGCTTTGGCAATGTGTTGTCGGTCAACGAAGACGGTTCGCTGAAGGAGAACATCCAGGACTACGAGTATGAGCCCAAGACGGGCATCCATGGCATGGTCTTTGACCCGACAGAGACGTACCTGTACTCGGCCGATCTGCGCGCAAACAAAGTGTGGACGCACAAGAAAGACCCCAAGACCGGCCAGCTGACCCTGCTCGGGTCTCTGGAGGCACCAGACCCAGGCGACCACCCAAGATGGGTTGAGATGCATCCAAGCGGGAACTACATTTATGTTCTGAACGAGGCTGGCAACAACCTCGCGGAATATGTGATTGACCAGCAAACGCATCTGCCCGTCTTCACCCACCGTACCTTCCCGCTCATCCCACCAGGTACGTGAAGTCTGCGGTGCTAGCTAAAGCCTAACGTGGCCGCGCTGACTCGCCTTGCAGGCCTCCGATATAACCTCAAGAACTACCGTGCCGATGTTGTCTTCACTACGCAGAGCGGGAAGACGCTGTTTGCGACGACGCGATCGAACACAATTGGCGTGCCTGGCTACATCAGCGCGTTCAGCCTGGCGGAGAACGGCAGCATCGAGAGGCAACTGTTCATGAACCCCACTTCGTCTAGTGGCGGCCACTCGAACGCGATCGCACCATGCCCGTGGACCGACGAGTACATTGCCATCACAGACGATACGGTCGGATTCATTGAGATGTACAGATGGCAGGATGGATTCTTGGGCAGGGTTGCGAGATGTGAGGTTACCGAGCCGGGCTTCGGCATGAACGCCATCTGGTACGACTAGACGTAGGAATTAGATTCAAGCAACATGCTATTGGCTGTCGAGCTATGCCCCTGCGTGCCTGACAGAAGATTCGCGGAAAAAGATAGATGTGGTGGTTCGATGCTGCGATGCGAGTGCAGAAAGTTCATCCGGATGGCATCTCGACTCAGAGAGGAAGTTTGGCAACAGACTGCACACGCGCAAACACACGAGTCGTACAACCGGTACAATACTGCTACGCAGCTTTTTTTGCGGCAGATTACAGGTGCTTGTTGCGTATGCCCCTGACAGGAAGCTCCAGCACTCACAGTCCCAATTTGAGCGCAAAGCTCCATCGACAGAGCGCAGCAACGACCAAGCTCTCAGGCGTCGCAAAAAAATCGGCGGGGCACCCCGCTGACGTCGCTCGGCGTTGGGCGGCTAAAGACACACCCGAGGTCCAGTGCCGGGCTGGCGACGGATCCACGCGGGGCGCCACATCCCGACTTCTCTGCCGGCTGCGGGGCAACGCAAGCTAAACGAGCACGTTGACACAGCTCGGCCTTGCGAGTCCATGAAGCACACTAGTAGCTCCCAGTCCTCACAAATCTCTCCTGATGTTCACGTTGTCGTCTTCCACCAGGACTCGAGCCATTGGCCCCGCCACAGCGCAGAGACTCGCCGCCGCTCCCGTTTCGTTCTCCGCCGCCGCCGCCAACGTTGCCGAACCGAGCACCCGTAGCAGCAGCAGCAGCCCACGAGGAACAGAAGCAAGATGGCGCCCGTGCCCGGCCTCCTGTACGTGACCATGCAGCCGCACCCCGAGTTGCCCGACTCGGTGTTCCACGACTGGTACAACAACGAGCACGGCCCGACGCGGCTGCGCCTGCCCTTCGTCGCCAACGGCTACCGCTACCGCGCCGCTGACCTCGATGGCGATGCAGCAGACGCAGACGGCCGCAAGGGCTCCAAGGAGAAGCCCGAATGGGTCGCCCTCTACGACATCCCCGACATGAACGCCCTCAACTCCGAGGCCTATCTCAGCCTGCGCGGCCCGCCGCTGAAGAGCGAGAGGGAAGCTACCACCATGAAGAAGATCCACGTCGACAGACGCGTGTACGATCTCATGAGCGACAAGAAGAAGGAGGGCTACAAGGAGCTCGACGACGTCGACGCCGAGGGCAAGGTCGGCGGCGTGCTCGTCTCCGTCACGGCGATCCTGAAGCCCGGCGCCGACGAAGCCGAGTACAAGCGATGGGCCGAGGACGAGCATGTGAGCCTGCTCTCCAAGGTGCCCGGCTGGCGGCGGTCGAGGCGCTTCAAGTACTCGGCCGTGGTGAAGCCGCTCGGGCCGGCCGATGAAGTCAAGCACACCGAGTACATCGCGCTGCACGAGTACGACCCAGAAAACGGGCTGGGCACCTCGCCCGAGTTCAAGGCCGCCACGACGACGCCGTGGACAACCAAAGTCAACACCGACATCGTGGCCGAGAAGAAGCGCCGCGTATACAACCTGGCCTACACCTTCGGCCCCGCCCCGCGCTACCTCTCCTCGCTCACCGCCGGCGCCGTCCCCGAATTCAAGCACCCAGACGGCACCACCAAAACCATCCCGGCCTCCCCAGACGGCACAGCCCCCGCGGCCATCGAGTCCTACATCACAACCCCCGACGGCGTGCGGCTCGACTACCGCCTCGACGGCGGCCCCACCTCCTCGGACCACTCCCCCCTCCTCCTCCTCATCAACTCCATCCTCACCGACCACCACATCTGGGACGCCTTCGTCGCCTCCTTCCTCTCCGACCCCACCAACTCCCACTACCGCACCCTCCGCTTCAACTCGCGCGGCCGCACCAGCGCCTGCGGTGAATCCCCCGTCACCGTCGACTCCCTCGCCGCCGACGCCGTCGCCCTCCTCGACGCGCTGCGCGTCCCCCGCGCCGCGTCCGTCGTCGGCGTCTCCCTCGGCGGCGTCACCGCCCTCGCCGCCGCCCTGCGCCACCCCGCCCGCGTCGCCTCCTTCGTCAGCTGCGACACCAACCCCACCGCGCCCGCCGCCAACCCCCAGCTGTGGGCCGACCGCATCGCCGTCGCCGAGGCCGAGGGTGCGACCACCGCGACCACCACAGACAACGAAAACGAACCCATCGTCGGCACGCGCCTCGCCGAAGCCACCGCCCGCCGCTGGTTCGTGCCGCAGTCGTACGACGACGCGGCGCTGCGGCCGCGGCTGGACGCCGTCGAGGCGGCCGTCGCGCGCAACAGCCTGCACGGCTTCAAGACGGCGGTGCAAGCGCTGTACAGCTACGACTACGCCGGGGAGATGCGGCGGGCGGGCGCGGTGCCCGGCGCGTTTCTCGTCGGTGCGGGAGACGGGAAGTTGCCCGAGGGGATGAGGAGGATGGCGGAGGCGTATGGGGCGGATGTCGAGGGGAGCGGCGGGAAGAAGGCGCCGTTTTATCTCGTGCCGGATGCCGGGCATTTGCCTATGGTGGAGAAGCCGGAGGTGGTGAAGGGGTGTGTGACGGAGTTTTTGAGGGGGCTGGGGATGTAGGTGGGGTGTGTGTGGTGGCGTTGGCTAGTAGGTACGTGAAGCTTTGCGCGAGATTGGCGGAACCCGAGGCGGCCTGGTGGATTTCATCCATCGTGTTCGCAGGGGCGCCAATGGCGAGTTGCTTGCCTCTTCGTACGGAGGACAAGATGGAGGTGTATGTGTGCTAGATGGGATGCGTCCCACTGACTGAGACATGAATTGTTATGACGATGATATGTAAATGTGCGAGTAAGGCAGCGCCTTGTCAAGTTATCCTCCAGTCAGAATTTTGTCTGTGACTAGTTATTAAGGGCTTGATTAGATAAATCAGCTTTAGCTACCACCTTTGTGACTTCTAAGAAACTTACTACTGTACGAAGATGGTAAGGAAGGAATAAGGAGTTACCAACAAGTAGGGATGATACCACAGGCTTGTTAGTGCAGACTAACCTCAGTAGCAAGTAGAGATCTAGACGACGAGTTCATGTTTGGTATGATGGGCGCTCCCAAAGTGGAAGCAGCATGCTGGGATTTGCCACGTTTATACAAACACGTTGCTCGTTCTTTTCTCCCCTATCCCTCTTCCATTGGTGCATCGTTTCGGCTCAACAAATACTCACGAGTTTGACCTTGCCATCGGCGCCTGAGGACCGCTGTGTACTTGATCTCTTGGCCTCGACGGATGGCACAAGGCTGACGCAAGGCCTGATTGCCTGCAAACCCTGTTTGTTGTCTTTGGGGAGGGTCCTGTCGTGCAGTGTCATTTCGGTTCTGCAGTGTGCATACGCGCGCGGTGCGTTTATATGGAATGATATCCGGCGTCGTCGGTGAGTGGAAGAGATGGCGTGTGGATATTGACGTCGGTGGCGGTATGCTGGCGATGCTGGATAGGTTAAAGGATGCCAGTTGATGCGATTTAGATGCAGGCTGCGGTGTTGTTCACACTGAGGGCGTCGGTAACAGCCAAGCATATATCCGAGGCGTATGTCCGAGCAGCGTACTTATATCAGTCGGAGGAGGGCCAGGAATTAACCTGAGGGCGAGGGAACTGCGCTGTCGTGGAAGGACTTGGTGAGAGATTCATGAGGCCGTGCTGGCTGCCCGTGTACTGGACTGATAAGCTGGCGCGACAGTAGTAGAAGAAAGGTCAGTGAAGGGTTGGAGACCGTTACTGCTTGAGTTACCGTGCTGTGTGGGTTGGTCAGGAGGAATTGGTGCTTTCCCGGGGTTCGAGAGCATAGCCATCTACAATTCTGGTCCACTCTTTTCATTAGGCATTTCCATTTCCTCTCCGTTCGCCCGGAATGCGGTCAAGTACGCCAGAAAGCAACGACATGGTAATAAGCTTGTTAGTGAAAGGTATGAGTGAGAGTGCGAGAGAGATTTGACGAGGCGCTGCATAGTTGACGGCCACTGGGTAGTCGAAGCACTGATGCTAGCATTAGTGAAAGTTGAGAGTAATAGAAACATGCGTCCTCGAATGCTTCAACCACGCGTACATGGCCTGAGAAGGCAGTCCTTCGCGCAGAGCGGCACCATTTGCCCCAAGAAGGGCCTTTCAGAAGGCCACCATCGTAAGTGACGAGGGATCTGTCGGCTGCACGGGGGGTTAAATCCGCAAGAAGTCCGACGCCAAGGCGAGAGTGCGGTTTGGTCAGGGTCTAGATGGGCGAACAAGATGCAAGGATGCAACGCGGTTCCACTTGGGCCGGGCTAGTGACGTCTCACAGTTCATCGCCTCATGTCGGGATATCGTGAGTCCAGTCGGTGGCTCGTCCGTTGGGATTTGCGTTACGTTAAGCGTTCAGCCGGTTACGTTACGCAAAAAGGAGCGCCCTCCCGGTCCGCTCTCCGCTGGTTCGAGGGCCAGGAAGGAAGAGGATGGCGAAGACGGTCGGCAAGAGCCCTCGCGTCCCGCTTTGCGCCATCGTCCATATAAGTGTTTCCCTTCCGCCCTGCCCAGAGCGCTTGATTGGTGCCAAGGAGTCTCAGTCCTTTCTGAGTGCGACGTCGTCGGGAGACGAGAATTATTTCGGCCGAGCACGAGCAAAGACCGGAAGAGTCGACGACAAAGGAAAAGGAGAACGCCGTAAAGCGTCGGGGAAACGAAAGCCGAGAGGTGGGCCGGGTGTCGACTTGGGCGTCCCTTGCACTGCCTTACGTCGCCCAACGGAAGCCAAGCTCTTTTTCCCCGATGGTTGGCGGCCTCATCACGAGAGACGTGAGGCTCTTCGGCAGCGGCGACGGCAGAGAGAGGCGGCGCAAAGGCGAGAGAGCGGCGCGCTGGTTGGGCGAACTGGTCGCGTGGTCCGGAAGGTTGATTCCTTGGCGCGAAGGGAAGGCGGTCAGGCGGCGGGCCAGCCCCAGAACAGGCTTGAGAGCCGCGCGCCGCTCGCACCACAGCCCGCACCACAGCCCGCACCACCGCCCTCTTCCCCCAGTGTTGTGTCAGTGTCCCCACGGGGCGTCCCGGCATTTGCCTTTCCCACCAACCGGCGCCCATCACCAAGGCGCGCCGAATTACCCCTTCCGACACGGCTGAAAAAGAAAAAAAGCCCGTGTGAGCCGCCGCGGGCCCCATCGCACCATCGGGCGGCGAGAGGAATTCAAAAGGATCGACTCCCCCGGACGCCGTGCGGCCGCCCCGGCTCCTGTCGCCCTTCGGTACATATGCACCCCGGCTTTTCCTTGATTTGCGCTACCCACACACTCACCCCCACCGCTTGTATAAATACCCACTGCGCCCCGTGCCTGCGCGCGCGCCTCCCCCAGCATGGGGAAACAAGCCCACATAAGCACCAAGGTATGTCATCTCTCCGTCACTACCTCGCTGTGTCCCACCCTGCCCAGCCACCCACCCACTCGATGTATTCATTGCTGCACCATGACGAAAGACGAAAGACCAAGTGTGGAAGCGGAAGTTGTTCGGCTTCTATTCATTAACTATATATATACAGACACAAGCGTGGGAATCATTACGCCCCCAGAGGACATCAACGACCTCGGGATGCTCCAAAAAGAAATCCGTCTTTTCCCCATAACACCGTCAAAATGCGAGACAACAAGACGAACACCACGCCTTCCATCTCTGTTCGCTCTCTTCTTTTCGTACCGCTTCTCTGCCCAGCCCAGCTGAGATCAAACTGTTCCAAGACGGAAAGGAGCATGCAAAAAAAAATTCATTCGAGGACTTCCCACAAGACAACACAACACTTCCTCTAGTGGACGGGGTTGGTGAGCGTGGGCTCCACCGAAGTGCCCTCCTCGTCGCTCATGGCCTCGTCCTCGCTGATGAGCGCGAGCTTGCTGCGAGCGCGCAGCGCCGGGCCGAACTTGAACATGACGAAGGGGATGAAGGTCAGGACGACGGCAACGAGCGAGAGCAGCAGACCGGCCCACTGCGAGCCCATGTTGTGGAAGAACTGCGTCGCGAACAGCGGCGACACGGCGCCGAGCGTGTTGCGCATCAGACCCTGGCCGGCGATGGCCGACGACGAGTTCTGGCCGTAGCAGTCGGCCGTGTACGAGTAGCACGACTCGAAGATGAAGAAGATGCCGATGGCGATGAGGGCGAGGGCGATGACGGGGCCCACCCAGATGAGGTAGCCGTACTGGGTGAACGAGTAGATGAAGAGGCCGATGGGCAGCCAGACGGCACCCCAGAGAGCACCGTACAGACGCGCCTCGGGGGCGACGTTGCCGTTCTGCTCCACGTTCATCTTCTCGTACTTGCTGATCTGGAGGAAGTTCAGGCCGAACGCAATGGTGGTGCCGACGCAGAGCGCGATGTAAGGAAGACCCGCTGCGGACATGGTCAGTAAGAGCTAGGGATTTTCGGGGAAATCGTAAAGAGGTGGACTTACAGACACCCTCACTCCAGCCGTGCTTCTCGGTGAAGGTAATGGGGATAACCGAAAGGAAGAGGAAGGTCAGGAACCAGGCGAAGGCGATCCAGAGACCAAAAGCAAAGACGACGGGCTCGGTGGCAAGCATCTTGACGGCCTTGACGGACGAGGCGTTGAGCATCTGCTTGATGTTCCTGGCCTCGAGATCCATCTGAGCCTTGTACCGCTCGTCGCCAGTCGCAGCGCGGATCGCCTTGGCGCGCTTGTGGAGCGTCACACCACCGCGCGTCTCCTTGAAGAAGACGAGGATGATGATCAGAAGAGGAACGCAGGACAGACCCTGGATACCCTCGATCCAGCGCCAGCCAATGGCCTGGTCGATGAAACCGGCATAGATGGGAGCACCGACCGTGCCCAGAATGGCCACGTAGGAGAAGAGGGCCATGGGCCTCGAGCGCTTCTCCGGAGGGTACATGTCGTCGAAAGTACCGCCGACCAGGATGGTACCAACACAACCGAACAGACCGAGGAAGGCGCGCATGACCAGGATGGTGGCAATGTTCTTGCCGAGCGCCAGACCAATGAAGGTAATGCAGAAGCAGAAGTATGCTCCGACGTAGATGACCTTACGACCGACCAGCTCGCAGAACGGAGCCAGGAACATGGGGGCCATGGCGCAAACGAAGTTGAACAGGAAGAGACCGAGCTGGCCAATTTCCGTCGAGGTGCCAAATTCTTCACACATGCTGCTGACACCGGAGCTGTATGCGGTGGTGGCGAGACCAATGGTCAGGGTCATCAGGCACAGCAGTGCCGTCGACATGGATTTCCGGGCGTTGCTCCAGTTGAAAGGGTTCTCGGCATCACCAGGGGCGAATCTCAGCAGGATGAAATCCTCGCCCTCGTGGCGGTGGTGGTCGAAGTAGGTGAGCGGCATGTCGATCTCGAGCTCGGTCAGCGGACCATGCGAGAGGCCCTTGTCCTCTTCGGCGTGGAGAGCCTGGAGGTATTGGCCGCCGGCAAGACATCCCTTGGACTTCTGGACCGGCTTCTCACCCGCGGTGGAGGACTGCGAGGATTCGGGGTTCCCGCCCTCGACGTGGGACACGTTGTTGTTCTGGTGGTGGGATTTGCGGACCATGGTGACTGATTGTTGAGAGGATCGGATGGAAAGGTACCAGCTACTTCGCAGAGCACTCCACGGGACGAGGGTATATAAAGCATGTGCCGAAAAGGAGCAGAGGGCAACGCTCCAGTCGGCGTGGCGCTACGGCGACGAGGGCAAGCGTGTCACTCGATGGTCCCCCGATGACGTTGGACTCCATCGGGTCCGAACGAAAGCCAAGCCGATGCTGCGACGACCAGCAAGCGTATCCACCGCGGACGAGCAGGGCCCAGGAGCGGACTAAACGGCGTGGCGGCCATACCGGGATCAGGCGAACAAGCAGGTCACAAAACTCCACCGTCGGAGCTCAAAGCAGCGACGGGGAAACCGAGCTCGGCGAAACTTTTTCAGAACCCGACGCGGCCTCTGGATTTGCCTCTCTCCAATCCGCCAGCACATTGCTCGCTCGTTTGGACGCGCAGAGCCAACGCCAGCCGACTTGCTGCTCGCCGGACGCGGGTCACAGGCGTCGCGATGCAGACGCGCAACCACAGGACCGGACGGCGAGGAAGGTGGAGCGAGGAAGAAGTCAAATTTGTCGAAAAGTGGGCTCTTCACGGATGCCGGGCCTGCCGCCGCAAAGCCGCCGCGGTTCTGGCGGGCGTAGCGGCGCTAGATCAACAGCCTTATCGATTATGTCAGCCCGACAGCCATTGCCATCCCGGCCGCAAGCCCTGTCGATCGGGAGATCAGAGCAAAAGAGCCGCTCGCGCCTGCCGGCAAACGGATTCAGGACCAGCCGCAGCCGGACGGGAGGGCACTGTTCGTCGCGGCTTGGTGCCGAGCGCGACGCGTCGGGGGCCTGGCGGATGATGTCACGGGCGGCGAGGCGTAAAAGGCGCCGACTGCCACGGCCCCTCACGGCGGCGCTGAGGGTCGACTTTCTCGGACTGGCAGGCACTGCAGGGCGCTGGCGTCGGTGGCGCCCAAGGGAAAGCCAGAGCTGGAGCGTTGCTTGGACGGTGATGGCAGTGGGGCTCGTGAGGGCTCGTGAGGGCGTTCCGCCAGCCGTGCCGCTAGCGCCGCGAGCCGCCTGCTTGTCCCAACTGCCCCTGCCCTGCCGACAACACCACGCCCCAACACGCTACACCTCTACCCGCGCCGCCGGGGGCGCATCACGACGCCGTCGTCTGACCGGCGTGGTCGCGTGCGGCGTGCCTGCTCCCGCGCTCTGCACCACCGCGCCGCGATTGTCCAAGCTGTCGCGTCGCGTTGCGTGCCGGCTGCGACGCTGTGCAGCTCGGCTCCACTGATTGCACCACGCCAATGCCGCCTGCCCGCCTCACGACGGGCCATTCTCCTATCTGGCCAAGAGTGGACGCTGCTCGACACCATCAGCGCTCGCCTGGCCCCCCAATGTGGAGGCTCGGCGGTGGGTCGCTCGCACGCGTTCGTCGTCCCGATCTCACCGCCCACTCGATGCTCAGTGCTGTCGGGCCCATTGTGGGCTGATGGGGCTCAGCTCTCCTAGCGAAGAGGAAATTGTCGAGAGACCCATGGGGTGCCCGCAGCACCTCCTCATTTCCTCCAGCTTCTCTCTCTCCCCAATCTCCATGAAATCCCCGGCTACGGAGAAGATGGAGTACTCTGGAGAAAAGCACGCCATGGGCCGACACCTGCAGCGGCCACGCGCCAGCGCGCAACGGCGGCGCCGGAGCCCTCGAGTAGTGATGATAGCTCGGCGGGGGGCTGTTTGTCCGACGCTTGCCCATGCGTGACGTCACAGGGTCCTGGGCGAGAATTCTGCTCGACACATCGCCGTCGCTCTTCAGCAGTTGTTGCAGCTGCCCCGACTTGATCCTCGCCCTGCGCGAGGCTACGGAGCGGATGCTCGTCGGAGCGGGTCTTGGTGATTGACATTTCCTGGTCGCCCGGCGGCAGCGCTCGGCGGATGCCGTTTCGTCAGGGCTCGACGTCGTCATCGATCAAAGCGTTCAAGCTAACTGTCGTAGGTAGACGCCCGTCGCCCTTCACACCGCCCGTCCTGAACAGGAGACCTTCAACACACGTGGTACGATCCTGGGACGTGAAACCCCATCCGCCGTCGCGGAGCGCCCGCGTTGGCCCGGTGAATCATGAGGCCCGTCAAAATTTCCCTGCTGCCTCTCCGCGCTGGGAAGGTACCACCGCAGCGTCCCGCATGCGGGCGGAGTCTGGAGAGCGTCGCCTGCTCCAGCTTTCTCGCGCCTCCCCATGGTCCCGATATCGCGGCACAGCGCCCAGAACCACGCGCTGATGAGAGAAGACTCTCGCTCGGCAATCTCGCCTCCTGCGCGTGGAGCAGATTTCTGCTTGGAGCAAGTGTTGTCTCTTTCGCGCCTGCCGCTCTGTCCTACTTCTGGTCACCCTGACCTCGTTCGGGCCAGGCCAGCTGCACTCCCGTCCCACGAAACATGTTGAGCGCCGAAGACGCAGCTAGCCGACCGCCAGGCACGGTTCAGGTGTCTGGCCTCCCATGTGCGCGTGCGTCGCTTACGTGGGATCCGTGGCAACCATGGTGTTTGGGAAACACTGCTGATAGGCCATTTCACCGTCCCAACTGACTTCCCCCCTGGAGAAAGTGAGGCTGGGGTGCTGCCCGAAGCACGAAGCACGAAGGATTCGAGCCCGCCTGCGGTTGCACTCGTAGCCTCCTAGTTTGGCCCACTTTTGCTGTCTCCGTCGCAGGCGCTACCTTGGTCTCGGCACTGGCTGGTGCTACAACCACTGGCTGTGGACGGTCGAGAATGCGTAAGTACCTAGAGTCGCTCTCGTGAATCCCCACAACTTCTTCGATCCCCCGGTCTGTTTGCCTCTGTTTCCGTGACCGAGCGCCTCTTTGCCTTTCCACTCTCTGTTCGCTTCGAGACCAACGCGTAGCCCCTTTTGAAGTTCCAGCCAAATCTCTCCCGCAGCCCAGCCGCATGGTGGTACTGCACAATGTGAGGCGGGATTCCACGTCTGAAGAAGCATTGAAGATGCGGCTGAATGTTCATCAACAAGGGTAGCCACAATGCCGCACAGATAGGGTCCTCAACCTAAGACCGTGCAAATGGAACGTGCAACCCGTCTCATACAAGAATGAGGCTTCCGTGATTTGGTATATGTAGGATGGTATGTGAGTAGCTCAAATCAATACTGGTTTCGCTTATGCTGTTCTGCTTCGTAAGCCCTGCTGTGATGGTTTCCAATTGACGGCGGACTTACAGCCATACACCCAGCACTGATCTTTTACTGCAGTCTACTCGTGACTTGAGTATTAAGCATAAACAATTCCATATCGCTACGCCGGTTTGGCCATCTACCGACCGCACCGTGTTGAAGATCGAGACGCCGCACCATAGTAGATACCCAGAATAGAACACCCAATTAGGTCTAGCTTCCCCTTGTTGTATTTAGTCTCCTACGAAGTGTTCGCCCCTTAGAGGAGTTAATCTATTAGATTTAAACAGGTTATAAGCCCGGCGTATACCGACGTATCTCTAATAGCTACGTTTATAACGTATTTAATACGGTTCTTCTCGCTAGAAATATTAGCGTAAATAAGTACTCTAAGAAGGCCTAGTAGGCCCCCTAGTATAAAGATATAGACGTTACTATAGGCTTAAGTATCTCTATAGATTATATTACGGCGAGCGTATAGGCTTAAGTATTTAATACTTAGAAAGTATAGGCTTAAGTACTCCGATCTTAAGAGAATATAGGCTTAGATACTCTATTCTAGAAGTTCTATAGGCTTAAGTACCCCTTAATAGCTATACGGGTAGTACGTATAGATAACGTTCTACTAACGTTTTACGGGCTTAAATACCTCTAGATAGCTATACGGATAGTATATAAATAAAATTCTATAGGCTTAAGTATCCCTAGACAGCTATACGAATAGTATATAGATAAAATTCTATAGGCTTAAGTGCCCCTTAATAGCCGTAAAAGCGGCGTATATAAATATATAAATACTTATATATATAAGGGTCTAAGAGATTTAACGGAGTTTAAATATATTATAATATATTTATATACGATCTAACTAAGCGAGGCGACTAGAAAATATTACCGCTTAAGTTATAAGAGTCTACGAGCTAGATATAAGGACCTATAGCCGCGTCTCGTATACGCTTCGTATACGAGACCTATAGGAGTTACGTACTAGTTACGTAACTCTCGCTTAGCTATATATAAAAGCCCTTCGGCCTACGGGCGAAGGCCGAATTCCCTAAGAATTCGTCTATTAATTATAAGCCCTCTTCTTATACCTATCTTAAGCTTTCTATTCGTGCCTTATATCTTATATTCGAATCCTTCTCTTTAAATAGCCGGTTTAGGATGCCTTTTAAGCGGACCCTTCTTCCCGTACGCGACGCGTATACGTCGCGTACCGAAAACGCTACGGTCGTATAAGACCCCTTAACCGGGTTAGACTATCCGACCCCTAGCGAATTAGACGATAACGCCGACGAGATACCCCCGATACCTACCGCTATAGAAGAACCTCTCTCTATAACGATTACGCCCGAAGACGTTATTACGAATCTAAAGGCTAAGATCTATAGACTCTCTATAGTAATCCCGACCTTCTCGGCTTAAATTATCGAATTAAACGCTTTAATTAAGGGTCTATAGGAACGTATTAATATACTCTCTTAGCTAAGCGCATCTAAAACGTATACTCCTCGTATATATCTCGACTTCGAAGCGCGGAAGGCGATCTAGCGAGAAAAGAACGTTCTCGAACTATAAACCGCGACCTAGTACTATTTCGATAAGTAGATTAACGAGTTAAATAATAAGTTTAATATACTTAATCTATAAGACTAGGATACTAAGAAGCGGACCCGCTAGGCCCTCTAGGGCCTCGCGAAGTACGAAGTAATCGCCTAATACGTCTACTAACGCCTAGATAAATCTATAATCTAGAGAGAGCTTCTCTTCGAGAAGTTTAAAGTAATCGTTTAAGATTAAGTAAGGAACTCTATCTTACGGCGGTACGAGAATAC